TGTGTGTGTGTGTGAATGTGTGTGTGTGTGTGTGTGTGTGTGTGTGTGTGTGTGTGTGGTGTGTGTGTGGTGTGTGTGTGGTGTGTGTGTGGTGTGTGTGTGTGTGTGTGTGTGTGTGTGTGTGTGTGTGTGTGTGTGTGTGTGTGTGTGTGTGTGTGTGTGTGTGTGTGTGTGTGTGTGTGTGTGTGTTTTGTTTTAAAGGTGCTCTTGTGTTGTCCTTGTTCAGACGCACTGCTCTTTGCCTCCTTCTGCGTTTGTGTTGCTTTTGATCCAGCATTTGCCTCTCTTTTTGAGGTGTTCCTCTTTTCTCCTATGCCTGGGCAGAAGGTAAAACTTCGTCCGCTACCTTGGTTTTATTTCCGTTTTCATTGTTCTTTGCGTCCTTTGTCGTTTCTCTGGGTTTTGATCAAGCATTTGCCTGTGTTTTTGAGGTGTTCTTCTTTTGTCCTGTGCCTGGGTGGAGATAGAGGTCCGTCACCTTGTTGCTTTTATTTCCGTTTGCATTGCTGTTTGCAAGCTTGTTCGTGTTTCTTGGCAGAGCATTTGCCTATGTTTTTGGGCTGTTCTCCTTTTGTTATGCCTGGGTAGGAGAGAAACTCCATGACCTATTTTGCTGGTATTTCTGATTTCATTGTTCTTTGCCTGCTTCTGCGTTTGTGTTGACATTTGTTCCAGCATTTGCCTCTCTTTTTGAGGTGTTCCTCTTTTCTCCTATGCCTGGGCAGGACATATGCCTGGGCAGGAGGTAAACCTCCGTCCGCTACTTTGGTTTTATGTCCGTTTTCATTGTTCTTTGCGTCCTTTGTCGTTTCTCTGGGTTTTGATCAAGCATTTGCCCGTGTTTTTGAGGTGTTCTTCTTTTGTCCTATGCCTGGGTGGGAGATAGAACTCCGTCACCTACATTGCTTTTATTTCCGTTTGCATTGCTGTTTGCATGCTTGTTCGTGTTTTTTGGCATAGCATTTGCCTATGTTTTTGGGCTGTTCTCCTTTTAATTTGTTCTGCCTGAGTAGGAGAGAAACTCCGTGACCTATTTTGCTTGTATTTCTTTCTGATTTCATTGCTCTTTGCCTCCTTCTGCGTTTGTGTTGCTTTTGATCCAGCATTTGCCTCTCTTTTTGAGGTGTTCCTCTTTTCTCCTATGCCTGGGCAGGAGGTAAAACTCCGTCCGCTACCTTGGTTTTATTTCCGTTTTCATTCTTTGCGTCCTTTGTCGTTTCTCTGGGTTTTGATCAAGCGTTTGCCTGTGTTTTTGAGGTGTTCTTCTTTTGTCCTATGCCTGGGCGGGAGATAGAACTCCGTCACCTACATTGCTTTTATTTCCGTTTGCATTGCTGTTTGCATGCTTGTTCGTGATTTTTGGCATAGCATTTGCCTGTGTTTTTGAGCTGTTCTCCTTGTCATTTGTTCTGCCTGAGTAGGAGAGAAACTCCGTGACCTATTTTGCTTGTATTTCTGATTTCATTGCTCTTTGCCTCCTTCTGCGTTTGTGTTGCTTTTGATCCAGCCTTTGCCTCTCTTTTTGAGGTGTTCCTCTTTTCTCCTATGCCTGGGCAGGAGGTAAAACTCCGTCCGCTACCTTGGTTTTATTTCCGTTTTCATTGTTCTTTGCGTCCTTTGTCGTTTCTCTGGGTTTTGATCAAGCATTTGCCTGTGTTTTTGAGGTGTTCTTCTTTTGTCCTATGCCTGGGCGGGAGATAGAACTCCGTCACCTACATTGCTTGTATTTCCGTTTGCATTGCTGTTTGCATGCTTGTTCGTGATTTTTGGCATAGCATTTGCCTGTGTTTTTGAGCTGTTCTCCTTGTCATTAGTTTGTTCTGCCTGAGTAGGAGAGAAACTCCGTGACCTATTTTGCTTGTATTTCTGATTTCATTGCTCTTTGCCTCCTTCTGCGTTTGTGTTGCTTTTGATCCAGCATTTGCCTCTCTTTTTGAGGCGTTCCTCTTTTCTCCTATGCCTGGGCAGGAGGTAAAACTCCGTCCGCTACCTTGGATTTATTTCCGTTTTCATTCTTTGCGTCCTTTGTCGTTTCTCTGGGTTTTGATCAAGCATTTGCCTGTGTTTTTGAGGTGTTCTTCTTTTGTCCTATGCCTGGGTGGGAGAAAGAACTCCGTCACCTACGTTGCTTTTATTTCCGTTTGCATTGCTGTTTGCATGCTTGTTCGTGTTTTTTGGCATAGCATTTGCCTATGTTTTTGAGCTGTTCTCATTTTAATTTGTTCTGCCTGAGTAGGAGAGAAACTCCGTGACCTATTTTGCTTGTATTTCTGATTTCATTGTTCTTTGCGTGCTTCTTCGTTTCTGTTGTCTTTGCTCCATCGTTTGCCTATGTTTTTGAGGTGTTCGTCATGTCGGGCGTGTGACCCCAACCAACCCGCTTCGTGAACCTCGCGCGCCGTTTGAAGCCTCGCTTCCAAACGCTCTTCTGACCGACCCCTGGCTCGCAATCCAAACTTTGCCGTTGTGCTGCTCGCAAGGCTAAATGCCCTGGATTAGCCGAAGGATTTGAGCCATGGGGGCCCTTCTAAGGGAGCATAGGGCACCGGGATTCGGTGGAATTTGGAATCTGCCCACTTTGACGCTTAGAACAAAGCAAAAAAGGCCCGACTCAACAGGACGTATAGAACAACGCAAAACGCAAGTTTTAAAACTTCCTCCTCCGCCGGTCTTTGGGTCGGTCGCCCGCTTCTCCCACCCTCCGCCGGTCCTTGGGTCGGTCGCCCTGTTTTTGCAGGATCCGCGTTGGTTCTCGGGGTGCCGGTTGCCCCGGGGGGTCCTTGGGTCCCCCTCCCGTGGGCCTTTATGCAAGCACATGGGGACAGATTCTAAATTCATCTAGGTTTTTCTAGTTGGGGGGGCTGCCCTGCTTGGTCCCTTCCTGGGACCCTGCAGGGGCCCCACAAAACTGATACGGAGTTACAGGTAAACTTAACAAATTTGTATTTTTCTTTCCTCGCTCACTTGCCCGCAGCCGCCTCAAGGGTCAGGAATCCTATCAGAGTGCCCAGCCTAGGTATGCACAGTAGGACACTCTGAGGCTGTACAGTCTGTACATGAACGAAGCCATGCCGCCAAACACCCACACCACCCGAACCCCACATCACCCCAACCACCCACATGACCCGAACCACCAAGACCGCCCCAAGCCACCCGCCCCCTGAGCCACCCACGCTGACGAGCCGCCATCCGCACCGCCCGCCACCAGTGTGAAGGCCCCCCCCTCTCCCAAAAGGCTGCGAACTAGCCCTAAACCCTAAACCCTCATAGCGTCATCCCTGCAAAGGGCGCCCAAATCCTCCAACTACCCCAAGCTGCCCAAGCCGAAGCCACCCAAGAAACTCCCTAAGCCCTGAGGCACCCTAAAATGGCGGGGGGTGGGGTCGGCGGCACTGGCGGTAGCCATTAAATTCATTACTCTTCTTCTCATTCCCAATCACATACTCCCATACGCAGCTTGAAAACAAGGAGTAGCACATGGGGGCTTTTTGGAAGGGGGGGAGACGATTGTGGTGGTGGGGTTTGCGTAAACAATCAAGTTTAGGACATGTTGGGCATTAGTACGTGCATGAGGCTGTGTCTTTCCCTGACGTGTGAACACATGGAGTTAGGAGTTGAATCTTCGAGGGTTGTGGGACCGGACACAAGAATCCCACACTTGAGGCAGAATTATAGATCTTGTGCTTTTGTCGTTGGTGTTTCTTGCTTGCTGTTTCGCTGACCAGTCGACAAAGAAGGGCTTAGGGTCGAAATTGGGTTGAGGTTTAGAGTTGTAGGGCGGTTTGCGGAAGAGCCGTTGCTCGCTCTCGTGTTCTTCCCCTTGCCAGGTCCACGGTGCCCAAACTTATGAGTTGATTGCAAGTTCATCCTGCTCGACACCTGGTTGTAAATTCTCCCATCTATGGCTTTCTGGTTGTAAGTTCTCCCTTCCGGGGCTTCAATAATTGTGTTGCAATTTACCCCAAAGAGACCATGACGATGCAAAGCTCAAGAAGCTGGAGGTCGTGCAAACAATACTTAGCCAGGTCTGATTCGGAAGTACTGACAACACAGAACTCTTTGAGACTCTTCTGTGCCTCTGCTGGAACGAGCTCTGCATCCTCTGAATTTGCAGCCTCCACCTTAGGGCACGCTCGGGCTGCATTGACTGGTCTTGGCCTTGAAAACTATTCAAAGCAGTTCGAAAAACGGAAATACAGTGCAGTGCTCCTAATTTCAGCAGACCTCATGAAGCATCCACTGAGTGCTGCACGGGGATATCGGTGCTAGCACGTGCCATGGACAGTCGATTAAAATGGTTTTTGCTCGAGTGGTCTGGTCCTCGATTTTCCAAGCTGCGTGTGGTGTGGGTTGTTGTTGCTGCGGCTTGCCTTGTTGCTGGCTTGCTTGCTGTAGTCGTCTGATGTCGTCCGGTCTATGTCGTTCCCGTCTGCTTTGGGATAACACGCTCCTTTGAGCAAACGCAGCTAGGAGGTGCTCGTTTCGACAACGATGCTTCCTTGCCCGCCAGCCTGGCCTAACTGAGCCCATGCCGGCACGTTTCTTTGCAGCTTGAGCGGAGATCGCCCAACATCCGCCAGATCAGCCCAGTGTTGAACCATAGCCTGGGCTCCATCATTGCACTGCTCCCTCAATGTCGCACTTTGCACGTATATGAACATCTCTGAGCTCAACGCCTGAATATTGTCGACGCCTCAGTGGCCGCAATTTGCAAATACAACAGACAGCAGGAGCCGGCAACAGAAGCGGCCACGTCAAGGCAGTGCATGAGGCGCATAAGCCAGGCCACGACTCGATCGCAGCACTCTCGGCTTGAAGCATCAGCATCTGCAGGAAGGAACCGCAGAAGAGGTTTCTTAATAGCGGGGTTGAGGTATTGCTGCCATGTCATGAGGCATGTGGCATCTGCTTGATCTGAAAGCAGTTGGGGCTCCCCTACAAACAAGGCTTCAGCTGCTAAGCTGCTGCCGAGTGCGACTAGTGCTACTGCAGCTGTGCCGCCTCTCTCTGCTTCATCACCCGCTGCCTGCGGATTGACCATGCCTGGCTCAGACTCTGTGCAATACGGATCTGCGCACATATCACACATTCTGAAGAGGAATCCGGAACTAAGACCAGCACGCTGTAGACAAAGGCCAAGGCCACGAAGAAGATCACCGATGACAGTACCTGAACGGCTACTCCAGCTGCGACTGTAGTCACTGTAGTCGCAGCCAGATGCTCTGTGGAGGGTGGGCGTGCGAAAGCCCAGTGTGGTACATTCCGGGCCACCTGGTACAGCACAAAGTTGTGAAACTGCAGCCGGGTGAGCTAAATGACAGTCGCCTTGAAGCTGACTGCTGTGTCGACAGGACTGGAACCGATCCGTACCTCGCCGTCATGAGGAAAGTGACTTCAAAAGAAAGCAAAGCCTGCAACAAAGCCTGCAACAACACCGCGACCACAGAGTTGCCGACCCAAGGTCTCAAAACTCAGCCCCTGGCTACATCGTAGATCCACCAGATGCCCAGGCCGCCCAGGGTCAAGAGCTGACAAATTGGATGGCAAGTCTTGATGTGTCTTGCGAAGATGGCTTGTTGGCTTGGGCCTTCAGCAAGCCGTATGGGAAGAAGAAACCCAGGTACAACTGGTCCAGGCCTGTCTCAGTACGACTCCACACATTGTCCTCGCCTTCTCTCTCGCCTTCTCTCCCCGCAAAAAAGAGATTCAGTTCTTTTTTCTATTCTTTCTGAGTGCAACCACCTAGAACGCCGCCAAAGAGGGAGAGCAGAAACCTGGCCCAACGTGAAGCGGGAGATTTGTAGGAAAGACGCGACACGAACAGGCCAGCAGGACGCCACTCTCTGAGACTTTCTGGGCGTCTCGCAGTTGGGATCAGCCCAGCCCTGGCTCCAGTGCAATTGTGTTGCAGATCCTCTTCGCATCCTGCAAGCCTTCTAACTGCCTCCTAGTCACGACTAAAGTCACCAGTCCTATAGCCCTACAGCATGCCATTGCGCGAAAGCCTGCAGCTTGCATGCTTTGCCGCATCGACCGGCAAGATGGGTTAAGGTGGCTCAAGGCTCAAGATCGGTCAAAAGCACGAAAATAACATTAAGTTAGCCCTTCAAGACGCGCGAATAAACAAGGAAGAAACATTCAGTTCACCTTAAGCTCGCTGGCAACATCTGGATCTTTTGCCGGAGAAACTCTGTATAGCGAAAGGCTTCAGCGCACAGGAACAGAGCAAGATCAGCATTGAGCCACCATCAGCGCACTGCGGACTGCCAGGCCTCTGCGCAGTAGCAGAACCTCGGAGCTTCCGCAGCCGCCTTCAAACAATATCTGTATGAGCCAAAGGGGCTGTCGACATGTACTCCGTCCCTGGGCTCTGAGGTAGAAGGGTTCATGAGTAAAACTCAAACGTCGGTGTTCTAAGTTCAAAGAGGCTGCATGGCTTGAAAGGGACCCAATGCCTGTGGAAGGTCTTCTCGAGTGGGATCTTGGGTCCACGCTTTGCCTCACAGGATGGCATTGCGTTGGAAAACTGACTGGTTTGTGCTGATGTGTAGTTGCGATCTTTTCGGCCGAGTTCAGTACACTCGCCGTGGCCGCTGCACTGGAGGTATCTGGGAATGTCCTGAGCGAACGCTTAGGCCACTCTTGGGCCAGTTGGGGCTTGGGCATCTCCATGTCAACCGATATCTTCCCTTCCCTCCGAGGTGTGGTCCATTGCACACGGATTCAACTGCGTCGTTTCGAGCCCAGGTGTCTCAAACTGACAGGTGTTTGCATGCACGCTTCCAATGCCCGATGCCCGACTACGTCACAGATTCTGGCCGGACCTTGTATTTCGCTAAGTAGCTGGTCATGTCCTGCCAGTACCCTGTTGCGTGCCTAAGCTTCACTAACGTGGCAGCTTGGGCAAGACAAGCTCGATGCAATCTGGGCAGTGAACGTCGGGATCAATGATGAGCATCCCTGCAATGAAACCTCATCGGAGATTTTGCACAAGAACAGAAAGGCATGCACGCAAAGCTGTCACAGGCGTTCTAGCAATATCAAAATACAGAAAAACACACAACTGCCATCAACTGACTGCGCACGTGCAGCCAAAGATCGCTTGTGGCCAGGCCCGCAATGATGAGTGTCCTTCTCGGGATTCTGCCACTTACATCCATAGAGATGGAACCTGGGCGGAGAGGAGGCTGCACGGGGACTTTCGTGCTTCCTCCGGACTTCATGCGGACTTCCTCCGGAGGAAGTCGGAGGACTTTATCCGGACTTCCCGGATTCCCTGATTCGGACTTTCCCTTCTGGGGTCGAGGCGTCGGTGTTTGACTCCGACTCGGGAATTTCGCTACCGGAACCCTGGAAGTCTTGAGGGCTGCGGGGGCATCTCATCTGGCACACTCTGCACTCAGGTGCACTCGGCATACTCGGAAGCTGAAGCCCCACATATCGAAGCCCAGCTCCAACAGCAATTGGCCTACTTGCTGTCCGAAACCTCATATGTAGATGCCGTTTCTGAATGGTGCTTGCAAATTGCGAATTAGGGTGAGACGGGATCATTTACGATCCGTTGGGCAGCAGCGCAGGCACAGACGGGAAGCTTGGGCTCGGCGACTCAGCGCACGCGGAGGAGGATTTGCATGCCAGCCTCTACAGCTCTGTGATGCTGAACAACACAACAACACAGAGTCTTCCAGTCGAGTGGCGTTTTCCGCGTTTTCCCCTCCCAGCCTTAGCCTTAGCCTCTGGCAGCTGCAACATGCTGCAACTGAGCAGTTGGTTTCCGTCATCCCCGTGCCTCGGTGCCCAAAACCTCCGAGACCTCCCCGGGCTGCATGGACAATGCCACCGCAGCGAGCTCCTGCGGACTCATCGAACACATAGCTGACATAACTGCAATGCGGACTCGGCCCTTCACACCCCCAATTTCCTCGTCGAGCTCATCGTCAAGGCGGAAGAAGGTCTCCTCGGGCCTGGGGCATCGAATGGAGCCAAACGGGGTAATTAAGTACTTGCAGAATCAGAAGGACATTATATGCTTGGCCAGGCCAAAGGAAACTTGGACCAGGACGAATCGGAGAAGCGCTCTTGCACCTCCACGGCATTTCGCTGCATGAGACGTGAGGCGAGATGAGAATGCCGTACAGTAAAGAGGCTTCACGCAGCAGAACGGCTGCAAGGCATTGAAAGGTGTTGGATGGGTCCCGTGGATCCCGGGCACCTGCTCGAAGAGGCCGAGGTCCTCTCGCACAGCGTCGAGGATGTCCCGTGCCATTCGCAGAGGCACCTCGTCAGGAGAGCGTCGAGCGTCGGCTTGTCAGTGTGATGGGATGATCCAGCAAATGCCGGTTATGTCCTTCGGCCTCTGCCTTGGCCCCCAGGATGATCCGCCGGAAAACCGGGCTCTCGTCGGGCTCCTCTCACATCACATGTCCCGAATCCACGGCACCCTGAAGCAACGATGTGTTCAGGGCGCCTCCTCCTGCACGCCACGCTCCCCTGACGGAGCCTCGCATTCCGGAGGCTCCACCGCTTCGAGTTGGGGGCCTGCAGGCGAACCTTTCAGGATGCGACTGAGAAGTGCTTTGAAAGGAGAGAACTTGGAGAACCGTAAGCAACTGTGAATGTATGGACGCAACCATACGCAGCCTGAGGCCGAGGCCCAAGTCATCGATCTGGAGATCGTCGAGGACTTCTTGTGGTGGCTCCACCTCTCTGATTCTCTGACTCTCTGAGCTTCAGAAGCCGGAGGCCGCGGCGCCGCTGCAGCTGCGGCAGCCATAGACGCTCCGTTAAGCTAGCCCGCCGCCCAACTGCCACACAACTTCCTGGCCACGTGCCTCTACCCGTCCCTCGTCTTCGTTCAGGTACACCTGACATTGCCGCGCAAGACGTTTTGGGCTGTGCTCTCTGCACAACCGTGCACAAGCAATGCAAAACCATTGCACGCAAACTTGCTGCCAGGCCAGAGGGATGTCTGGATTCTCTGGAAGCTTTCTCACGGACCAGGCGCCCACACGGAGCACCTGCACATGACAAACAGTCGTGGAAGTGAGCCGACTTCTGAAATGACATGAACCTGGTGCCTCCTCGGCCCGGCGTGCGACATCCAAGACAGAAGAGGAGGCTTCGATCATGGGACGGCTCCTTTGAGACCATCAGGGAAACATAGATCATCCAGGGCATCAAGGGCATATGTTCATGTCACTGATCCGTCCAAACGATCCGGGTCAGTGGCGGCTCCGTTGACGCCATGTCCTGCAGGCCGTTGAGAGATCTAAAATCTCCAGGCCGCGACCAAGAGGGTGGTGAGAGGGGCGGGGTTCGGGGGTGGTTAGGGAGACAGGGCTGGCGAACCCCCCCTCCCGAGGCCCAAACTGAGCTGGAATCTGAAAGGGGTAATATATGGGGCCTGTTCTAGACGAGGGCTCCTTGTAAGGGGGGGGGGGGGTCCATTTGAAGGCGTCCTACTATTGCCGCAAAAGCGTGGTTCTAACTGATTCTAACTTGGCGGGAGTTGTCCAGCAGCAGGCACGGGTCCTGGGTCCGAGCTGTGAAGGCATCGCCTGGCGGGTCAAGCGGCATGGTGCTGCCTAGTCAACCTTGCGGACACACCAGCTTCTGTACTCCTTTCTAGTGGGGATGGCAAATGCTGCGCTTTGCGCAATGGGCAAAGCTACAGAGCACGAAGGCCTCGCTTCACTGGGTGAAGCGGGTCGAGCTTCCCTGGGCACAGTCCGGGAAAAAAGAGCATCTGGAAGAACGTGTGCTTGCAACCAAAACTTTACAAGTAACTCTTCACTGTCGTGCGCGGACCCTTGCGCATGCAGGGTAGGGCCGAAGTGGAGTTGGAATGCCTGGCCACATGTAGCAAAGTAGCACGACAGAGCACTACCCAGTGTCATTCAGGCAAATTTTCGGGGATGGCCTCGTCATACTGCGGTATGGGCTGGAGCTCAAGCGGCATGACGGTGAAGGCGTGCCTCCTGCACCATGGTTTTGCTTGCCATGAACTTCGTCTGAATTACAATATGCCATGTGAACTCTCGCGGCTTCAGACCTTTGCTGAGGCGCTGCCTTGAGGCGGAGGTGGCGTCTTCTTCGATGGGAGGGGTGGCAAGCCAGAAGCCCGGGCCTTTCAGACGCGCAAGGCTTCCACAGAGCAGGCATAGACACCGTCGACCACGCGCTGCAAGACACCAACATCTCAGAGGCACGAAACGAATACTAGACTACCAGCACCGAGACCCCAAAGCAGACATCCTCCCCTCCTGCTCCTGCCACCCTTTCTGCCCCAACATTTTTCTGCTCTTTGTCCTTTGCCTCCTTTTCGTAGTGTCCATGCTCTCCGGGCGCGGCGTCTGGTCGCCAAGAACCGCACCTCTGGCGTTTTCCTGCCCTCAGGCCGAGACTGCTGCGTTCTCTTCAGCTGCGGCACGTAACGCGGCACGACGCAGCATGCAACAACCACATCCAGACCACATCGAATCCCCACTGCCGGCTTGGAAGCCTCAGCCTTCGGGCCTGGAGGCGCTTTGGATCTGAGGTCTTATGCAATGATCCAGGCCTGTCTCGATGCGTAGCCGGCGAAGCCCCTGCCACCGAGCAGGGCAATGCAATGCAGCGCAACGCCCGGCACGACATGATACGACAATATACGACACTCAAGCACCATCGCCTGCGCTGCCGCGCTTGCCTTGCACAAGCTGCAGAAATGCCCCAAGGCTGATGTCGTCACCACAGTTTGCTCCGACGAGTTGGAGCACCAAGCTCACTAAGCGCATGGCTGGTCCGCATGGGTCAGCATGCCATCGCATGCCCAGCTGCCGGTACTAGTTAACGCTCCCGAAAGCTTCACGAAGCTAGGAGACTATGGTATTGAAAAGCCTCAGTTGGTAACTGTCTAGATTTCTAACTCCTACGAGGTTCAGAAATCATATGAAAGACTGGCCGTGCGCTTGGATTAAGACTTGGCTTGAGCACAGGCGTCTTGAAACTGACTGAAGAAAACCGATGCAAGACCTCATGCTGGCAACTGAGGCAGTACTTCAGCCAGTCGTCTACAACTGCATCCAACCCGCTTTCTTTGAAAGGCATACTCGGCATGTTGCTAGTTGGCTTGGAATCGACAACAATCGACATGTCCTGGCTCGCCTGATCGCACCCCACACGGCCCCTCTTGCCACTCGGAAGCTTCTGTGATTGCCCCATATTGCCCCACTACCTGAGCCTACATGGGTGCTCTCGAGGCAGCCGGGCGTTGCGTTGGAAACTTGCATCCGTCTAGGATTCAATTAGGCAGATGGCTCTTGCAACTGCGTCAAGGAAACTCTTTGCACCGCCGGCCGTTTCGGCAGTGGCTCCGGAAATTTGAACACAATCACCACTACTGCCGCGTTGTCTGCCTTGCTGACCCTGCCTGCATTTTGCAGGATGGAAACTGCGGCATCCTCTGGCTTTGCCGTGGTCCGGAGTGCTTTGCGGGCATGCGTCAGAGCGAACTGTTCTTTCAGGGCATCCCAGATGCCATCTGACCCAATCATGACGAAGTCGACGGCGTCATCAATCTCCACCCGGAAAACCTCAGGTTCGTTGATGATGCCATTCACTTTGCTGCCGGTGCGGAAACGCACGTTGCCCAGGGCTCTTGATACCGCAACGTGCTCGTCAACATAGCCCGCTTGGACGCTGACACCCGATTGCTGCAAACGTTCTGCTTCGGCCGGGTTCTTCTCCGGAGCATGGTCACGGGAAATTGCAGCTGCGGTGCCATCTTTGGACACCACAGCCCGGCAATCACCCAGGTTCGCAATCCAGAGGTCTGTCTTCTTCAGCAAGCCAAGACAAGCTACGGTCCCCGAAGATGTTTGTGCGTCGGCCACGACCTTGTTGTCCACCAGAACTTGCATGATCTCCTCATCTGCAGCTTGGAACGCAGCCTTGATGGCAACCTCCACATCCTCAGCGTCCTTGAGGTAGCTTTCCAAAATTCTGGGGAGGTTCTCCTTTGCGACCATGACAGCCTGACTCCCAGCATGCCCGTCGTAGACTGCGAAAAGCCTATAGCCAGCAACGTCCTCTTTGACGTCAACAGCATCTTCCATTTTTGCACGCTCATGTTTGGCTACGGCGTAGCCATAATCAACTCCCCCTCCAGATTCATCTTGGGGGAGGAGGCTTGCCTCCTTGTCCCTTCCCAGACAGGTACAAAGCTGGCTAAGAAGCCACCACATTCTGTCTTATATGGAAGCGGGCGGGCTTGCATCTACACACTGACGGGGCTCGATCCGATGGGGATTAGCATGCGCGCAGGCGTGTTGCGTGGCATGAAACTGACTGAAGAAACCAATGCAAGACCTCACGCTGGCAACACTGCATCCAACCCGCTTTCTTTGAAAGGCATACTCGGCATGTTGCTAGTTGGCTTGGAATCGACAACAATCGACATGTCCTGGCTCGCCTGATCGCACCCCACACGGCCCCTCTTGCCACTCGGAAGCTTCTGTGATTGCCCCATATTGCCCCACTACCTGAGCCTACATGGGTGCTCTCGAGGCAGCCGGGCGTTGCGTTGGAAACTTGCATCCGTCTAGGATTCAATTAGGCAGATGGCTCTTGCAACTGCGTCAAGGAAACTCTTTGCACCGCCGGCCGTTTCGGCAGTGGCTCCGGAAATTTGAACACAATCACCACTACTGCCGCGTTGTCTGCCTTGCTGACCCTGCCTGCATTTTGCAGGATGGAAACTGCGGCATCCTCTGGCTTTGCCGTGGTCCGGAGTGCTTTGCGGGCATGCGTCAGAGCAAACTGTTCTTTCAAGGCATCCCAGATGCCATCTGACCCAATCATGACGAAGTCGACGGCGTCATCAATCTCCACCCGGAAAACCTCAGGTTCGTTGATGATGCCATTCACTTTGCTGCCGGTGCGGAAACGCACGTTGCCCAGGGCTCTTGATACCGCAACGTGCTCGTCAACATAGCCCGCTTGGACGCTGACACCCGATTGCTGCAAACGTTCTGCTTCGGCCGGGTTCTTCTCCGGAGCATGGTCACGGGAAATTGCAGCTGCGGTGCCATCTTTGGACACCACAGCCCGGCAATCACCCAGGTTCGCAATCCAGAGGTCTGTCTTCTTCAGCAAGCCAAGACAAGCTACGGTCCCCGAAGATGTTTGTGCGTCGGCCACGACCTTGTTGTCCACCAGAACTTGCATGATCTCCTCATCTGCAGCTTGGAACGCAGCCTTGATGGCAACCTCCACATCCTCAGCGTCCTTGAGGTAGCTTTCCAAAATTCTGGGGAGGTTCTCCTTTGCGACCATGACAGCCTGACTCCCAGCATGCCCGTCGTAGACTGCGAAAAGCCTATAGCCAGCAACGTCCTCTTTGACGTCAACAGCATCTTCCATTTTTGCACGCTCATGTTTGGCTACGGCGTAGCCATAATCAACTCCCCCTCCAGATTCATCTTGGGGGAGGAGGCTTGCCTCCTTGTCCCTTCCCAGACAGGTACAAAGCTGGCTAAGAAGCCACCACATTCTGTCTTATATGGAAGCGGGCGGGCTTGCATCTACACACTGACGGGGCTCGATCCGATGGGGATTAGCATGCGCGCAGGCGTGTTGCGTGGCATGAAACTGACTGAAGAAACCAATGCAAGACCTCACGCTGGCAACACTGCATCCAACCCGCTTTCTTTGAAAGGCATACTCGGCATGTTGCTAGTTGGCTTGGAATCGACAACAATCGACATGTCCTGGCTCGCCTGATCGCACCCCACACGGCCCCTCTTGCCACTCGGAAGCTTCTGTGATTGCCCCATATTGCCCCACTACCTGAGCCTACATGGGTGCTCTCGAGGCAGCCGGGCGTTGCGTTGGAAACTTGCATCCGTCTAGGATTCAATTAGGCAGATGGCTCTTGCAACTGCGTCAAGGAAACTCTTTGCACCGCCGGCCGTTTCGGCAGTGGCTCCGGAAATTTGAACACAATCACCACTACTGCCGCGTTGTCTGCCTTGCTGACCCTGCCTGCATTTTGCAGGATGGAAACTGCGGCATCCTCTGGCTTTGCCGTGGTCCGGAGTGCTTTGCGGGCATGCGTCAGAGCAAACTGTTCTTTCAAGGCATCCCAGATGCCATCTGACCCAATCATGACGAAGTCGACGGCGTCATCAATCTCCACCCGGAAAACCTCAGGTTCGTTGATGATGCCATTCACTTTGCTGCCGGTGCGGAAACGCACGTTGCCCAGGGCTCTTGATACCGCAACGTGCTCGTCAACATAGCCCGCTTGGACGCTGACACCCGATTGCTGCAAACGTTCTGCTTCGGCCGGGTTCTTCTCCGGAGCATGGTCACGGGAAATTGCAGCTGCGGTGCCATCTTTGGACACCACAGCCCGGCAATCACCCAGGTTCGCAATCCAGAGGTCTGTCTTCTTCAGCAAGCCAAGACAAGCTACGGTCCCCGAAGATGTTTGTGCGTCGGCCACGACCTTGTTGTCCACCAGAACTTGCATGATCTCCTCATCTGCAGCTTGGAACGCAGCCTTGATGGCAACCTCCACATCCTCAGCGTCCTTGAGGTAGCTTTCCAAAATTCTGGGGAGGTTCTCCTTTGCGACCATGACAGCCTGACTCCCAGCATGCCCGTCGTAGACTGCGAAAAGCCTATAGCCAGCAACGTCCTCTTTGACGTCAACAGCATCTTCCATTTTTGCACGCTCATGTTTGGCTACGGCGTAGCCATAATCAACTCCCCCTCCAGATTCATCTTGGGGGAGGAGGCTTGCCTCCTTGTCCCTTCCCAGACAGGTACAAAGCTGGCTAAGAAGCCACCACATTCTGTCTTATATGGAAGCGGGCGGGCTTGCATCTACACACTGACGGGGCTCGATCCGATGGGGATTAGCATGCGCGCAGGCGTGTTGCGTGGCATGAAACTGACTGAAGAAACCAATGCAAGACCTCACGCTGGCAACACTGCATCCAACCCGCTTTCTTTGAAAGGCATACTCGGCATGTTGCTAGTTGGCTTGGAATCGACAACAATCGACATGTCCTGGCTCGCCTGATCGCACCCCACACGGCCCCTCTTGCCACTCGGAAGCTTCTGTGATTGCCCCATATTGCCCCACTACCTGAGCCTACATGGGTGCTCTCGAGGCAGCCGGGCGTTGCGTTGGAAACTTGCATCCGTCTAGGATTCAATTAGGCAGATGGCTCTTGCAACTGCGTCAAGGAAACTCTTTGCACCGCCGGCCGTTTCGGCAGTGGCTCCGGAAATTTGAACACAATCACCACTACTGCCGCGTTGTCTGCCTTGCTGACCCTGCCTGCATTTTGCAGGATGGAAACTGCGGCATCCTCTGGCTTTGCCGTGGTCCGGAGTGCTTTGCGGGCATGCGTCAGAGCAAACTGTTCTTTCAAGGCATCCCAGATGCCATCTGACCCAATCATGACGAAGTCGACGGCGTCATCAATCTCCACCCGGAAAACCTCAGGTTCGTTGATGATGCCATTCACTTTGCTGCCGGTGCGGAAACGCACGTTGCCCAGGGCTCTTGATACCGCAACGTGCTCGTCAACATAGCCCGCTTGGACGCTGACACCCGATTGCTGCAAACGTTCTGCTTCGGCCGGGTTCTTCTCCGGAGCATGGTCACGGGAAATTGCAGCTGCGGTGCCATCTTTGGACACCACAGCCCGGCAATCACCCAGGTTCGCAATCCAGAAATCTTTCTTCTTCAGCAAGCCAAGACAAGCTACGGTCCCCGAAGATGTTTGTGCGTCGGCCACGACCTTGTTGTCCACCAGAACTTGCATGATCTCCTCATCTGCAGCTTGGAACGCAGCCTTGATGGCAACCTCCACATCCTCAGCGTCCTTGAGGTAGCTTTCCAAAATTCTGGGGAGGTTCTCCTTTGCGACCATGACAGCCTGACTCCCAGCATGCCCGTCGTAGACTGCGAAAAGCCTATAGCCAGCAACGTCCTCTTTGACGTCAACAGCATCTTCCATTTTTGCACGCTCATGTTTGGCTACGGCGTAGCCATAATCAACTCCCCCTCCAGATTCATCTTGGGGGAGGAGGCTTGCCTCCTTGTCCCTTCCCAGACAGGTACAAAGCTGGCTAAGAAGCCACCACATTCTGTCTTATATGGAAGCGGGCGGGCTTGCATCTACACACTGACGGGGCTCGATCCGATGGGGATTAGCATGCGCGCAGGCGTGTTGCGTGGCATGAAACTGACTGAAGAAACCAATGCAAGACCTCACGCTGGCAACACTGCATCCAACCCGCTTTCTTTGAAAGGCATACTCGGCATGTTGCTAGTTGGCTTGGAATCGACAACAATCGACATGTCCTGGCTCGCCTGATCGCACCCCACACGGCTCCTCTTGCCACTCGGAAGCTTCTGTGACTGCCCCATATTGCCCCACTACCTGAGCCTACATGGGTGCTCTCGAGGCAGCCGGGCGTTGCGTTGGAAACTTGCATCCGTCTAGGATTCAATTAGGCAGATGGCTCTTGCAACTGCGTCAAGGAAACTCTTTGCACCGCCGGCCGTTTCGGCAGTGGCTGCGGAAATTTGAACACAATCACCACTACTGCCGCGTTGTCTGCCTTGCTGACCCTGCCTGCATTTTGCAGGATGGAAACTGCGGCATCCTCTGGCTTTGCCGTGGTCCGGAGTGCTTTGCGGGCATGCGTCAGAGCAAACTGTTCTTTCAAGGCATCCCAGATGCCATCTGACCCAATCATGACGAAGTCGACGGCGTCATCAATCTCCACCCGGAAAACCTCAGGTTCGTTGATGATGCCATTCACTTTGCTGCCGGTGCGGAAACGCACGTTGCCCAGGGCTCTTGATACCGCAACGTGCTCGTCAACATAGCCCGCTTGGACGCTGACCCCCGACTGCTGCAAACGTTCTGCTTCGGCCGGGTTCTTCTCCGGAGCATGGTCACGAGAAATTGCAGCTGCGGTGCCATCTTTGGACACCACAGCCCGGCAATCACCCAGGTTCGCAATCCAGAGGTCTTTCTTCTTCAGCAAGCCAAGACAGTCAACCGCATCTTCCATCTTGGAGCGCTCGTCTTGGCTACGGCGTAGCCAAGTATGGCTACGCCGTAGCAAAAAATGAGCGTGCAAAGATGGAAGATGCAATTGACGTCAAAGAAGACGTTGCTGGCTAATCAACTCCCCCACCAGACTCCTCTTCACACTGACCGGGCTCGATCCGATGAGGATTAGCATGCGCGCAGGCGTGTTGCGTGGCATGCAACTGACTGAAGAAACCGATGCAAGACCTCAAGCTGGCAACTGACGCAGTACTTTAGCCAGTCGTCTACGACTGCATCCAACCCGCTTTCTTTGAAAGGCATATTCGGCATGTTGCTAGTTGGCTTGGAATCGACAACAATCGACATGTCCTGGCTCGCCTGATCGCACCCCACACGGCCCCTCCTGCCACTCGGAAGCTTCTGTGATTGCCAGTGATTGCCCCACTAACTGAGCCTACTGGCATACATGGGCGCTCTCGAGGCAGCCGGGCGTTGCGTTGGAAACTTGCATGCGTCTAGGATTCAATTAGGCAGATGGCTCTTGCAACTGCGTCAAGGAAACTCTTTGCACCGCCGGCCGTTTCGGCAGTGGCTCCGGAAACTTGAACACAATCACCACTACTGCCGCGTTGTCTGCCTTGCTGACCCTGCCTGCATTTTGCAGGATGGAAACTGCGGCATCCTCTGGCTTTGCCGTGGTCCGGAGTGCTTTGCGGGCATGCGTCAGAGCAAACTGTTCTTTCAGGGCATCCCAGATGCCATCTGACCCAATCATGACGAAGTCGACGGCGTCATCAATCTCCACCCGGAAAACCTCAGGTTCGTTGATGATGCCATTCACTTTGCTGCCGGTGCGGAAACGCACGTTGCCCAGGGCTCTTGATACTGCAACGTGCTCGTCAACATAGCCAGCTTGGACGCTGACCCCCGACTGCTGCAAACGTTCTGCTTCGGCCGGGTTCTTCTCCGGAGCATGGTCACGGGAAATTGCAGCTGCGGTGCCATCTTTGGACACCACAGCCCGGCAATCACCCAGGTTCGCAATCCAGAAATCTTTCTTCTTCAGCAAGCCAAGACAAGCTACCGTCCCCGAAGATGTTTGCGCGTCGGCCACGACCTTGTTGTCCACCAGAACTTGCATGATCTCCTCATCTGCAGCTTGGAACGCAGCCTTGATGGCAACCTCCACATCCTCAGCGTCCTTGAGGTAGCTTCCCAAAATTCTGGGGAGGTTCTCCTTTGCGACCATGACAGCCTGACTCCCTGCGTGTCCGTCGTAGACTGCAAAGAGCCTATAGCCAGCAACGTCCTCTTTGACGTCAATTGCATCTTCCATGTTTGCACGCTCATTTTTGGCTACAGCGTAGCCATAATCAACTCCCCCGCCAGACTCTTCTTCGGGGAGGAGGCTCGCCTCCTTGTCCCTTCCAAGGCAGGTGCAAAACTGGCTAAGAAGCCACCACATTCTGTCTTATATGGAAGCCTGCGGGCTTGCATCTACACACTTGCAGCTGGGCCAGACCTTGTTCGGCTGACATTCAACGGTGAACATCCCCCTGCCTTGCAGCTTGAACTCCGATGCCAGACATACACACTTGAAGACTTGTATCATAGTATTGTGCCAGCGCTTCGTCCGCACAGTTTTTTAGCCTCTTTGGCACCACAGGTATGGCGAAAATCCTGCACGTTAAACATTTGAAGATGCTCGTCTTAGGTCAAGAGCGCGTTCCTGGGCGCAAGAGGCAAGAAGCACTCAAATGTCGTACGAAAGTATGTTACTTGTTGGCAACTGATCGTATGAACATCATATACGAACTACGAATAACCTGCAGCAGACCCGAAAAGGGTCTGTGATTTGCCTCAGCCCAGACTGCAGCCAAGGCACCCGCAGGGCGAGAAGCAAGGTTGACGCAACGCCATCTCTCGCGTAGTCAAGAAGATGGGACATCTTGACAGGATGGGCCCGCATAGGCTGAGGCTCTGAATTCTTAGCATGTCTTGGCTTTCCTTGCCTCTCCCAGCCTGTGGCGCTTCTCCCGGATTCGTCGATCGCCCTCAGGGCCTCTGCACATGGAGCGACGAGACGCTCAGCAAGGAGGATTCGTGGCCTTCAAACTGCTCCAGGATGCGCGGCCTAGGTAGCATCTTTGCTGTGCCCAGACTGTGAGACACTGTGGATGCGACTTTAAAGTCTGAGCTTGGAGCAAGTGTGGAAGGGCATCTTCACGCATAAAGAAAGCGATTTTGGACCAGTCAAACAACTGCACGCGACAGGGTTCGACAGGGTTCACCACGCAGCCATGCTTGCTGGGGACTCTTTCGCAACTCGCAGGCCTGGTGGAACGGGGGCTGTAAGCGATTTGAAATGATCAGCGGGACGCAGCCGTGCATGATGACCTCCCAAAGGACGAGTCCGAAACTCACCCATTGCAGCGAGACGCCTTGGCGCTACTCGCGCGGGCATGATCTTGCATGGCCTCGATGAGACGGCCTGTATTAGGTGAGTCGCCATCGGGGCATATGCACAACCTCACGGCGCTCATAGGTTCAGCGGGAGCATGGCCGTATCCCATTCGACCTCCGTGGGAAGCTTGAGGCAAGCACTTGGATCTGAACGCAAGTTCCGACCAGTCCTGCAGAGATTCTCAACTCTGAACACGGGCCTCAACTAGTTCACTCAGGTCGCGATGATTGCTCCCTTACTTGAGCAGTCAATGTATCCAGAATCTGTGGACCTGCTGACGAAGTCTGAACTCCGGCGGGAAAATCAGGACTCGGTCCTGCCAAGCCCATCTCAAACCCTGAGCTCTGAAAGCGACATTGCCCTGATTGGAATGCACCTTCAAGGGAGACTTGGCGCTGCGCTCGCGCCGCCTGTCCTCAAAGGCAGAGCCCAGGAGACAATGACAATGCCATATTTATTTGTATATACATATAGCACAAACCACTTCCCAGCGAGACGGCGAGTTCCGAAAAGTGGGCGCGCCCCATTGATCAGTACTGCATATCTGGACTCTGGCCAGTCATAGATGTCGTAGTTGAGAACAGTCATGACAGTCGTAAGAGTCAGAACACACAAGTTTGGTGAATTGAAGCCAACACGAAAAGGCTTACAGTGCGTCTGACGCCAATGCAGAGCTCCATACAACTGTCCATACAACTCCATCACCACAATAACCAGAGATCACGAGCATCGCATGAGAGGGAGCAAGGGCGAGACCTTACAGACGCAGTATCTCAGTATGGGCAGTATGACAGCACCTCAGTATGACAGTACGAAATTCCGGCGCAACCATGTCAAAGGTCAGCTCACAAGGTTTCACGCCTACATCCGTAGAGGACCATGAGACATATCTGAGCAAACGAACTTGCAAGACAAGCAGGAGTGAGAGACCACGCCACCAGTCAAGCGGTCAAGTCATAAACCTTGTGGCTGTAGACAAGGCAGTCGCATGACAGACAGATCAAAGAGCATGAGACAAACCTCGCCGCGACGTCTCATCAAGAGGGGAGCTAGAAAGGGAGCCATTTAGCAACCATGCACACCGCACGCGAAAGGCGACATGTGCAGCCCTGTACGGTATCTTCCCTCAAGCCCCATGACAGCCAGCATCGTGCCAGTAAAGATTGCGGGAAAGCTGATGGCTGACATTGAAGCCTCATGTCATCATGACAGAAAACACTGTGAATTACCCGGGCTCACTGTTCGTCATGCCGAAACAATCACTCCCAAACAGTGGTAAGAACCAAGCGGCCATAAAACCTGAACCTTGTCTACTTTGCATCGGGGATGGGCCTCCCTCAAACCCATCTCCGACTCAAAGCGCCCGCCGAAGACCTGCAGTATGACGCTGCAAAGTCCCAGGCACTTAAGTGCACTCTCACTGTCGCTCCCTCCTGTTGTCATGCTTGTCCTATTGGTTCTCTCATCTTCTTTGCAAAAGTGCTGACCCGCCAATGGGTGCACGTCAACATAACAGAGTGTGGCACTAGGAAGGCACAGGAAGTCGCAGCGATTGTGGGAATGCGCGCGCCCTTCGACATGTCTGTCTTGTCTTGTAAAGCCCCACAGCCTCCTGGAGGACCGTCCGAGAACAAGAATTTCGTGTACCTCTCACAGCACACAGTAGCACGGCCAAAGCAAACATCGCACGAGCATTGTCTTTTCCAGCCGATTTTTTGTGGGCACCACTGTAAAAAGCCAAGATATCACGATGCCGATACGTCTCTGCCTGCACACTCAGGAGAGTATGACTATCTGATTCTACTGTCATGCGAATGCACTACATGGACGCGTTTTGGCGAGAAGAGCTTTGGGCATCCAGCACGCTGGGTCCACTCAAACGCAACGACCCAGGGCAGAACGATGTCCTGACCGTCGCCCGAAGGCACTTTTTACGAACTAACCAATGCTTCCGTAGCCGCACATGAAGCACTGAATTGCAACTCACAGTAGACCTAGTAGACCTGTAACTCATAGAGGTGTGTAGAACCTGACCTCGTGACTACTGTCTGGCCCAGCTCCTGTGGCAGGATGGCAGGAGGCTCCATTTGGCAGTGAAGTTCACAAGAAGCTCCTCAGAACCAAAACTGAACAGCGGGTTTGGTATAGACGCATAGACGCGTTTACAGCCCCAAGATATTTTCTCGGCAGGCATAAGAAACCGCTACGCAAGTCGCACCGTGAAGATGAGGATAAGACGACACTTGTTCCCGTCAGGTGGTACCCAAGCTGTCGCATCCCCTGTCGGGAAGAATATGTGATTTCCCGTGGGCTGTTCCCATTCGAACCTGGAACCCGAAGGAAGTATCTGTCCGGTTGCTGTCGGAGCCAGGGCGACATCCTTGGACTCACTGGACTCCACGACTCCAATGCAGAGCACAACAACAGTTGACTAAGTTGCCACTTACTGGACTTACTGCTTATCATTGGCGGTGGTCCCGCCATGCGTAATGAACACTATCTTGTCCGCGAAGTGAGAAGCGAAATTTCGCCACACCTCGAGAGACTCGAGAGTGTTGCGCGAAGTGCGAGAAGGCTTGCGGCCCTTCAACAGCGCTGCTGGATTTGATGGGCCACCGACATGACGCGCGTAGATGCTGGCAATGAGGAATTTGCAACTCTCCCGTCTCCTAGGAAACGCAAGGCAATGTCGGAGCGAGTTTGTGCCAGCTTGTGAAGTCAGGGCTGCTCTGACCCTGTCCGGTAGAGTGCACAGCAATATGCAATGGGAAAAGATGAGGGTGCGGCCAGCAATGCCAAAACTCCGGCATAACTTGCCAAACTTTCTGGACCTCCCAGCAAGCGGACAAGTGCGCAAAACTCCGGAGAAGCTGTTGAGGCTCAAGGAAGTGCTGCTTGGGGCGCTTCGCCTTGTTCATGAGGTATGACCTGTCCAGTCCTCAGCACGGAAAGGAACACCACGGCTCATAATTCATCAACCTCCTCATCCTCAAGGCTATGGCGAACCACCGTCGAGGCTGGGAGGTTGCCCTCATAGCCTTGTTAGAGTCTCAATCTTTCGCAGAGTCGTGGCAGGTCAAGCTGCACACTTAGCTGCGCGAACGACATCCCAAACTTCGTTCGACTTCGATTCATGGCAAGATCATCTCGCCCTGCTCACCGAACTGAGGCAAAGCACCGAGATACGTCTCAGCAAGTCGCCTGCCCCACGTGGAGCACATGTCATGAAGCGACTCCCCGTCGAGAGCTTCTCATAATGACTACCCTGCTACCTCCATACCTGGCCCAGCTCCCCTCCCTTGATGTTCATTCTGCCCAACATGCAGCAAGTTTGGAAGTAGGGGCTGAAAAGCTGGGGCACTTGAAGAAAAACACTACTCAGCCCAGGTGGTTTGGGTTAAACATGTAGTTTGGGAGGTATGCTTTGGACTGAAGCCGGCTGCTCAGATGCAGATGAGGGTTGATACTCGTGCCCAGATCACCCTGAAACCCGCCTTTTTCGTACACTCAAAGAAGCATGCTACCAAGGAGGCGAATATAGGCGAATCCCCCCGAAGACCCAAGAGTCCTACAGGCCTTGTGTCCAGACAGCTTATAGGGCTGTTATACATATATATATACACACACGCATGTGGGGTTTGCAAACTCAGCCTAGGCAATCCGAATGCAATGCAAGAAATCTCCTTTGCCTGGACGAGTTCAGCGCATTCTCTGTACCCTGACAACATGCTGCATCATCAGCAACACGACACTACATTCAAAGAAATCGTGGACCAAGTGGTGATGTCATTGACGCCTGCCGGCGCTGGCGCCTCAGGTCATCCTGCACGACCTGGCTAGAAGCGGCTGACAACATGTCGAAATGTCACAGGCTTTCTTGGTGAACCTACAAACTTATTGAGTGGAGCCTTGGGCACGACTTGTTCTTTCCTCCTCATGAGGCAGCTCGTTGCGGCTTTGTTCAGTGCGTGCAAATGTGAGGCTAATTCGGCCTTTGGAAGGTTCGAGGCGGGGACTGTGAAAGTGCATAAGGCGTTTGTGGAGGTTTCTAGGCTACTCCGCGCAAGGCAAAGCGCGCGAAGCTGTGCGAGGTACTGTGGTTGAGCACATTGTGGGGGGGGGGGGCCGGCAGCTAGGACTGCTATCACAGCCATCACACACATTTCGAGCCCCCACTGGGCCCTCGACCATGTGCATGAAGACCTCAGTGACAAGCCATACCCGAGTGATAAGACGTCTGTGCGAGACTGTGGTAGTGTCTGATGCAGTCTTTTGAGGCCTTCGTCAGTGCCAAGCGGCACCTGTGGCACAGTGGGGAAGGAAAACGAAGTCGGCCGCCTGCTTTTCAGCTTAGCGCTTAGCCGAGGAGCTCGAATTACAAGCGCTCTGCAGACTTCTGCTTTCTGCTCCGTCAAATATTCGGATCTCTGCTCTCTGCTCTGTTGTGCTCTCTTGTTCTCCTCAACATCCTCCACCATCATGACCGCGTTCGACCTTGGGAGGCAGAGAGGGCAGAGAGGGCAGAGGCCACACCAGCACGGAATCACCACAACATGGTGTCATCTTTTAAATAAACCAAATTGTACGTGTTGTCGAAGCGCCCCAGGCCCTTGACGAGATGATCCGATGAACCCAGTGCTCCATCGAGTAGCGAAATCCTGGCTCTCGTGGCTTCTGTGGGCTACCTTTTGAGGCACACGAGCGGGCATTGCAAAGTCAGCCAGCTCCACCCACGGACTCCTCCATGTACTGGCATGCCCGATCCTGTGATGCCACAGCCACAAACTTTGTGGGTTGCACGTGCGCTCTACACCAACCATTCTACAGAACTTCCCTCGTCTTCCTCTCGCGACGATACCGATTTCGCAAGTTTTGACTTGCCCCGAGACCCTGGCAAACTCTCCCAGAGAGAATACTTGCGGCAAGCCGTTCCTGACAACTTGTCGCAACACTCAAGCTGAGCCGATCTGAGACGAGCTCACAGGTGCCTAGCATCTGTCCACCCTTTCAGCACTCCGAGCATCTCGTCCGTGAAGATAGTCACCCTGGCAGTGCCGGCAGCGTCTGGCTGGGTCAAGTGGATGGGAAAGTTAGGCAAGCCGAAGCCACTGGGGGTCAAAGTTCAGCCACCCTCTTTGACGATTCCGTGCGATCTCCTGTACAGAGCAACAGCCACTGCAATTGACTGGAATCCCAGGTGAGGCAGCTCTTGTTGCCAAGACAACTCTCGGCTTGACAAAAAAGCAGCTTGAGAACGATGTCAAGACGGAGTCCTCGAAGTATTCCACGGCCTGGTTGTCGGCTGCCTTTGTCGGCTGCGCACTCTGCGCTCCGGGCTGTGGTGACTTGCGGGTCGCAACTGCACCAGCCTCTGTGGGCGTCTGTGACACTTCTTCGAAGTCAGACTCCCCCGTTCTAGGCGAGAATGTGGGATGGTTTGTCAATGATTCTCATGCGAACGTGCGTCGCAGCGAATATGGGATCCCGGCTGCTGGCGCCAGTCCAAGCAACGCAACAAGTCCTCGTAGTCTCAGCCAACCACTGCATACCTTGCCATGTGCAATGTTCAGCTCGCCTCAGTAGAGTTCGTTGGCGCTGGGCATCTCCTGGCACCAGCTCAAACGAACACGGCAAATGCAAGCATTTGAGACACATCCCGGCATCACCGCCTGGCTTCCTTGGTCTCGGTCACGGCAGCGGCCAATCCCAAGAAGGCCTCAGTCGAAATCCGTTTGGAGCATGGCTTCCTGAGTTTCATGGCAGCCGAGACACAGACCAGAGCTGAAGATGCTGAAGCGTGACTCCTGCCCAGCGTTCGTACTAAGAAAACTTCGTAGCATCTCCCTGCAGAAGCTTTCAGTCAATCATCAAGCTACAGATCGAAACCGTTCAGAACATCACAGGCTGACAGGCAGGTGAGCAACTAAGATCAAACGTGCTCTCATATACAAGAGGCGTCAGAAATCAGTGACAGTTACCCTGTGGCCAGCGCTGTCGCCTGCAAATGCTGCGGCAGCCGTCATGGCCCATCAGCTTGCACTCAAACCCGAGCACTGGCCATGACAAGCGCTCAGGGTGAAGAAGGTCGCACAGTTCGCGCACACAGCACAGTGGCGAGGATTGCCCAAAGTTCCAACCCAATCAGCCCATGCTGACGCACGACGGCGGCTTTAGTTCCACGTCATTTCACCCTGATGCGCTGCTCACAGAGTTTGCATAAGCTCGTAGAAGCAATAGAATCATGCATAAGATCTATTTGTCAAAGCTACCAGGCTCAAGCCAGAGGGCGCTTGGCACATGGCTTTAGTCTGCAGAACTGTCTGCATTGAACTCATACACGTACAGCCGCCACTGGACTTCTTTTCAATGCTTGAGAAGAGAAAAACGTCCAAAGTGTTTCTGAAAACACCGGCTGCAAACCTCCCGCGGACATCCTCCGCCGAGACAACGAGGATGGGCGCTTCTGAGGGTCCCTTTAGGATCATAGCATACTGCAGCATACCCTTAGGTATGGAAAATGGCAGAGTCACTGTCTTTGCCAGGCTCCAAAGTAGAAAACCACCAGCTTGTCTCACAGCTCCTGGGCGGGGCCCGAACGCTGATTCTTTATTCTGACATGTGGCAAACTGCATGTGCAGTGCGATGCAGTGTGGAGCCATAACCCAAACGGCCTCCTCCCTGATCTCTTCCTTCGTTGGGTACCCGTAGTCGTCGGAAACAGGCTCCTCCACCTTATCAGCCTCATCGACCTCCATTGATGCCTGCTTCGTCGGGGATTTCTTCAAGTCCACCTCGACTTTGCCGGCTGACAGCATGGGGGCCAAGCGCCCGTTCATGACTTGAATTTCGGTCGTCTGAATGCTTTCACTTCCGTGGGAGGTGAATTTGAGCGCCAGGACGTTAAAGAGTCTTGCGTAGGCAGCCCTCACCCCTTCGAAGTCAGTGTGGTATTTGGCGAGCTGGGCAGCCGAGAAGATTTGCCCTGCAGCCAGTTTCTCCCAGAAGGTAGGGTCGGGGTAAATGAAATTTTCGTCTGCCTTGATAGGAACCAAGTTCCCGCGGACCTCCACAGGGCAAGCTGCTAATGCGCTTGCAAAGAGGACGTCTTGAAGCAATCCCTGGGTGAGGATCACGAGGATCACCTTCGCGTTCGCGTACTTCTCGGCAAGCACGTCCAAGTTTGAAACCTCAATCTCCGGATCCAAGACAGCCACGGACTCCTGCAGCTTGGACTGGAGCATGGACTGGATCACCTGACATGTCACGGCATCCCCCCTCCCGCACACAGGATGTCTGATAAACAGTATGACGTCGAGGCAATCCCCCGGCTACAATCATAGAAATCCTACATGGCATGCTGCAGGGCGCCTTGCAACAGCTCCCCGACTCTGGTGTTGTCAAGTCTCCAAGCATCATCATGGCGCTGGCCTCCTGGCAACCACTTGCAGGAGGTCTCTCTGTCGCAGCAGGGCACGTCGGTCAGATTGCATGATTCCCCACCTCCTCCTTGGATGCCGTTTTGGTTACCCGGCTGAACAGCCGCTTGCTGAGGCCTGACGGGATCCGGAGGCAGTTTTGGCGTGACGAGGAGTAGAGCTGTTATGATTAAATCTAGCTGACACCTGCATACTCTTGGTACAGGCCCTGGATTTTGCACCCACGCCTTTGCACTGGGCCAATGCAAGTTGCACTGCATGCTCGTGCTCGCTGGTCTTGGCACCCTTGCGAATCAACTTGATGGGCGTTCGCACTTTCAGTCCTTCATAGGAATCCACCTCAGATCTTTCCCCATGGCCCCAGATGCTTCAGCTGATAAAGTGTCATGGAGAACCGGCACAAGCTTCACAAATGTAGGCAAGACTCAATCATTTTCATTGTGACACCAGCATTGACAAGCGTTGCCTTGCGGAGTTGAGGCCAGTTGAGGGTTTAGGGTTTTAGCGGCCTGGGAGGAACGAATATCATTGTGGGCTTACAAAGCCTGCAACAGTGGCGGGTCACATGCCTGTGACGGCTTCTCGCAACTACTTTGCCCGGCTTTTCGTCATGGTAGGCAATTTAACGATAGCAACTTGGAGGTGATGCTAACCACGAGCCTCAGAACCTACATCGTTCAGCACGTTGCCAGTTTCATCGCCCAACACCCAGATCTCAACCCTTCCACCAAGCCTGAACACTCATCTGAGCACCACTCCGAACAAATCTAAACACCAACAAGATCTACATCCTCACCTCCAATCCCTTCCGTCCAAGGGAGACCATGAGAAAAACGCTTTGCCTGCTGCTCTTCGGTCCAGAGAGAAGGCAGCGATTCGATCAGCTCATCAGAGAAGCCATTGCCGTCGCAACTCACCAGTACCTGAGTTAGGCAGGTCGCAAGGAAAAAACCGACAGGCAAGACATGGTGAAGTGAACCGTGCTTTCGATGAACACTTTCTGGCATCCATCTTTCTGTGCCTTACAAGACACAATATTGGTGTTCGCCGCCCATGCGCTCGCAATTTCTGCAGCGCACCACATCCTCTTCAAGGTCTCCTGTTTGTGCTCTGGCCATCCAGGCAACATGAGCAGAAAGGTAAACAAGCAATACGAGTTTAGGTGGCGTTGTGTTTTCAAACAGGGGCCCCATCGTGCCACTGCAGGCCTACTCCCACCTCCAACCTGCTAGGATATCCCCCAATCGCGCGAAACGTACGCGAAACGTACGCGAAACGCACATCGGTCTCCTGAGTCATGAGCACAACCACATTCGTGGAGTCCCATGCAGTTACGTCGATGATCGCATCCAGCTTGTTGACGTCGTCTGAGTCCAAGAAGACCTCTTGCCAGAAAAGATGGGTTGAGCGGGGGAGATGTCGAGTGACTTCTATGCTAAGGCTTAGCATTGCCAATATGCTCGTGCGTGTTTTTGTGTGCATGTGTGCACATGACTGCATATGTCTCAACAGTGCCCTGGCATGCCCCTTCGCGCCTTGTCCTTGATGTGCTCGGTGAGCATCATCTTCCACCACCTGGACAACACGGCGGCCCCCAGCTTGTGATGGCTCAGGAAGATGCCATAGGTTCGCGAAGGTCGGTATGCACGGTATGTCGCCGTGCCAAAAAGGATAACCAAGCCGATGAACGCCAGCACGGTGCCAATCATCAAAATGATCTGAATGAACACTGTGCCTCTCTGCACATCAAAGTCCAGCAGCATGCTGCCAACGACAATGACAGTGATCAGGAAAAGCGCGAGGCCTGCAAACGAGAGGGTGGAGTGTTCTGCTTCAAAGGTGTTTCAAGAATTTCACAGCGGCCACGCACTAATGCCCGCCAAGCAATGCCATAATGTGCACTCCGAGCAGCACGAGTCCATGTAGTTTGACATCTGCGTGCGCCAAGGCCAGATGCGCGCCTGACAAAGACAAAACAGATGCCAGCGGCACTCAACACGGCACGCAGCGGCACGCGAAGTGTCATCAACCCTCTGCGCTGCGGGCGCTGCGGCCACCCTCCACCCCTGGCAGAGCCCCCACCTTGCCTGCAAAACAGTATATACTGCCACAGTCACCGTGAGGAAGATAAACTGGAGCTCAGCAAACTCCACCAACAGCACCTCAGCAGGCTTGCTCAGAGGGGTGCATGCAGGTGATGAAGCATGGGAATGCGCAGACGCTGCTGCCGCTCCTGCCTTACCTTAAAGCCTAAGCCCGTACCAAGATGTACCTACTAAGTCTTACTAAGTCCAGAGGCTGGGCTACGCAGTGGGAGGATGTCAGCTTGGATTAGGGTCGGGTCCCTTTCAAGGCGCTGGGATGAGGCCGATCAAGAGGTTGCGCGTGTTCAGCACGAAGGCAAAGTAGTAAGCCGTCGGGCTGAAGCGGGCAAACATAAAATTCCAGCGCTTCACGAAGTTGACGCCTCCTGGCTTCGCCACCTTCATGGGGTATTGAATGACCTCAGCACCCCCCCTCACTCATCTCTCATCACTCTGACCCCATCGCTTCCGCAATGCCGCAATGCAGATCAGGGGCAGCCCAGATCACGAGGCCCATGAAGGTTACAACTCCGCCGAAGAAAGGCAGCAGTGAGAGGCCGACCATGCCCTGGGCAGGCTCTTGCAGTCTCACACAGCTCAGGAATCAACGACTCAATCCGTAAAAGCAAAGATGCACTCTGCAGTGCAAAAAATCTTGCTGCCAGCAGGCCCAGTGATTGGCATCCTGCCAGCAAATGACATCCCGGAAGGCTGCGAGGGAGGACGTCCCATCAGGGTTTCCGATGCATTGAAAAGGTTTCACAGCTAAGAAGGTCAGGGCCTCAGATCCGATAGATGCGCAAATTCTGCTGAGTGCGATAAACCACCGCTGCTCCACCACTACTGTTCCGCACCAGCACCGCGCACGACCTGGGCCACTCAGGCACGGACAATGAAGACTGCCGACACGATCAAGCCCTGGGCATTGATAACCTGGTTTAAAGTTATTTCCTTTTTGAGCAAGTACTTCGCAATGGCAAAGGCCAACATCACCGAACCGGCCCCCATGGGGTACATGATCAAAGATCCAATGTAGTTCTGCAGAGGGTCAACGTTCCCGAACCAGCAACCCGGACGGAGGATGCCGATGTCAAAGGTCAGGAAGGAAAGGAACCCACGGAGTGTCTTCAATGGCTCGACCCACTGCACCTCGACCTTGGAAAATGCAGACAAAGTCTGAACGGTGGCAATGGCAAGCCCAGCTCCAATCGTCACAGTCATCAACGAGTCTCTGTGAGGCTTGTCAACTTTCGTTGCAAACTTGTAGAGGACGAGCACCAATACCAACCCGGCAAACAAGGCCACAAACAATGGCCAAATGGTAAAGCCGCCACCCGAGCAGGTCACGCAGGTCGAGCCGTCGTCATAGTTGTCTGGAAGACAGGTGAGGCAGGCTACACCTTCGTTGGCACCAGGGCATTCACCAAGCGGCATGTCCCCAGGGCAGCGGACGCTGCTGCTACACTCCACGATGTAAGATGGATCAGCACCTTCGTAGGCTGGGGCTCCAGCAGAGTACCCCTTAGCCTGCAGAGGAGGATGGTGAGGGGCAATGCTTGCATTTAGTCGGCGGCCACCGCTCGTCATGCGTCCTCCCTTGCAGTTGAGGCCCAGCCCGCACGGCTTGCATTCCGCCACATTCGTCGTTGCAGAACTCCGGTGCCAAAAGGTATCAGGAGGGCAAACGCACTCGTGACTGTGCTTGGAGCTGGGATACAGGGTCGTGCTGCCCGGGAGGATGAGATCGCATGCTAAGCAGCTTCGAACAGTGCCTACGGGGGTTACGTCCTCCGGATCTTTGTAGGCACCCACGTCACAAATGCAGAAAGTCTGTCCCACATCTGATTGCGAACTACGGGATGGGCAAGGCTTGCACACCTAGGTACAGACATCCACAATGCTCCACATCTCTCGCGCGCAATCATCAACCAAAAGCTTGCTTCCAACTACAGTTCCTAAGCGAAGGATGCTAGAAGTAGGAGATGCTGCAAGCTCGAGTACAAGAATCCATCATCCTTGTTAACTGATCCTGTATCTGTTGATTCTTATTTCTATTTTTTGATCCCGATGCACCGTGATCATACTAAGCCTCACATTCAGGTTGCCCAGAAGGGGCCATGGCTTAGAGAAGTATGAGTATGTTGACAAGGCACTTCCAAACCTCTTTGGTCGGCATAAGTTTCTGACTCGCACAAACTGCACCCTGCCGTGCTGTTGCCGTCCCTCGCAGTACCCAGAGGGCACTGGTTGCAAACTCCCCGATCGGACTCCCCGTTCTGGTAGCGGCCCGCGGGGCAAGTGCCGCACTCAGTCGACCCGGTCACGCCGGGCATGGTCCCCAGGCCCGCGGAGCACTGCTCGCACTGCGAAAAGTTCAGCCCTTGGCTTGCGGAGTTGCGGAATCTGCCCTCAGGGCAGCGGACGCACTCGGTGGGAACGTCAAGGGTTGCAGTGCCACCGGCGTAGGTGCCGGCTGGGCAGCCCAGCCGCGCATCCCAGCTGGGGCTCGGGAAGCGGAAAGGCGTCGCTGCCGCCTGCCACAGTGGACGGGAGTTCGGTTACAAAACCCCCCAGAAACAAAATGAGAACCCCACCTCCGGCGGCAGCACGGGCCTGGCACAATGTAGGTCGACTTGCCGTATATCATTCGACCGGCCGCATGCTGACGATATCTGACAGTGATAGACTCTCCCCTGCCTGGTGCCGCCATCCTCCAGGATTTGCCAGTTCACACTCATGCGGCCATTGTTCTGGTTGAAGCGGTTGAAGCGGATCTGTCCGTACAAGGTCTCGTCGTTCAGTGTGCCCACGGACATGCGGATTTCCTCACGACGCTGGGCCAAAGTGAGGCCATCCAATGCTTGGCCGTACTTCGAAAGGCCAAAGGTGATAGAGATGCCCGCGGCCATACAGGCCGCCGCATCCTCGGAATGGGATCACCGCACCAAACTGCTTGGGCCCTGAGTTCATGACAGCTGCAGCAACTGAGGCAAGCACATAGCCCGGGTACTTGCCAAATTGCTGGAAGAACACCCCGTTCATCTGCTGGCTAGAGCCGAAGATGGGATCGGAAAAGCCCATTTCGTGGTGCCACTGACCTCCCCCAATGTTGTACAAAGCTTCGTCTTTTCCAAGAGCAACGGAACCGTTGCTCCAGTAAGACCTGCTAAGACGGTTTCTACGATGCGGTGCGCAACAAAGGACTCGAACCGAAAAGCGAAATGGTCTAAATTTCAGCTACCTTCAGCCACTAATGGGAGTTCAGGCCGAGCAGCTCGTAACCGTTCCAAGCAGTTCCGGGATAGTTGGGCCCTCCGAAATACATTCGGTAGCCGAACTTCTGATTCATCATGGCCATCAAGCCACTGCGGGCGGCAGCAAGCCAATTCACGACCTCAGGGGCCGGCTCATGAGCCCACCTAAAAAGTCCCACAATCGCCGGCCGTTATGCGCACATCGAGTCCCAGCAACTCCGCGTACGCGCTTGCTTCAAAGCGGCCATGTCAGGATCTGCCCCTTGCGACCGAACGTCCTGCGGGCATTTTTCCGCGGATCCCGCAGACTTTGCAGCGCATGCTCAATGCACATGCACATGTGCAAACAGGTCCTCGATGATCCCCTCTACAAACTGGACCAAAGCCGGAGAAATGCCGGACCCGCGCGTGTCAAAACCGGTCTCTACAACCAGAGCCTCAGAGACCTCGTAGAAGCTTGGCATATCTGCAACGTTGTACTTGTACCCCATGTTGTCAAATTCCGACTGGGTTCCACATCGGCAGTTGCCATTCTGCAAGGCGCAGGTTGTCGTCTTGTCGGCCCACCTCTCACACCAGGCCGCCGTCGGCCCAATGACCTGCAGAGAGCTTTCAAGGCTCCACTCCATTGCGGCGACCGCGGAGATGCGCGGAAACCCCCAGTCGTAGTTCCGGATCACGACAACCGTCTTGAGCTCCAAGAGCGCAGCCTGATTGCATGAAGAAGGTTGCTTCTCACACCATGGAAGGGTCCCGCTTTTTCAACATCAAAGATCACAGTGGCCTGCCGGATCGGACCTCTGGAATACCAGGGAAATGGCAGATGCAGGCCTCAGCTTGGCGAGCGTGGCGCACCGCCGAGAGACCCACATCCAGAAAAAAAGTTCGAAGCGCCGGGGCCCTAAAAGCCCTAAACGGCGCCCTAAACCCAAAGTCCAGACCAAAAGCAAGGCAAAGGCCAAGGCAAAAACAACAAGAACAACAGCAAAAAAACAACAGCAAAAACAAAGCAAAACAAAAACAGAACAAAGCAAAACAAGGCCCAGGCCGAAGGCATGCGGTGTCGCCGCGGTCCAAGACATGGGGTTCCCACCTTGTCGCTGACTCGCGGTGACATGGGGTGGGTGTGATGGTGGCAGTGCTTTGCCCACCAAATAAAGGCTAGATTGGTGACCTAGCATGTGATTCCATGGGTGTGAACGGTCAACCTAGCTTAGGGGCCTGTCCAGGCCGCGGCGCGTGCAAGCGTTTACAGTTCTAGACTCACGAAACCTCCGTCTCTTTCATTTGCGATGCCAGGCTTGCAAAAGCAAAAGACAGTCGACTACTCTCATCCTGGTTTTGCAAAGATAGAGGAGGTGGGATTTGCAAACGGGTTACTCCCCGCAACCTGCCCTGGAAATCGTAGCAGCGCCGCACTCGACCTGTTCCACCTACCCGACCTCCTAAGAAGAAAGACTGGGTATGCCCTTGGGATTGTCGTAGTCTTTCAGAGATGCTACAATTTCACGAGTCCAGCAAAAGCCAGCGAAGTGACTAAGAAACATGCATGAGAGGCGATGTTTCTGCCAAGAGTCCGGGTTTTGTGGTACTTTCCCTCCCTGTTACACCCTCATTAGATCCCTGGATTCACAAGGGCAGGTTGAGAGATCCCGAATGAGCTTGAGAGGATGTGAAGGATCGAACGACACACAAAATCAGTTCATTGCAGGGGCACAAGAAAGAATTAGACGTCGCGCAAAACGTCGAAATCGCGAACATTAAGCTCGCCCGAGGAAATCACGAACCGGCTCTTGATGTTCCAGCTTCTTGATGTTGCAAGGAACACCACCAACACCCCAAATGAGCAACCGACAAGATTGAGCCATATTGGTTCTCCTTTCATTCTTTCCATGTAGAATGCCCCGGAATGCAAGCTGCCTAAGGCATGAGCTCAAACCCGAAGCAACCGGCTCAGGTGCCCTCAGGTGCCCCTCAGGTGCCCTGCCTGAACAGTGCAAATTGGGAATTGAGTACGCCTCTGCAGCGGTCTTAATGTCGTCGTTGGAGCTCGAGGTTCCGACCACGATCGCATCGACACCTTCACTCTCCGCTCGATCGACGCAAGCGGTGACCTTCGGCAAGGGGTCCACTGAGAGATCCTCCTCGCTTTGCGCCCCAAATCCCCCTGCCCCAGCGAATCTCCTAGCAATTACACGTACACGGTGTACGGGTACAGGGTTTTGGGCTTGGTCCTCGCAGAGTGTCACGTCCAGGGTGTACTGCTGGGTCCCACCCGCTATGGTGAAACCTTGTGCGTTTATCTGCGGCACGAAAAAGTCATAGAAGCCTTCTTTCCAACCTGAGAGAACATCAACACCAGGGCCAAGCTGGAGATACATGAAGGAGTTGAAATGCCGCCGAATCTGAAGCTACAACTCTGTCTCTGCTACGACGTGAGCTCACATGACTGTCCTTCCAACCTGCGTTGCTCTGGGCAGAGTTGTGTAGCATCAACACCTTCACAGTGTTGGACTCCACCAGGTTGATGCCACTCAAGAGAGCAACCACAAGCCACATTTGGTGAGCTCGCTGTGATACAACTGATGGCAACATGGCTCTCTTATTGGCTCTTCAAGACGGCTTCTACGCAACGTCCTGAGAGCCTTCCATTTGCGGTGGCGTTCAACAAGCACTTGCCTGCAATCATGGTGGGAGCGTGATTTGAGCGCACCTACCCAGAAACTCAGGTGGATGGCTTCACCTTTTGCCTATTGAAGCTGTGAAAAAGCGTTCAGCACTCACACTGGCTGATCAAGGAAGTCAAAGCGGTCAAGGTAGCTCCGACAGAACCTGCAGGATACAGCCGGGCCGCTCTCCAAGGGTCACCAAAGACCAAGGGTCTCCAGGGAAAAGGTCCATCCGAGCTCCACGCCAGCGCCAGGTGATGGACAAGCGTCGCTCTGAAACCGGCGGAACCTGGACAGTTGATGTACTCACTGAGGAGATGCTGCAAGCACCGCCGAGCTGGGTTAGGCGCTTCGAAAAGCCAGCTCCCAAAACAAACCTGGGTACGATGAGGACAGGCCTTATGGCCCCAGTCGTAGCGGGCTTCCCCTTGGAAGCACATGGCCAGGCCCGTCGTCTCCACCACCGGCACCTCCACAGCTGCCGCGATCCGAACGGCACATCTCGGGGGCACTTGCCTTTTTGAGGGCCTGCAACCCGGGTTGCTTCATGTGCTGAAGGACCAAGCCATCCCCAGAGCCTCGACGAGGCGACATGCCAAATCACGCGAAATCTGCGACATCTTCGAAATCTTCGAAATCTTCGAAATCTTGTGAGAGGAGTCCGTGGCTTCACCGGCGCCTCCAGCACAAAGGACCACTGCCAGAACAGGCTCCTCTGCCAAGCCATGGGATGCTAGCCCCGTGAGCCCTTTGAGCACCTCAGCTGCTTTAGAGTCGTAAGCCATTTCAGCCATTTTATCATGCCGTCACAAGCCATTTCTTGGAGTCCTCGAACATTTCCTTGCTGTCGACGTGCAGCTTCAAGCCCTCACCGGAGTACTGGACAGCACTGATGAGCACTGGGGCGAGCTTGTGCCGCAAGGAGCCCCGCGCAGCTCTGCAGACTGCTCTCTTGTCTCTCATTTTTCCTTATCTCTGTCTCTCTCTCGCTTCGAGTAGCTCTCTCTCTCTCTCTCTCTCTTTCTTTCTTGGGGGCGAACTCCTTGGCCGTGAGTTTTCTCTCGTTCTGCCTCTCACACTTCTACCTCTCACCCTTCTACTCGTATCTCTCCCACTTGTGCTTCACAGCTTGTGCGCACCCGCCCCGGCTGGTACTGCCGGACCATGACCTGCACCAAGGCCCGATCACAGGCCTCCGCGCAAAGGGGGATGCTAAATAAGGGATGCGCAGAGAGTCCTTCAAATTTCTCGGGATTCACGGGTCACAACTGTGGGAATCTGGGATGGCTTCGGACGACTGGGGTGTGTACCGGATTGCTGGCCAGGCCAAAGCTCTTCTCGCTTGCTGTCATGAGGCGATCGCAGGCCGGGTAGGCATCTGGACCCGGGAGGCTCCTGACCAGGGCGATTTACAACTCTCTGCACACACTCGCATACATCACTTTACGGACGACGTCCTCAATCGGCCACGGCCGCCATTCAGAGTGGTGAAAGAGAACTGCATCTCCAGCTTTCTTCGATTTTGAGACAGGCAGGCATCAAGCTCAGACCTGCCGCAGGCTGGCAGTCTAAAAAAGGGCCGACATGTTGCGTGGTTCCTTCCTCGGCCTCGCATCTCTTGCGACTTTGAGCGGTAGCTTCAAGACGCGGAAGCCACTGGGCAACGTGACAGCCTGCAAGCCTGCACTTGTTGAAACACGGAGGCATGCAATACACAATACCACCGCAGGTCTGCACCTTGGCATAGGCAAAGCGCAGCTGCTGCAGCCACCCACCAGCGTCGCATGCGCGGCTTGCCATTGAGCGGTTCATGACCACTACGGCTCTCCAACGACGAAACCCTGACGGACTTCCCGTCAATTTCGGCAGCTGGCAGATACACCGGGTACAGTAGAATAAGCGGCCCCAGAAACAGGAATATGGTGCCAGAATGAGGTCACAGACATACGTTCAGCTTCAGACATCTTAAGATTTCTTCTCTGACCTGCCCAAGCCCCCACATGAGACCCGCACACGATCCTCGGCTTGCCGACGACACTCACTGGAGTGGCTGTCAGTGACAAGCAAGCCCACATCAATCCGCGTGAATCTTGCATGATGTTCTTCAAAGAAAGAGAGAGAGAGAGAGAGAGAGATATATATATATATAGAGTAAAAAACACAAGAGAAAAACAGAGCGAGTGAGTGAGAGAGAGAGAGACATAGAGAGAGAGAGAGAGAGCTAAACGGCTTCACTCCAGCATGTAGGAATCTTTAGCTCCAAGCACGCATTCCTGCGTCCGAGTTTTTTTGGAAGGGGTGGGAGGGGGCAGGGGGGGCGGGTGAACTAGGTTTCAGCCCCTGGGACCTGGCAGGATTGGCGTTTCTGCCGTGCCTGCCGACCTCTTGCCTCAGAGCCAGGCAGCCAAAAGCCCTGCAAATTCAAAATGCAGCGTTCTGACTGCACAACTATTTACACGGCCGCATCTCACTGCTTGGAATAAGAAGCAGCGAAAGAGCTTTGGCGTCCTACTGCTAAAGAAGCTCCTTGTGAGGCAGTTGAAAGGCTGCGTGACATCACTGGCGTCCAGACGGCTCTCGCGCGATGACTTGGGCTATCACCATTGGCGTCTGCCTTGACTGGAAAAAATGTGCATGTGCAGGATACCACATGATACCCCCAGCCAGTCACAGATTCTCTTCCTGCTTAATGTGCAGAGCACTCAATGCAAAAATAGAAATCGCACATCAAGAGTGGCTTCCAGTCTTTGATGTGATACAAAGATGCCTCATGCATGACTGCCTTGCATGTCCCCCAATGCACTGCACCGAGACTAGGAAATCGTTCCTGTAGACGCATGCTGAGACAAAAGCAACGGTCAGGCCCTGCGAGGTCACAGTCCTTGGGGCAGTCTGGATCTTAAGCAGCGGATCTGCATGCAGAAGTTACACTGAACTGGTGGCTGCTAGCTATGTCTGTGCGTTGTCTGACAGGCAAATTCTACAGAAGCTACATCATGCCGACACGGAATCAAACTCGAAGTATCTGCCAGGTCTCGTCAAGCGCCGATTTCGACGCACTATTCCTGCAGCGGCTTCTTCTGTGCCGGTTGGAATCTCCATCTCACTGAACTGCTGGATTGCTTACGTTAAGGGGAACGTGGATTGCTGGATGTGCAGCTTGGATCATGCAAGGTTAGCCGCGGCCAAGGCCACCGGCGTCCGAAAGAGAAACCCGTTCTTTCCCCTCCTCTGTCCCCATTCCAGCCCTTTCAGGGATGGAACAAGCTTGGCACATTTTTGTTGGCATCGCCCGCTTCCAACACGAATTTGCCAGCGTACTCGCCAGGTGATCATTTTCCCCCCCTCCAGCTTTGGAGGCTTTCCAGGTCCGCGCGCACAGTAACGTGTGCACTCTAATCAGACCTTGGCGTAGGCATGTAAACACTTTCTAAAGCTGCGCCTGAATTCGGTGACGACGGCACCGGGATCTGAATGTCCGTAGGCGGCACCTGAGATCAATGTCACTAACTGATGGAGTGGAGAAGGGTGCGCCTAAACGGTTTTAGGCGCGCCCCTCCTGATGTGCACAGCCTCCAGGAATATACAAACAAACAGTTGCTTGAAATTGATTGCAGGCAGGGGCCGTGGTTGTACGTGCTTGCCTTGAGCTGCCATACAACAGCATACATTTTTCGAAGTTACGTTGAGAGGATGTTCAAGCTGCGCAGCGCTTTTCAAAACATCCGTTCGAGGCCGGCAGGCTTCTGTTGTTACCGGGGGCCGCATGTGGTGGCTGGCTTATGGCGATCCTTAGAGGCTAACTGTGGTGCAGTAGGAGGTCAACCGTGGATGTGAGGCCCTGGCTGCACGCTCTAGCAAGTAGCTTGCTGCAAGCCTGCCACGCGTCTTGGCGTTGACATGGGAAGCAGATGGCAGAGAGGATGACAAGGGGAAAGATGGGAAAAGCATGAGAACTTCGAGCAGGATGCAAGATGGGCCTTCGTGGAAAACTCATGATATCGGCTACATATGTCTGATGGACGAGGCTTCCACATGTCATCCTAGCATCTGCGTGTCGCACTGGCCATGACTGGCCAGGAGCACCCTTCCAGATCCCTGTTGCGCTGTGCCAATTCTTGATTCCTGCACAACGGGGGATGGTGTCCCTGCAACGAAGCTACACAAGTTGACGGAGTTGACGGCGGCAAAAAATCGTGGCAACAACGTAGACGTCCTGCTTCTCAGTTCTGCGAGCTCGGCTCGCAGCGATGCAGACTCGCCCATGTCCTCCTGCATGTCAAGACGCGGGACCAAACAGCCCGGTGACTTTTCACACCATGCAGCAACTGGAGACCACAGCACAGTACTGAACTATGCTGAGGTAGACGAATACGCCCAGCAATGCTCAGTGGTGTGCCAGAAGACTGGGACACATAAAGCAACATCCCTTTCCGCTTCCAAGGTTGAGTGACTTTGAGCCATCGACGCTCGACGACGTTATCAATCTCTATGACCCTGACTCCGTAATGAGCTATCTTGGGACGTCCAGGCGGTCGTCACCGATTGTCCGTGATGTGATCCGCGCTTACAGCGCTGGTATTCAAAAGGGCTTTCCCCTGCTTCTCTCCCCAGATCCTGCAATCTGGGAGCTGGGATCTGGGATGTGGGGACTTCTGGGGGGATCGGCAACCGGAGAACCGTGACCTAATGATCATCTGGGATCAGGGACCTGAGGGTCTGTATCTGTGCGATTTTTGGGTTCTCAGACCGGTCAGGGGGGGGATCTGCAATCTGGGGATCTGCGATCGGGGATGAGCGGGCTCAACGTTTTTCAATTTCACTCTGGGACTTGGCGCTCCCATACGTGTCAAACCCAAAAAGGTTTTCCATCCAATCTTCACCATTCTTGTCTCATGGACTACGCAACATACTCTGACCTCTGCTGCAGAACTTCAGTGTGCAGTACTTTTGAGAAACTATTTATCCGGGATACACAGCTGCAGACATGGATTGTACAATCTGGTATATGGGGGCGTTCTTCCAGAACCAGAGCTCGTGGTGAAAGTTCGCACATCGCAACGAACCCACCATCGCAACTAGCCATCGGAACATCATCGAAAACCCTCGCAGGAACACCGCACACCTCACCATGAGCCTTCCAGAATCTGTTACAACCACCATTGCGCTTGACCTTCCTGGGGTCGACCACAGACTAAAACCGAAAGCAGTTATCTTGCTGCATTTGATCATGAACCAGCGCCAGGCTGTCCTCCATCCTTTTCTGAAGAAGCAAGTGTCGGCAAAGTGTTTGGTTCTATGCGCCTTTGGAACCTCTTTCGTAGTGGCCCTACCGGTGCGTTTCATCAACTCTCCAAGTCTGAAGAGCAGGTTGGCAGGGATGCCCACAGATGCCCACGTATGCCCACGGATGCTAGCCTGTCTGCAAACCTGGCTTGACATGGAACGAGGGAATTTATCGCCCAGGCTCTTGAGCCCCGAAACCTCACCCGAAGTCATTGGTCTCCCCGTCTCCTCCAAGTTGATGGCGCGGAAGGCCCGCTGCTGCGCATCCTGAAGCAAGGTGCGCGCATATGTCAGATCACATGTTTCATTCATCCGAAGGGGTAAATGTCTGTGCATGTTTCATCTTCGTAAAGGTAGCTACTCTGGCATACTCTGGTGATGGTGCATGTGAAGTTATGTGAAGCATATCACAGCAGCTTGCACACCCCAGAGGCCTTCAGATCTCGTCGTGTGATGGACATCTCTGCATGCATGCGCTGCTCGGACCGTCGGCGTCCAAGGGGAAGCTGGTCCTCTCAGCTATGGCCACGCCGAGATGTGGTCTTAGCTGCACCGTCTTGGCATATGATCTTAGAATGGGGGCACCATGTCCTTGTCCGAACTGGTTTGCCGATTCAGGAAGCGTTCCAGCAGGTTCAATGGCGGAGGCCTCTCAAGAGACACGACCGCAGGCTCCGTGCAGCAGTTTCAGCTGGGGTGTGGCACAGTGTATGATAGTGCCATAGAAAACATAGAATGTGTTGCAGCGGCATGAAGCACAGCTTGCACAGTAAATCTTCGTTTTGAGCCAAGAGGCAGGATCGACTCATGGTCAAACTCCAGGACTGCCTCAACCTAGCAGACGTAAGGATCGCTGGCTGCAAGCATGGCATAAACTTGCTTTGCTTCAGTCCCATCATCCGAGGCACGCGGAAGAATGCCCAGGATGTCTGCGACACCGCCTCTCAATGAGGTGTTTGACATTGTTTCGCTTCTTTTGGCTCCCTATATACTTGAGCTGAGAGAAGGCCACAGAGGCCGCGTATTTCCACGCAGTTGCACACATTTGCACACCTGATTCTGCTCGTAGGTGCTGTTCATGACAGCAATGAGGAGATTCACCAGGAGCCTCCGTGAATCATGATCGCACGCCCTTCTGCGCCCTTGTGAATCGCGTTTGCTTGTCTCTAAACCCCTACATACCCCAGAGACTGGGGCAGTCACACGTTGCAAACCAGGGCCAGCGTGTAGACCAAGATGTTGGCAATGAACCTGACAAGATGCGACAAGCTGTTCGTGCCATCTTAAAAACTTTGTCTCGGAAGCGGATCCCCCACCACCTTGTTACCGGAGTCAAGGAGTCCAGCTTGTTCACGGCCTTGTCATCCAAGTTTCCCACGATAGTCCAGAATGCCCAGGTCAGGCCCTGCCATCAAAAACCAAAGAGTGAAGCTTTGGGTCGCAGTCGCAGTACCATGTTGTACCCTTTACCCTGCAACCCCACGCAGCTTGCGCCTGCTCGTGGCGCTCGGCACTTTGTGTAAAAAGAATGGGTGTGATGGCACAGCTAAACCTCGGCACCGCTGTCACGTGAGAGGACGCACGAGCAAGTGCCATCAGACGGCAGACGATCAGGTACCTTTGAAAACTTCAAGAACGCAGGGCCGCAGCCCGAAGCAAAAGATGATGACGAGAATGAAGAACTTTACAGCATCCTCCCGGTCAGGGCCCTCGCACTCCGTTGCCCCGACTAAGGCGTCTCATGTTCAGCCTTCGCCATCCCGAAGATGGTGAGAAGTAGCGTCCCAAAGTATTCCGACTGCTGCAGGATTTGCAGCACGCGGATCCAGCCTGGGATAACGTCCGACTATCCCAGCAACTTCCCCAACCTCGTGAGAGGAGCACCATCAAACTTAAAACGCCATCTCCGGAAACAGGTGCCGCACAGGGAAGCAAGTTCATCGCATGGGTCACCTCCAGGAGGTGTTCCACCTGCGGGAGGGGGAAACGGCATCAGCAACATGTTGACCATAATGGGGCACTGAAACGGACCTTCCAAAAAGCCGGCTTTACATGACAAGACGAATCGTTCACTCATTGCCTCATTCATCTCATCGCTCTTGTCGTCAGCCAGAAGCACTCCCAGAACGATAGATCCCAGCAGCACAGTAATGTGCCTCGCACTCTTCTGCTCACAATGCACCAAGTACACCTCCAGTGTCTGCCAAGGTGCAGCGCATCCAGAAAATTCCAGAAGTCATGGATATATGCCTGCATAGAATGCGCTGGCTGAACTGGACCAGCTACGAACGGCAGGAAACTGAACTACTCCTAGACAGACAGTTCCCACTTTTCTGCTCTGGGAATGCGGGCAAGCGTGCCCTAGCCAAAGCATGCCACACGCCCTGGGGCTTTGAAAGGTCCTTCCAGGCCCTTCGCTAGCAAACGATGCTCCCCGGCCTCCCCGCACAGAAAGGGAGGGAAGGTGTAAAGAAGGGGTGAACCGGGTGAAGGGAAGAGCCCGCGTTTCGCGAAAGAGGCGCTACGCTGAATTAGGCCTGAACCTTGTCAGAGTCCGTCAGATTCGGGAGAACCACCCAACCGACCCATGGAAGGTCCACGAAGCGGCAGCACCACAACCCTAAACCCTCGACAAGCCTGAAGCCTGATCAGCAAGCCTACCGCCCTAAACAGTGAGCTTGCCCTAAACAACCCTTAGCCCAACAGTCCTGAATTGCCTTATAAGGCACCCCAACAGAAACTTGTAGGCAGCGACAGAGTGCCTGGAAGCCGTTGTCCTGCAACTGCTTGATCTCCACTTTGCCGAGGCCCAAGCCCCACAGGAACAGCAGCACCTCCCCCAGGTCTCTGGCGCTTCTTCGTGAGGAAAGTAATTACTCAGATTGCTGAGCTTCTCAGCACGGCTCCATGCCTCCACGGTGCTCACGCCGCCGAACGTCAGTAGCCTCGGAGACCAGCTGCGAGATGCCGGGAGATCCCGACGGAACGACTTGAGACCTACTGTGGAGGTCCAGGGGTTATCAAGGAGATATGGCCAAGGGCCTCAGCCCATAGACGTGTTGTCAGTGAAGACTTGCGCCGAATCAGAATGACAGCCGCAGCCATGTTGACAGCTGCACCCCAAATAGGGGGGACCAGAGGGGTGGGAGTCTGAATTCAGTTCGGTGCAGGGGCATTGGCTAGAATCGTCATATCGCTAAGGCCCCAAAACACAATCGCGAGCTCCCAAGGAGCCAGATCTCGCGATCAAAGCCAAGCAGCCGATAAAACACGGCGTACGAGTACAGTCCGACCTTGGATGTGCGTCTGCTCAAGCCGCTCCTAGTCCTTCCTTTCTTTCTCGGTCTGACCCAGTCTGAACACTGTGACTGATTGCAGAAAGGTGCGAAGATGCCGCGAGCTACGCCGTGCGTCCAGGCCTGTGAGGTTCAAGTGAGCTCCAGCCTTTTAGGAAAGGGCATCGCCTGGCAGCCCTGGCATATGCATTGCTGCAAACCACGGCCTGGATGGAAGGGATGGACAGGAACTCCCACAGAGGGAAGCCACAGGCCTGCACTCTCAGGGAACAGCTGTGTCCAATGCGCACAAACCGATGGAAGTCCTTGAAGTTCCAGGTGAGGCTGAGGAAAGGCCACCTGTGGAGAGGCTCTGCATGCAAACTCGAAATCTCACGCCGCTCGCGCACGGCCACTGCTCACCAACCCGAGACCCAGGCCATCGCAGGAACTGCGCATCCAGCTGATGCCTGGGCCACCAACGACTTGACCAAATACACGCAGTATGGGTATATCCGGTCATTGGCTACTTGTATGTGTGCCGACCGTTCAATGTTGGGAGCCGGGCTTGTTGATCTGGAAGGGGACTGGGGTCATCCAGTACAGGTCCACGGCCAGTCGGTAGAAGGTCGCCGACACAAACGTCTTGCATCCTCTCCATCAAACTTTGGAGAAGCTCATAGAAGCTCCAACAAAGACTGAGGCTCGGCCTAGCTCGTGGGCGAGCTTGAAGCAGGTGCGCCCTTGCCCTCCCACCTAGAGGCATGACTCACAATGACAGTGAAGTAGGCCGCGGCCACAGAATGGTCGCGACTTCGTTTGCATTGCTTTAGATGGCTGCCGACCTGCCATCTTGCAGACTCGCGGAAGAGGTAGTCCACGCCTGGCCGCGCATCGCGTTGGTGGGGAGTGTTGAGCTCCATAATACTCCACATCTCAAGCGCATTTCAAGCATGTCAGGGCCTTTGCCAGACAGTGCGAGGTCCTCAAGAACGAGGCACGCCAGCCTGCGGCAGCACAAGGCCATCAGCCAGCTTCGACTTCGGTAAGTACTCGACTCTACGGTTGCGTGTTCAGGGTGGTGCTACCACTGCGCCTTTCGAAGCGATCGGCTGCGTCATCCAGCTCCTTCTTGGCAAGACCATCCTGATACCTAAGTACTGTGATCGCAGAGTACAGGATTCGAGCCAAGGCCCTGGGGCCCGTACGATGCATAGAAGTGTTCCCTCTCAGCAGTGTCGCGGCAAGCAGATGCTGCCACCAGAGCAGCATGCACCGGATCCTGACAAGGAGCTGCTCTTGACTGTGCTTGGGTGTTTCCGGAGTTTTGCAGGCAGGTTCCTCCATGTACGACCAGATGGTCTCCAACACAGAAGAAGGAGCCTCCTATCAAAGCAAGCTTCACGCATCTTCAGTTGTCCTGCAGCTTCGTCATGCGCGAGCCTTCTCGATGGACCAGAGGAGCAGGCCCTCCAGGGATGTCCAGGACTCCTCGGGAGCACGAAGTTATGAGCGTCATGAGTCATGAGAACAATCAGCGGAGGTTGGAGGTTACATGGCAAGGACTGTACGACTCTTCCGAACACCAGGCCCGTTGCCTGGAAGCCGAGGCGGCTCCAGTGAACACAGGGCTTGCCATCTTTTTCAGGCGGCAAGGTCTCGGCACTGACCTGCCAAAGGCAAGGGTTTAGGGTTAGATGGGCCCTGCACATGCCGTGGCCTCAAGCTCCACAGCTGGGTCATACTGGGAGCCTCGAACTGGTCCATCTGCTTCAGGTAGTGCTGCAGTAGCCACGTCACCAGCACGCCTCGGGCTCTGAGGTTGCGCATGGGCATGCCATGATGTGTGCGCTCTCACCAAAGTCTGGCCCCATCGGTTCGCAGGCAAACCGCTTCAACCATCAAACGCTTCAGCAAGCCGCAAGCCTGCATTCTCGCGCACACTGCGGACCAGGGTGATGGGCGTCTTAGCCTTGCGAGGATCTCACAGCCTCTCCCTAGCTACATGGCCTCTCGCGGCATAAAATCATAGCCTCCCGGGAGCCAAAACCGACGAGTTCCTTGAAGACGAGCCGGATTGCCTCAGGGGCATCTCGTATGCGGACGTTGCTTTCGGCTGCTGCATGGTACGCATTGTACGCTTTCCTACTGCTAATCACCAGTTCGTTTAAGCGGATCTCATGTTGTATGATGAGTTTTAACGCAACCCCAACATTGACCATCATGTGTTCGTAAACTGTTGCAACTCATTCACTTAGGCTTCTCATTCTTGATGCGTTCGGTTTGCCAAATAGATACGAAAGAAGCGAATTGTCTGAGGCCAAAGCAGCTTCGGGCCCTCGCTCGGAGCCACCCCTTTCCTGCACGAGCCTCCGCATCGAATCGCGCTGCGCGGGGCTGCAAAAGTTGAGTCAACTCTCGCTGCGCCTCTGGCCCAAGCGGTCGTAGTAGCTCTCACCTAAGAGGGTCCCGCAGCTCTTGGAGTTCTGCAAGAGAGCTCTCACTGTCTCTCACATGGGATTCAAACTCATTCAAACAGGAAAGGCTCTGGCAGCCCCACTGCACCGCAAGGGAGAGCTGCTGCCTGGCGTCCCCGCGCCATCCCCACTCCAAAAGTCAAGTACACTAAGCCTTCGATGGGCTCACAGCACGTTGACTACTTGATGTTCATACCACTTAAGGCCCGCGGTCGATGCTTGACCCGCCTGAAACACTTGAGACAGGGATTGATTGGTAAACGAGAACTCCCGCAGGCTCCAAGGAGCGAGCTTCGTCATACTGACGCTTCTTAGACGCCTTAGGCTTGTGGGGCAGGTTCTGTTGTGGGAAGTCATGTAGCAAGCTTTCACTCCAACAAATCTGTCATGCCCCAGGAGAAACCCCAAACGTGCTGGACAGGCCATACGCCCACATTCTCCGTGGACCTGATGGCGTTGCCCAGCACGGCACGCAGCACCACGTCCTCTGATGGAGATCTGTTCCGACTCAGAAAGGAAGAGATAATGATAAAGAAAATGCAAATCTGATGTTTCTGAGAATGGATGATGTGTGTAGAGGCTGCAAAAGGGTGCAGGAAACGGCGCCTCGAAGCGGTCATTGATGGTGTAGATCTCCACCATCTCGCTCAGGACCTATAGACTATGGATATACATACACGTATGTGATATATAATATGTAGATATACACATATACACATGTATTCAGGTCTTATGTACGTGTACAATGTAGACATACAATACAGACAGACAGACAGACGGTCTCAGACAGGCAGACAGACAGGCAGACAGACAGACAGACAACCAGGACGGACAGGACAGACGGACAGACACACATACACACATACGTGCATATAGTTCGTTTCTGGCAAGATCCTTTGGAAAACGTCCGAATTCCAGGGCGTCGAGGGTTCGGCGATTGTTTGGAAGTTCGCCACATCCTCGGGAGCCAGGGTGTCCTTCGGCATGAACTCCTGGCAACATCACAGATCGGCTGACAAGTCAAGGCCTTTCCAAGACCTGCAGCCCCACCTGCACGGCCCTGTCCAAGGCTTGTCGGAACTGGCGGTCTGCATCTTTCTCCGAGCCACTCGCGCTGTCCTGCTGAACAGACCCAGTCAAGCAATTGCACGCAAAGGCACAGGGCGAGGAGACCTCCTCCTCGTCATCCGTGTCTGCCAAGCAAGGCTCTTCGAGAATCCGGCAGATGACATCGGCAATGCGGCCTGTTCCTGTACGGGAAAAAGCCACGAGCCGAAAAGCATTTGCAAACGGGAGGGAGGGCGAGAGAGAGAGAGAGAGAGAGAGAGAGCCTTGGCACACCACCAGAGGGCAGCCCGTGTTGATGGCCTGGCCAGGGCGCCGCTTGTCCGCTCTCAATTCACTCGCTCTGGGTTGAGACTCCGAACGCCTGCACGAGGGAGATCAGGGAGATCTTGCCACCATTCACCAATATCATCACCTCGGCGTGCTGTCAATTTGGTGCTTAGAGTCAGACGCATCCGAAAGATCAGTGGTGTGGGATAGTCTAGGTGCAGCACACGAGGAACTCGAGTTCGCATGCCCCCGGCAGTCACGCCCTGCGAACAGGAAGCTGATCTCACCCGGGCTGTTCATGGCATCAGCAGGTACCGTAGCTGCTCAGCACTCAAGGATCGACTTTGGCGTACCCTCGTCACGAATTCTTCGAACTTCGTGCCTTGGGCTGTCAAAAGGCTTCGCTTTGCAGAGTTGGGCTTTAAGCAACTTTGAGCAGGCCACGGAACTGGATCTCGGTGCCAAAGGCTTTGCTTCCGACCTCTTCGATCATATTCGAAGACTGTTCAGCGCACATCGTCACCACCAGACTTCTCCAACCTCGCCATTGTCACAGATGATAAAGTGAGAGTGGTTGTCCTGGCCATGCACACTCTCCACTCTCCACGTATGTACACGTGGATGGCAACGAATGGCAAGAGCTCCTGGAGAGCTGCCAATGGAATGTTTCCATCGACTTCGGGTGCGGCCCCTTCCGAAGGTTTTGCGCAAGCGGCATCCACCTCACAGAGGACAGCATCGGCACTGCGTCAGCCTCGCAGGCTGTTTGTTTCTGAGGCTGGGGGCCTTCGTCCCTGAGCCGCAATCGGGCTCCTGAGCTGATGCCCACTCATCTTGTTTCACATGTGCTGATGCTTGGGAGCCCCACGTAGACCGTGTTGACAAGGTCACGCCATTTGCAGGTAAGCGCCCCTGCACAGTCAGGCGATGTCCTGACAAAATCAAACACTGCCCTCAGTGTCTGAGACGGCCGCCATATGGCGTGATTCCAAGGCACGGCACCTCACAAGGTCCGACTAGCATACGGAGAGAGCATGTGCCAGTGATGGAGGACTGGCCTGGCGCTGCTTGTCGTGCCTCTGCATTGCCTGCGCAAGTCAGTCCATGTGCCCAAAGGCGGCTTACGTACGCCTACATCACAAACAAGAAGAAATGGAAATAACAAGCCTTGCCAACAATGTCCATCACTCCACTGGCAGTGCCGCCAGTAATCACCCAGGCAGAGGTGCGGGTAGCCGCCTAGAAAGCATCACATACGCGCTTGGCAGCTCCAGAGAGGCGCTCAGTAGCTCTCAAGGTCTGCCTCAACCAGTCCCTGTGAAAAGCCATCGATGTCAAACTTGTCAGGAGGCAGATTCATGTTCCCTGCACCTGCAGGGACAGCCACACAAAGAAAGCGAGGGGCCATGGCAGTGCTGGGCGATGAGCACGGCGCCTCCCATGATGGAGAGGATAAGGTTGGGACTGCGAAGCCCCCACTCCTTTGTAAGCACAAGACACACACGCGCACTGGAGACATGTGCGGGGGAAAATCTACACCACAATATACCACAATGTTCCAAGTGGAAGCGCTTGGACTCGGGCAGGTTGGACAATCCTTTCCAGCAACTGCTCTGGAAGGGCCGCATGTGAAATCAAGCAGTACCTTTCAAGAATAAACCAGATCGGAGTGTACGATCAGGCCAACGAGCTGATGTGGCAAACGTCCAAGGTCACTGGGAGGTACCGCTGTCAAAAGCAATCTCTGCTATGCCCTGGCATGAAACAGGACTGAACAGCACCTCTACCTGAGAACGACTCTGCCCGAGGGCAAGACTGGGCGGTTCCTTCCTGGTGGTCTCAATGATGCCTGAAATCGGAGCTTGGTGGAGCTCAGCGCAGTCACGATAAGTCATGTGTTTCAGCCGTGTCTTCCCGTTCCTCAAGATCTTTCTCGCACTCCGACGTGGTGTGCGTGACATCATCAGCTGCACGGGTCCTGTCACAGCATGTCTTGCCCTAGCACGTGACAAATCACAGGCGGCCAGTCGGACCTGGTCAAGGTGGGCCTCAAGGCCAGACCCATCCGAGAAACGGCGGAGCGGAACCTCCGAACACAGGAAAGGAAGTATGAAATTCAAAGAAGTAATCTAAGAGTCGACGACTTAAGCGCGTTATGTTGACTCGACTGCTTGGAATACAGACTCTGTTGCACCCCGAGGGTTCTTCCGCCCGATTGGGAGGCAGACTTTCGCGCAACACCCGTTGTCTCGGTCGTCAGGTCTTTGTCCTCAGTCTTGGAGTCGTCTGTGGCGATTGCAGGCGCCAGCTTTCGTCAACTCGACTCTGCCCTCAGGCCAACACGGCATCCGCAGGCAGACTTGTGGCGTGCGGGAGCCCACAGCCTTCTGTGAACGTTCTGGCTCTGGTGGTCCTGCCAGCAGACTCTGCCAACATGCAACACTTCAAAACAGGTTAGCATTCTGGGAACAGGGCTTACTGGGGATTTGAGGCCTGTGCCACAAAACCAGCTACAGTCTTGTGCGCGTTTATGCCGCTGAACCATAGCAGATCGGATCGGCATCTTGACATATTCACACCGCATGGTGACTTGGTGATCGCATCTACCAGCGACAGCGAGAAAGCACTCCGCGACTTAAGCAAGTCGGGGATGCCCTTTGGATCCCAGCTGTTCCTGGCGCTTGGTAGCTACTCGTCTGGGCAAGATTGCTGCGTCGTTTGGGCTCAGAGCTCTCACTGAGCTTTGAACTATGCGCATCTGGGCTCCGAGCTGTTACGCTCTTCTTCAAGGTCCTCAGAAAGGGTAAAGGCTGACGAGAACGTTAAACGATCCGATGCTTCTGCCCGAGCACGAGAGGCCAGGCCTGTCATCGCCAGCAGGCTTGTCGGCAGACGTCTCTGTTGCGCTTCGCCGGCGCTGGCATTAAGCAAGGAATGAAAATAGATACATGAAGCCTGTTCAAGACTGATGAGGGCGCTGGCTCTGACTCCGTCATGGATGCACGCAAGACGACATAAGAACACCCCAAGCGGGCAAGCACTGCCATCTGGGGCGACTCGTGTGTCATGGGTCCATGGAGCCATCAGTCCTTTCGCCAAACTGCTTGGAACCCTGTGTCTCGATAGCTCAGAAATCCGGCCTCCACAGCCACTAGGCGAGGCGGAGGATTGGAAGAGTACTGCACGGAGCAATACGGAGCCGCCGCAACTTTCCCCTTGTGCGTTGCTTGACTATCCTTAAGTGCAATCCGGGATTTCTAGGGCCTTCAGCTTCAGGTCATGCCTGGGGGTAAATCTCTATCAATCGAAACTAGCGGGGCTTCTAGTGGGAGCCAGTGCCAGGTACTTATAACTTGTATGCATACACTTGGCAGGCAAAGCGAATCATGGGAGCGACAGAGGTGAGCGCTGGTTCACTACTCGCCTGGTTTTGGTTGGTCTCTCTACCATGGACAAAAGAGCCCGTGGCCGCAGGAGCAACGGCCGGACCTGCAGAAACTGCGGCGTCGATTCATGCGGCGTATGGCCGCCATGACCGCATAATAATAATAAAAATAAAAATAATAAGAATAATAACAAAAATAATGAATCTTGAGATCGAACAGCTTTTCTCGGTGCCTCTCTCGGAGCTCGGCACGTAGCCAGTTTCTTCGAGTCTTTGGCATCCCTCTGCTCCGTTGAGGATCAAGAGACAAAGAGCTGACCAAAGGATGGAGACAAGCTGAAGGAACTTAAAGTCAAGCTTGCGAGGAAGCTTCTGAACCTAGGGGGAGCTGTTTTCCAGTGGATCGCTGTCTCCATCTTGGCCGAGGCGGTGCGAAGAAATTGCACACACCCAGACGCGGAGTCACTCTACCCGGGGATGAGGTTGCATGCAAACACGACTTGCCAATCGCCCACCTCATCAACAGTGCTCCAAGTATATACTCACCTAGAGAGTTGATGTCTCATCCCCGCCTGCCATCCGTTCGGATCAACACTACACATCGTGCAAGTCCCTGAAGCGCGGTACACCCATAGTTGCCAGAGTCCTAAACAGGTCCTGCAACGGGTCGGGTATGTAGAACACCTACCCACAGCCTACCACCCAAAGGACCGCGCAGGAGACCGCATTCGGACTGCAGGTGGCCCGCGTGCACTCAGAGACAAAAATGGTCTGCCATGTGCCCCCTGGAATCTCGTCTCCACAGCAAAAGCTGTTGCAGTTTGCCACATTTGCAACAGACTGCAGCAACAAGCTGTAGCAACATTGTACTTAGGCACATGAAGACCAGCAACCATCACAGGTTGCAGCACAGGGCCAATTCAAAGCCTCAGCGCCACACATCACAGGGTTTGACATATGATATTGTGTCATTTTCGAAGAGGGAGAGAAAAAACGACGAGAAAAAGAGGTGAGCGATGATGTGTAAGGCTACCACCAAGCTCTTGGCCTCAGTAATCCTGGCAACGGCTCGTGCGTCCCGGCGTGTGCTCTCTTTGGCTCGTTGTGTCAGTCAATCAGGGAGGCAGGGCGTCAAAATCCTCCTCCCCATCGTCATCATCGTCATCCTTGCTGTTAGCATCGACCACAACCTGGGCCAGCGCCAAGCACCGGGGAGCCATGCCTAAAACGATCTCGAATGTCAGCCCCTGGCGCACTCGGTAGTCAAAATCATGGCTGCAATTGAGGTTGCATTCTGCAGGGCTGATCGCGTCACCTCCGAGGCACGCAAGAACAGAGAAAAGTGCCAGGTCAGCCTTTGGTGGTGAAGCCTTCGCCGGATCGATGATACCCCGCCTTGGGTCTGCAAGATTTGCAGGAGCAAGTCAGCAAGTGGCGTGGAAAGTAGAGATCAACATAAGCAGCGTGCTGAAGCATATCCGCATACTCCAGCAGCAGGGCGTCGAAGCCTGGTCCGCTTGGGACTCTGACTCAAATTGGGAAAAGATGTCGCCCGTCCTTGCTTGGTGTCTGCCGTGTCCGCAACCTAGCAGAGTGGGAGATGCCACGAGTATGCCAGGAGCCGGCTACGCAGTATAGGAAAATATTCTTCGTACATGTGTGTGTGTGTGCGTGTTTGCATCATATAGCAAAATTTATCGAGTGTGAAGCATAGCCTGTCTGAATGCCAGTCATGGAGCCTTTGCAACTGGGAGCACTGACTCCGAAGCAAATCCCAAGTGTCGACTGGGAGCCCTCTCAAGTCCCTGGATGTTCCTTCAATGGCTTCTCCACTCTGTGCCGCTCTGTCTGCCTTCTCGGCTACAAGCTCGCCATTTTGGCCAGAATTTGCCTGGAGGATGGACGCTACTTCGATCTGGAGCACCACAGATGAAGAGATTGGTCATGCTTGGACGCACTCAAACAGGCTGGCCACACCGCAATGCGCTTCAGCGGCGCACTCATGGAGTCGGCAACAATCAGGGCACCCTTCAGCTCATCCTGACACACTTAAAAACACAGGTTTCGAAGGTGCTGTTCAGCTGCGACATTCGAGTTACGGCCATGCTTTCAACCGAAGCCACCTCCGAGAGGTTTTCCGGTGCCCACGTCCGCAGCGCTTGCGAAAGGTGGCATCTCGCTGCTCATTAACATGCTCATTGACCGAGCACACTCGCACACTCATTGCTCCTCTTGCCGCCGCAAGCAACCAGGCTGAGTCGGGGGCAGAGCAGCACCCCCACCTGGCACGATGCCTTCGTCTACTGCGGCCTGGCAGGTGCTTGCGGCTCTCAGCTGCAGACAAGTTGCAGGCAGTGACTCTACCTTCGTGGCATTGATCGCATCCTCCAATCGGAGCTTCTTGTCCTGATGTCACATCACAGCGCGTAGGGCAGGATGATCGAAGATGGAAGCCAATGGCGCCGGCCTTTAGCTCTGTTTCTGTTGTCGCGCCAACCTGGCACAGCCACATGCCGCCAGTGCTGCCGCATGCTGCTACGAAGTCGAGCATGTCGTGCTGCGCCAAGTCTCCCTTGCTCGCCTTGATCAGGGCAACGCCGCCCACAAGCTTGGCCAGGCGCTTCTCGAGCTGCTCCTTCGTGTAGCTGCTCTTCGTCTCCTCGATTTGCCTGAGGTTGCGCATTCAATCCGCACCCTGTGCGACGAAGAAACCGATCGGCGAACTGCGAAGTACTACGAAGACGAACCTCTACAAACTACAAACCTGCATGGCCCCGATGGGCATCTGCTGGGGGACCTCCGGAGCTGCTCGCAGCGGTCGTCCAGAGCCTCTTTGGGCGCATCCGCCACAATTGTGGTCGAGTCCTGCCGGGATCTGCCCGTCAAACAAATGCTTCCGTCCGCAGAGTTCAGCTTGAAATTAATTCGACAGAAATCACGGCGAAGTCCTTGCCGACGGAGATCCGTCTGGCAGTACCTCGCCACGCCGAAGCCCAAGGAATGCTGGGCCTATGCAAACTCGATTAGCTACGAATGTAAAGTCTGGGACTGCGGCCGAAGTCCTCTGCCGTGATGGACTCTAGCTTGCGGCCCAGGTCGTCCGTGATGTATCTGAGATTTGCATTGGGCCAGGCCCTCCGAGACATCCGGAGCGTGCAAGGCAAGAGACTACTGAGGCAGCAACGTTGCACTGGTCACCAAGGCAATGTCCTGAATGCTGCCATAAGAGGCGGGAGTGGCACCATGTGGGGAGATATTATGTGTGGGGCATGAACCGTTATTAACCACATGAGCGAACAGCGCAATAACGTTTATGCGGGCTCGAAGTGGCGCCCAAAGCGGCAAGGGCATTTTGTGTTGAGTTGCGGAAAGGGCTGGGCATATTCTCTGTTCCCCCAAGATTTTGGGATTCGCGCATGGACTAGACACAGTGCATTGTCTGCATCTTTTTGAAAGCCATATATAACATAAGAGAAAGAAAGGATGAATGGGTAAACAGATGCATGAGAAAAGCGAATAACTCCATGTCTGTCACATCTTCGACCCAAATCCTCTTATTATTCTCTCTCATTCCGTTCCGAAGCATGCAAACAGGAGGAGGGTAGAAGATGAAGAATGCTCAAACTGGCGCTCTTCCCTCTCCTCTGTCATTCCACTCCTTTCCTGCTCGGCTGCATTCTCTGAAAAGAGACAAGGAGAGGAAACTACGAGAGAGAAGAAGAAAACTATCTGTATTGCACAAGCAAAGGAACATCCCTTCTCTCAGGTTTCCTGTTCTGTTCATTCTCCAACTTGTCCGGACTGGAGGAACATGAAGGGAGTTGCAAAAGGATGGAAAGGTGTGAATGCGTGGAATGGTTGCTTTCCTCGCCCCTTCCTCTCCTCTCCCGCTCGCCTTCTGCCACGCATTGTTCTTGCCTTCCTTTGCTTCCCCCTTCCCTTGTAGGGTTTCATTGGGTATAGATGCTGCATGCGTACAAGCAGCCTGACCGATGCAATTTCAATACTTGGCTGAATGACATTACCAGATGAAGCGGCTGTATTGGCTGCGTGCACTCATATGTACTAGAAAATGTACATCTACGTGATATGTGTATACATATATATACATATGCACCCCATGTCATGCGGTTTAGGATGCAAGGTACACTCTCCCTTCTTCGAGGAATCCGCCTGCAGAATGGCCTTGCGGTTGTCACCGAAACCGGGTGCTTGGATCGCACCTCGCGCAACGGAAGGCAAGAGGGTACAAAGGCAGCAAGGACGATGCTGGGATCAGGAGCGCCCTGACTGCGAATGAGATTCTCAAGCTCAGGCTGCAGCAGCAGTCAACAATGCCTCGGATCTTGTTTACGATCAGCGTCGCCAGGACCTCGCTTTTCAAGCTAAGTGTGTGGTGTCATTGCCAGATACTTGTACGGTGCAAGCCTCTTTCTCGATCGTGTCTGCAACAATCAGGAGCGGCTTCGACATCTGCTTTGCGATGGTCAAGATGGGGATGAGCTCCTGTCATGCGGACCCATCGCGACCCAGCGGGAGTCCACAAATTGGCGGCAGCACCTGCTGTGCCATGGAGATCTTTTGATCCGTCACCAGGACCAGAGGCCCGTTCCTGGGGCCACGAGAAGGCATTGCTCCCAGGAGCTTCATGTTGCTTGCATACTCCGTAGCAGACAAGCAGTCGTCAGTTGGTCAGCATGGGAGCTCCACTTAGCCAATCTGCCAACCTATGCGATCGAAGGAGTCGGATAAGCTCTGCACGCTTCCCAAGTTCGGCTCGTTGGGTTGGACGCATCGAGGCACAGATACGGAGACAGGTATCCCTGGCACAGCCGCGATTTGCGCGAGACTGTTTCGAGTGGGCAGGTGGTAGCGAAGCTCAGAGCACGGGACTCCTGCCTTGTCCAAGTTCATACCCTCTGTGAGCTCGACTTCGGTATCCGTCGATTGCGACCTGGAGGAATTCCGGACTTGCCCGGTGAGTATGGAAGGTTCTACAGTAGGTCGCCGACTCCTCCAAAGAGATCACGCCGCTGCCGCCAACCTTCCAAAGTCTTACGAACCTCCGGCATCACCGGCAAGATAGACCCAAAGGATGCTCCGGCACCTTGGCCATGGCGTCTGCGATCATCTTTCCCGCCTGCAGTCAAGTTTAAGGCAGAAAGGGAAGTACACCAAACGCTGATGTGAAAACCAGCTTGACAGCGCTTCAAATGAAGCGATGCCCCAGTGTGGACTTCTTTTTGTTGTGCTAAGTTCTGTTGCCACTTAGCGATTCCAGGCTGCAGAAGAGGCTTAACTACATTGACCTGATAAACCCTTCCCTTTACAAAATGTGCAGAAACCTACCGCTCCGCCAAAGGTCCTACTGAGGTGTGTATCTTATGAGCTGTCAGTCTGGCGATAAGACATAAGTCGCGACTGTGCAAGATGCCACAAGATTCAAGATCATGGCAGCTTCCATGGCCTCTTCATCTCCACCTGCAGATATTGCTCCGACCTGGTGACGACACAGGCGCCAGGCAGGCACTGCCAACTGCAACCGATCAAATGAAAGCCATGGCTCTCCGATAAGAAAATGAACCGAATGGGTAGACTGAATCTTCAGGCAAGCTCAGGTCAGCGCCTGCTCAATCTTGTCCATGTCCTTGTCGCTCACTGGCGCGGCCTGCCCAGCACTGCGCATCGTACAGGTGGCAGCACGCCGATGTCGAGGGCCACACCATGTCTTCGATCTGCCCGACAACGAAAGCTGCGGCCTCTGGCGGCACGCTTTAAAAAATGGAACAGGTGGGATGAGGAGTTGACATGGAGCTGAGATGAGAGTTGAGATGGCCCATCACCTTGGCACGCCTTCTCCATGCCGGACTTGATCTGCACAGGGTTGGCTCCGCCCACCTTTCAAAGGGCCATATGGCCGAAGGACAAGAAGAGGTCTCTCTATAGTGAACCCTTAAGGCAACGGCAAGCTGCTTCATTCCACTTTTAACCATGGCATGTGCCAAGATGGTCGCAGTCCTGGGCAGAGCTTGCACGGGCAGATTCTATCATTCTAGAAAAGCTTACTTACGACTGTGCTGGGGCAGATACGTGGTGCCATCACCCGCCACATCGTTGGTCTTTGCAGATGCCTGCCTGATCAGCTGGACGCCTGTGTTCTCGACCTGGCGGCTGCTTCCAAGTGCGGATCGTGCCAACTTCTGGCCAACTTTTGGTCTTGAAGGGAGCCCGGGAAATTTAGGTTCTATGATAAAGAGGCACCGTTTTGTGTAAGTTCTAGAAAGGGACCCTGATGTCGACCGACCCCCACACGCTGTGCAGGGATGCAGCGACCTGATCCTCTAGCTCGATCTCTTTGGCAATGGTAACACCTCGTTGCGCTTTTCTTCTCCGGGCGTGGGCGGAAGGATCCCAAGGCCCCGACCATCATTCACAATCTGTGGGGCAGAGAACTCACCCTGGCAGCAAGCCGGCGCAACACGTCTATGCAAATGTGCCACGGCCAGCCGGGCAGACTGCACAAGCTGACAGATCTCCGTTTCATGGCAGCAGGCAGGATTGAGCGCAAAAAGAAAGGGACACCAGCATCAATCGGCAACTTCAACACAGTTTGCGAACAAGGTCTGGTGTCTCCCCAAGCACCTCACCTGAACTAAACTCCTGAACTGAAAAAGATTTTGAAAAGGGCACCAAACAATCGCAGAAAGTAAGGCAGCAACAATAACAGAGAAGCCCTTGCTATCAATAGGTGTTCTACCCAGGAAGCGTCCCGTGACATGGTCACATGGTCAGAAGCTGACAACGGTGCTTTCACGCCGTGCAAATCCTCTGAATGTCGTCCTACGAGCATGACCCATCCGCAAGGCTCCTCAAGGTATCCCCGCGTCCAGCACACTCTCATGCCTCTACACCGCTACCATCCACTACTCGCTATGGCGCCAGAAAAGACTTCTCAACAACAAATTCACTCTCAAGTGTTGTTGTGCTCATGTGCAGGGGCCTTGTCCAAGAGAACGTTGCGCCCTCTCGGGCCCAGGGTGACTGCCACAGTCTCTGCAAGCTTCTCGATGCCGCGCATCAACTGGGCGCGAACAAAACGACTGCTTCGGCCCGCAAAAAAAAAACACTTCATGATCTCCGCCTGCCATCACCCAAGGCTGATGCGTTCTTGCGGCCATCCTCCCTGTACAAGATTTTCCTCGCCTTCGCAAGCTGGGTTTGATTTGGGTTTGACTTACACTTTCTAGCCACACGCGGTCGCAAAAAACTCTGAGCAAAGCTGATCGAACTGTCCTTGGCAGCTCGTGCTGTTCTCCTGGCTCGGGTCGAGATCCTCAAATGAGATGAATTAAGGCAAGGCTGGTGCTTCGAGGGTAGCCTGGTCGAGGCTTGCCCCATCAGAAATCTGTGCCAGGCAGGAATATGTCGAGGCACTGTTTTTTTGTCGGCGGCGAGGTACTCTGTCCCTTAAACCCATCGATGCTTTGCCGGCAGAGTTGGGTGGAAGGGAACGAACGAGCCAATTTATGTCTTGATCTCATGCCGGTCAGTGCTGGAACAATTGGAGCATACGGCCCTTCATGGAGTTTGGAGATTAAGGATTACCATGGTACGTCCCTGCGCAACAGTGTTTAACGCTGCTGAAAGAGGTCTTTTGTTAAACCCAAGCTGACAGGCTCTGCATTCCCAGCTACTCTGCACAGGATGAAGAAGTGTCGTTTGAATATGATCAAAGATGTTGGGTGACTACCAGTAGCTTGTTCCCGACTTCAAACAAAAACATGGGCACGAATCAATGCCATGCAACGTGGCGCGCGGGACGTGGGAGGTTACCAGATTGAGTGCAGCAGGTGAGAGACCCCTGTGGCCAGAGGTCTCGCACCAGTATAGCCAGCAAGGGTCTGAGGTTCGCTATGCGGAACGAGACCGCACGGTTTTGCACCCAGGTCACTGCAGGGCAGTGCGACCGCCGTTCTTCCACAAATGGCTAAAGGGGATGGGGGCAGCACGGTGGGGGCAATTCATGGCAATTCCATAACTGTTGTTTGCTTGTTTGCCTCAAACGCGCTCAACACCGGCCTCTCAGACTCCATCGCAACAGATCAGCAAGCAATACCGGGTCACAGCGGGTCCTGTGTCTTCGGGCAAGAAGAACCTTGCAGCGTGGCAACTGTTCATGTGGGATGCATATGGTGCATGGAGCGAGGAGCATAGTGGAAGCGACAGCTCAACGACACCAAGCCACTCCCGCTACACTACAGATTTCTGCACACCACCCAGAGCCTCCCACCATACCTTCCAATTTGAACGAGATTCCTTCTTGTTGACAAATGGGTCTGAGGAAAGCAACCATTTACAATTTACTATTCATTTGCCACATTCAATTCTGTCCCAGTCACTGCAGCAGCGCCAGCACCGAGTCCCGTGAGCCAAGCACTTGGCCCCTGCAAGAACGAACGCAAAGTCCCATACATCCAACAAGAAACCATGGAGGTCCCTTTCGATCGTTAAAGACCTCAGGAATCCTAACCTTAACCGCGCGAGAGATTCTGGAATCCGTCCGCTCGAAACTCCCTCCGTTCCCAGCAGCGCACGGACACAACAGACCAACACACTTTGTGATTGCACCTCAGCAGACGCTGCAGACGCTGCGGCTTGTATGCGCCTCATCAACGAGGGTAGCTTGCAATAGCTTGCAGGCGAATAACACACAAGCACAAGCCATCAATCGTATCCGACAGGTGGTGGTACAACCCCGTGACTTACTTGGCTATCAAAGCTCTGATCTGAGCACCGTTCGGCCTCAAGTTTGTCAAGCCTTGTCTTGCCACTTGACCGACTTGACCTGTAGGACAGGCTGAGTCACAACTTCAGAAGGCTCTGACTGTCTTGGGCGTCTACGGCTCGTGGGTAGCACCTGCAGTGCAAGACTGCATCATGCGGCAATGTCATGCCATTCACACTCTCACGCGGGCCCATATGCCACAATCGTACGTCGGCCAGCCTCTGCTGGCACTGCAAACGCCCGCTGCAAGTCTGAAGCCATTCGGTTCCTTATTGCTGGTGTGTCAGGCCGGGAATAAGGCCGGGCAGTACTAAGGTGAGCTGCAGAACAGGAGTCTCAACAAGCCCGCGAGCCTTGAGCTTGGGCGGTCGTCTGCCGATGCTGTGGGAGGTATCACAGCATGTCACAGCCGACGGCTGCAGAGGATTGCAGACAAGAATGCAAGAGAGGCGCATCACTGAAACTGAAAACCAAGCATGCAAGAATATGAGAATCAGCATGGGCAAAGGCAGGGGCTAAGCTTCTTTTATGTGATGCACACACAGGGGCAGATTGACCCCGTTGGCACACCCAGAATCCATGAGTATGTACACGGGCCAGGCCACCTGCCACCATGCCGTCCTGCAAACTACCGAGAAAGTTGCGCCGAACGTCTTGCTCAGCTGCACGGTCTCAACTAGCCTGCAGAAAAGTTCATCGCATGAGGCCGCGACAGCTTTGTGAGTCCAAGAGATCTACATCAGTGACTTTTGTGTGGAACTTGTGACTCGTGAGCCGGACCAGCGAACGGGCCTTTTGTCTCAAATGTGCATGTACAGTGTCAACCTCACGTGCAGACCGAACAAAGACCAACGCCACACAGAGCCCCACACGAGATATACGAGATCACATGAGGCCTCACGCCTCTCTGAGATGAGCCGCCGACCAGATCCCGGTAGCCCCTCGGAGTGAGGCCCGACTGGCTCAGGTACTCCTGAATGCTTCGAAGGAAGCCCCGAACGTCACCCGGACTCGCACACACATCAAACTCGGCATCTTCACCGTGCCTGCGAGTAGGCCTCGAAGCCGCGAACCGGCTCAACGCCGAATTTCCTCACACAGAGCAAAGGGAATGACGTGGACTATGAAAGGCCGTGGCTACCCTGTCTTGGGTCGTGCCTCGACCCTTGTGTGTTTCCAGCGCTGGGCTGCTTTGGGGTACCGAGCTCTTGCCAGTGAGGGGTCTCTTGCCATCATGCCATGGTGGCAGTCACGGGAAGACCTTGGGGCCTAAGCTTAGGGCTAGGGTTGATATCGTAAGCCCTTCAGTAACACTGAAAGCAATACCTTCAAGCAAGAACAGTCTTCCCCAATGTGTTGCAGTCAGATCAAAAACCGACTGCAAGTCATTGTCGCAACATCACAAAAAACAACTTCGCCAGAGGTTCACACAGATACACAGCTACGCACAGATACACAAGCACGTGAACGCGCATGATGCGCTTGTGCCGGGCATGTGCTGGAGAAGCTCGCAGGCATTTGCAGGCCACGGGCCTGGCTTCTCTCATGACTTCGGACCACCGCTGCCTTGGTTTCACAGTCTGCGCAGCTCACATGCTGACATGGGGGGGGCTTGCGATAATCAGGGGCCCCTAATAGAGACCCCAAATAGTGGGTTCCCCTTATCATCATCCATCACAGTGGTTCTGTCAGGAGACGTTTCGTCGAGTAACGTACAGATGCTCACGTCGCGATCTTGCTTCTGAATTGAGACAATGGCAGAGAGAATCTTCGAGTTGATGGCTGACACCAACCGATGACGCCGATGGTAGGACACGATACAAGATGGGAACTATTAAACAATACCTTCGGCACATTGCATTGCGGTACCCTCTGCAGGACAAGAAGTATCCTAAACCATGTCTGACCAACTACTGACGCACGTTGGTTGACTGTCCATAGTGAGCTAGGAAGTATGGCCGTAGGGTTTTGGATTTTGGGTGGGTGCTTAGGCTTGACAACATCGCTAAAGTTGGTTACCTTGTTGGCAAGTTTAAGTCTGACAAGACTATTCGTGCCGGGATCGCTGGTGCGGGTGCTTGACAAAACAAGGCTCATGCTGGCGTCAAAATCAAACTTCCACCTTAGGACTCTGACGTGATGTCCAGCATGCGGTCAAGGTAGAACTGACAGGAAGACAGCCACAATCGGAACATGCCACAAGAGCCACGCTGGCCTCCTTTCCTGCTTGGTCGAACTCCGCATACTTCTCCCCGAACGACACAAGCTCGCGATGCTGTCAGGCGCGTTTTCATTGGTCAGACGGGGTCAACTCTCACGCCGTCAAACCCCCACGCCATTGCATATGTGCGCTCAGTGCACTCAGAGATACGCAGAGCCTCTTCCACCAGCTTGGTATACTCTGCCTGTCCGGCGAGAAGAGGAGCAGCATGGCGGAGCGGTGCTGGTGCCCAGAGCCATTGACACAGGAGCGCCGCATTGTGACATAGACGGAACACAGACGGAACACGGAGCAAGCACATCTCCTAAACTTCAGAGTGCTCAGTGCTCGAGTGCTTGAAGCTATGGACGCCCCCCGTCACGTCACGGAACGAAGATGTGTAACACTGTGTTGCCGGGTAGGGCAAGGTCATCCGGCCCGACTCCTCAAGACTGGCAAACGGACAAATGCCTCCAGCATCTCCGTCCCTGGCACTCCCTGGAAGCTTTCTTCCTCAGCAGACAGGGACCATGCAGCACGTCCGCATCCCATGAGCTGCGTGTCTGAGGTCGCAGCTGTGAAAGGCAGTACTCTTGGAGCTCGGGGCTGACTGAGAAGTGTACGCTGAGGACACGGTGGACATGTAGGGTTCAAGAGAAGGCGAGACGAGGCGAGAATAGGCGAGCAAGGTCACAATCGACGTGCAGAGGGATATAGTGAGATCTTCGTGCGAGAAGTGAGTCTTTCCCGTGCCGCGCCTCACCATGCTAGGGCCTCCGAAGCAAGAACGAAGAAGAACACCAGATGTTTGAAGCCCTCTGTGCACAGCTCGTTTGGAGGCAGAGACAGGCCCCAGCATTCCATGAATATGAGACTGCGCCTGCACAGCCCTCAAAGCCAAGATCTCAGCTGTAAGGCAGCCACCTGGCGACGACCTCGACAAGGCCACCGGATCTACGCCTCCGACGGAAGAAGTTAGCTCTTCCAGCTCCGAGGATTCCTCTCGGATGCTCGGACATGATGCTCTGAGATCAGTGGGCCTTGCGGCGGGGGCGGCACCATCATCCCGTCGGCTTCAGCGAGGATCCCCGCGCCCTGAGGGGAGGAGGAGCTCGGAGGAGCAATTGTTTTGGCAGAGCCCTTGTTTCGAGTATCTGAGAGGCACTGCAATTTCGCTCGGTCCACCTGCCAACTCGTCATCTTCTCAACCTCACGAACAGAATCGGGGAATGATCTCTGGGAGCGATTCTGAGATGCTTGCATCAGACCATGGAACGGTACACATATGTGCACATGCAAACTGCCTTTTTAATGAGTCGATCCACGCGTTGCAAAGGTGCCAGACGCAAAGGCTCGGGCAGTGCGAGCGCTGGGGGCCCCCATTTTTTGGGCCTGCAGCTCCATGACAAAGTAGGCCTCGAGGACCTCCCACTCCAAAAGGTGGATTGCCCACCGGACATGCCCGGAGAGACCCACGCTGCCTGGAAGTCCGCCGATGCCTCCATATTGTCGAGGAGCTTCTTCAGCCGCTCTCCCTGCTTTCGAGGCACCACGCGAAAGCTCGTGCTTGACATGCTCTGCCCCACGTTGGCCTGTAGCTTGAGGTCTTTTCCCACCTAAGCACTGTCGAAGCTTGGCGGCCGTCCAAAGCAGGCAATCGGCCTACGATGCATCGAAGTCATCTCCGACTCTTGGCTCAGCGACTTTTCTTTGTTGTCGCGGGTCAGGACGGATTCCTGCAGCACGTCAACTTCTCTGCAGCATCCTCCCAATAGCGTGTTGGCGTGTTAAGGCGGAATGGCCTGTCGCAACCTGCTGAGCAAGAGCGGCAAAGTCACCTTGGAGTGTGCTCTGAGTGTTTCGCCTCCCTCTCAATGACAGACTCGGTCATAGACTCAGCCGATCGGTTGCGGCCGCTCAGACAGCAAGGCGACTGCCGCCATTGAAATCCAACACCCCCCATTCGACTTACTCACCAACATCAGATCTCTAAACTGCTCAGAACCGTAGACTGCTCATGGGCAAATTCGCCTGCTTTGTTTGCAGCAACGATCATGACATTGGCCATCTCTGTCTCAAAGTTCCCACGTACCTTTGCCAAAAAAGTGGCAACGCAAGTGGGGGGAGAGGGTAGAGGAAGGGGCACCATGGTCGGGGATCGCAATGGGCAGGCAGGCCCAACAGGAAGGACCTCAGATGAACTGTTGACACAGTTTATGAGGACCACACGGTGATTGGACAGCCCTGCTTACGATATCTGCAAAGACAAGGCAGGGACATGCTGGAGCTCAGCTTGAATAACTGTGTCTGGTGCAGCCGCTCGGGCGAAGCCTGCCGGGCCAGCGCCGATACAAACTCGTCCGAAATATCCATAACAAGCTGCCACGTCAACAAAAAGTCCTGCCCGAAAGATCCCTCACCTTAACCCTGCGATACCGTACAAGCCCCAAGCGCCAAGCGCTTGACCGTGTGCCTCGCTGCCTTCCCCATCGGCGGCTGCCCAGGAAACTCTCAAGCCCGGCCTGGGTCAGCAGCTCTGAAAAAAAAGAAGCATACAACATCGTAGAATTCGTAGACAAACTCAAGAATGCGAGCTCAAGCCTTCAAGGAGGCCGGAGGCCAAGGAGAGGTAGCCCGGGGTATGGAGTAGTTTTCTGAAAACTAAAGCTGAAGGAGAACCACAGTACGGCCCATCCACACTACGTAGCGGGCCTCACCGTCATAGCCCAGTTTCGGAATCAGCAAATTCAGGGTCCAATGCCACCCCCCGAAGAAAATCTCCCATGCCACACCCCCCAGAAGATCTCAAATTCCTGGGAAAGGATCTATATTGCCCCCAAGCAGATAGAATCAATACAGTACAGCAGCTCGCTGCTTTTCACAGCTTGTTCTACTGAAGCAGATACGAACTCAGCCTTGCTTGCACATGCTTGTGCCAACTTTCGTGACTGTATGTGCTTGATGTGGCTCCGACAACATGACTGAAGAGGGTTTCTGCGATGTTGCAAGATAGAAACGTGTGCGTGTGCGTAGGGGCTCCCAAGGTGAAACGCAGAAGCACTGGGACACTTGGCGGCATGGCCCCAAGCAGGAGGATGATGCCAGGCAAACCTGTGTCTGCTCTCGACAGCCGCGTGAAGACAATTGAAAGGCTGCCACTGTATGACCGTATGACCCACGAACCACCCCACATCGGTGGCCATGCACCGAGTCTGACGCGCAGGGCAAGTCTCCTTGGCTTTTGAGCCATGGCACCGGATGCGGCCCAGCCTAGCAGCCTCCCTGGCAATCTTTAGCGTGCGAAACAGATTAGGCACTACTGCAGGTCGCTGTTGAACTGACCTGAAAGCTTGACAAGGCAGTCTTCTGCGCTTCGATCTTTACGAACTTTGGTCTGAGCAATATGCTCTGCGCATAGTTGATCATGAATTTGTGCATGCCCATGATTGTGGCCACATTTGATTGGCTCGTGGAGGCACATTCTCGATGCTCCACAAAACCAACGAGACGCATGAGTTTTACAACATCCGATGAGCATCGTCCTGGCTGTCATCCAGCTGCTTTACTCTCTGCACTTCTTGCCTCAGCTCTTCGCACAGCACCACACATCACAGCACATGACATACGACATACAGACGTGCAGTAGACACTTGGACAGCCAACATCCGTCAAAACCGCTGGATTAGCTTGATGACAGGTGGCCAGAGATCGTCCTCCAGCTGTTTGAGGACTGAGTCGACCACCTGCAACCCCATGCCGCTCATGCGAGCATCAGCGGGATGCAGGAACCTGACCAAACATAACCTTCTTGGCACCTGATCCTGTGGAGCATTCAGCAACTTCTCCTTCTCCTGGACTGAAAGTGAGATGCAAGGATTCTCGCACGTTCCTCTGAAAATGTCTCGGCCATGGCGGCTACTGCATGAGAACGCTTCGCCTGCGAACTCCCCACTGTCTGGGAAGTCATTCCTGGCATGCGCTAGAGCCTTTCGCTGCTTTATTGCCATGGTGCCATAGGCTCAAGCAGGTTCTTCAAAAAGCAGGCAGGGAGGCGAGAGAGCTGCTTGGGGCCCAAAGCCTGCAAGAATGCTGTGACCCTCACTGACGGGCTCTACCGTGCCATCTGCAGGCAAACAGAGCAGGAATTTCTGGCCGATTCCTCCAGGCAAGTCTTTCTGAGGACTTTTCGGCCACTTTTGAGAGCTGCCTGTCACACAACGGAGGCGATGAAGGCATGCCGCATTTGGGTCCCCGCATGCAATGCTTGTATCTGCGTGCAAGACTCACATATTTGGCAAGTGGGGCATCCTAGCATGATGGCAAACAGCAAACACGTCAGCAGCGTTGAACCAAGTCCCTTACACACCCTTTTCATCCTGCCGTGATGGCCTCGGGATCTTGCTCCCTTGATTCGGCAGCCTCTTGTCGCTGTGGCGGGGATCCAGCGATCAAGGAGCTATGGAGTGAATGTCCAAAAGGAAGTGAGTGCAGATTCGTTGTGCGGTTTCTGGCATTGAGGTGTTTGCGTGTCCTGGTGCCTGGATGCTCTGGACCTTGCAATATTGCAACACTGTGGTACCCATTCATGTGGATATTCTTCTCTTTTTGCGGAAGGCTTTGGGTTTTATTATTACACTCCCAAGAAAAATGTTGATCTATATACATCGGAAAGCCTGAACACATGCCATATGCATTCTAGCAAGGTAGTCTCCACGTACATACCATGCTGCAGAGAACTCCCCTTCGCCGTTTAGAGCCTGATAATACGGTCTCGACCCACAAACGACGATGCTATGGCAATGGAGTTTTCATGGGAAAATTCGGCCTCGTCTCAGGGATCCCTACTTTCGAGATCCAAACACTCCCGCCTCAGTCCCTGTCAACACATCGACAAAGCCTTCCAGAAACCTCCAGACCCCGAACCACATACCAGAGGCTGGCACACGCTTGAGGCCTTTTGCTTTGGGTTACACCGCTGACCCTCAAGGCCCTTTAGCTTTGATAATCTGTCTGGCACACGTTCGGAGGGATCGGATGGACTGTCGATGATTGCGAAGCACTAAACTGAATGCCAACACTCAGGACATTGCGACTGTGCTCTCGAAACGGACTTGTCTGGGATACTCCGGCACTTGCCTTCTCAAGCAGCGAGGGAAGCTGGGCCTGCCATGAAGCTTATGGAGCAGGTTTACGGCTTCATCGTCATGGTTAGCCGGACTAGAAGCAAGATGCACAAGACATAATTTCGTAAGATGGCGACAAGACCTTCAACAGAACCTGCCAGCCTTGGGGATGGGTCCATCCACCCTTCCGAAGCTCGGCCTGCAGACTGCGATTCAAGGCTTCTTGCTCCGAGCTGTGAGGCGTTGCTGCTTAACCTCTGCAGCCTAGACTCCAGCGGCCAAGCGCATGCTGAGGGCAGAAACAGTCCTGCGCAGCGCGTCATCACAGCCCACGAATGCTAACGTGCACCAGCTGCAGGTCGTTCCTCCTGACGTCTCTTCTGGTTGCACTGGCGAACCAAGCCATCAACCCTGTGAGCAATGGACAGAGAGAATGCAGTCGCTTGCTGTCACGCCTTGTACTCTGCTTGCGACAGTCTGCGCTTGGTTTCTGGGCCGCAGATGGCGTACGTTACAGCCTACACGACACCAAGGCACCAGAGAAGCTGCCAAGTGCCAAGCTGGACTCTCGCAAAGCAACAGGAGTCGTCGATTGCCTGGTCGCACCCCACATTGCCAACGCTTGATCAGGCCAGGGTCGGCCAGGGTTACAAGCACACCTCGGCAGCAGGTGAGAACCTCCACCGCAAAGCTTCGTCCTGGCCAAGCAACGACGATCACATCACTCACATCTGAAATCATCTGGATGAACAAGTCGAAACACAATTCTTGGGAAAATCAACGATCACCCACGGTCACCATGATTCCTCGCCTCAATCGCACTAGCGAGATCATGTCGTCTCGATTGCAGGGGCGAAAATTCGCAATGATGATCATCCATGGCAATCAGATAGTGGGGTCGTTCTCGTTTTTGGCTCAGCTAACGGGCTGCTCGAGCACTTCTCTCAGCCCCTACGAAAACTCAGCATGATTGAACTTACGTTGCTGCGCGGGTCTGAAGCAATCTGAAACAGACCCTTCCTTCTGCGGCCGTGGTTTCGGCCGGGGCTGGACGACGGCAGGTGGCGCCTCGGAATGCAGAGTGAGGGCAACTGCATGCGAACGCAGCACCCAAGATGCTTAGTGTCAAGGTCCCAGCTTCGGCGCTCTTTGCATCCATCTCTGGCACGTCGATTGTTTCGACATCTTGAGCGGGACGCTTGAGGCCCATGCTGGCCCGAAGAATGTCTGTCTGCTACCATGCATCTGGACTTCGTCTGCATGCCCGCAGGCCTTCATGGTAAGAAGCTAGGTGGAGGCAGCTAGGGATGCTCCAGCGTGCATTGAAGTCAGAATCATCAAGTCCTTGTGCCAGAGTCGCCATAGTCTTTCAGTGCTCATGTGCACCGCAGAGCCACACAAAGCGGAGCAGCATGATGATGCGAAGGGATGCGAGCTGCCTCAAGGCTAGACTCCGCAATGCATGAAATTGCGCAGAGATTTAGAGAAAGCGAGAATCGCCGGTGACAAATGCCCTGCTCCAGGGTGAAACAATGCACTGATGAGTAACTTGCTGGCTTGGCTTCCGATTGAGCCGCCAGTGCCCACCAGTCGCAACTAGATCTCGAGGGTCGTTCAACCCCAAGGTGAATCCATGTCAATGCACACGGAAGCCTGCTTCCAGGAGCTGAACAGCATATTGAAATGCACGTGGAGGATCATGGAGGTCTGTGTCGCATTGAACATCAAGGACCTGCCATGCCTGCCACCGTTGGCGCCGGAAGAGACTCGGCTTCTGGTCCCTGCGAGAGCCACCTGCTAAGGCTGCTGGGCAATGAGATGGATTGAAACACATGTTGTTGAATCACCTCCCATTGCCCTACTGCTAGCTGCTCAACGGGAATCGTGCAGGGGGCGGGGTGGGGGGAGGGCGGGGGAGGGGGTGTGTGACAGTCCCAGGCCTCCGAGAGCCTCCGAGGGGCGTAGAGAGGTCGCCGAGGTTATCCTTGGGGGCCCGCAAAACCATCGCAGGGCATCAGCCAGCACGACGCCACAACCACCACAACCGCCACTAGCGCCCCCGGCCTCCGTAAGCAGCAGCTCCAGTAGCCTCACGTTGCTCAGGGCGAACCGAACGAAACACAAGCATTTTGGACCTCAGCCTCGTGGGAGTTCTTGCTGGGTTTGGGCATCGTGAGGAGACGGCAGAGCGCAGTCCGATCATATGATTCGGCGGAATATTTGGGTCTACCCAGCGGAATGAGGGGCGCAGCCCAACGAGCCATGGTGACAAAGGCCATGTCAATGTACACGCAAAGCGCTGCACAAGGTACGAGGCGCGCGCCGCTGCTCGCCGTTGTGAAGGATCCCCATGTCGTCCTCTCATGGGGACTCTCTTTCATTGCTGCGCGTCCGAGGAAAAACACGGGGACTTGTGCGCTTTGCGCGCTCGCTTAGTGCTCGAGGGGCCTGGCGGAAGGCAAGGCCGGTCCTGGCGAGAGAGGAGTACGCTTTTGGGTGTTTTCTTCTGGGAATTCTGGGAGTATCCGGAGCACTGGGCAAGGATCTTCTGCCTCTCCGCTTGGGGCCGCATCTTCGTCATCTTCGGTTCGGCAGGAGCCTGGGCCAACGCTCCCTGCTGTTTACCGCAGACAGGCTTGCCGATTGTACGTCTGCACATGAGCCGGCAGCATCTCGATGGAGATCGTCTGCATCGGGATAGGGAGGAAGTCTGCCAGGAAGCCTCTCGGACAACCCTCCCTTCCTGCCAGGAAGCTTGGTGAATCATGCTATGGAACCTTAATTTCATCATCCACCCTACCAGTTCATTCGTGCTTTTGAAAGCTATTGGCTATTGGAGATAATTGAAGGACCCTTTTTACACTCCAATGAAACGTCACCGCCTCGCCTGCTGCGAAATACCTCGTTTGGATTGCTATTGAGTTGGATTTGATTTGTCATTGTTTCCTTTTGGTGTCGTGGGTCCGTCCTGGTACTCTTGCCGTCCGTTCGGGAGCTGAGCTTGCCGTTTTGGGCATGGCCCGAAATCATATCTGATCCTAAGAGCCCGAAGCCTCCTACCTCTCAGCCTTTCGTAGCCCTGTCCTGCGCTCTCCTTCGAGCCATGTCTTTGCAGACTCATCGGAGGGTGCCTTCAATGAATGCACACGATTTCTGTTGCAAATGTGCAGTATGGTACATATTTGCCATGCCCGGATCTCTATATGCAGGTCCGTTTGATCCCCCCTGCAACCTTGGCAACACCTGCCTAGCTTCCTAAACTCAAGGAAAAGCAAAGACAGAAACGGAAACAGCTCTGCATGCAGCTTCCTGCCTGCATTTGCAGCGGGCCTGTCGTCTAGGGTGTCGGGCAGATGCCAACACAGCACACAGCATTGCTTGCATGGCGACCGCCGCGCAGACACAAAAGTCGGCGCGACAGCGTGACAGGATGTAACAGGCGCTAGATCGTAAACTGCTGCGTTGCGTGCCTCTCCTTTCAGCGGCTGCCTGGAGCCCGGAAGAGCAGGTGAAAACCGCTGAAGACCACTGAAGCGCAGTAAAGTGCAGGGAAGAGCCAACAGTGTTTTGCAGCGTGCTCCGTCCATAGTCCGATGGGTGCTCTGGCCTTCTCGGCCGCTGCCTCATCTGGCCTGAGTGGCGCGCCGAGCTCGTCGCAGTATCACAGACTTTGTATGGCTCGCTGTGTTTTCTTTGTTGATTCTCTTCTGCTGGTTGCGTATGCTTGAACTCGGGCCTTTGAGGTCCTGGCCAGTTGAAGCACGTCATTCTCTACAGCTTGCTTGTCTAACTTGATTTCGTACGTTCGTTGACTTGTTTAGAATCTTGATGTCCCGCATGGTGCTTGCTTGTGATTGTGTGTTGCATTTAGTTCTCTTCATGTTCTGCTCATGGCTACAGCGCATGATTCTCTACAACACGCTCGCTAAACTTGACTGTACATGCCTCGCTATGTGTGTTTTCATGTTTGTTTGCTTGTGTTTGGCACTTTGCGGAAGATTAACGTGCACAATGCTTTACAACACTCTTGTCACTTGATCTTGCATGTTTTGGCCGTTTCCAAAACGAAAGTGCGGGGGGGGGGGGGGGGGGCGTTTTTGAGCGCATATCCTACATACAAGCGCAACCGCAACCGAAAACATGGGCAAGCAATACACAAAAACACCAACATGAACAAGAATCATAATCCACAAAACCAACTTTCACTATGAAGGTGTGTTCATTTGGAAAACTTCCTAGATACCTCAAGCATCCTCAAACATCCTAGGAAGCTAGGGCGGGAACCCAATGAAATGGACAAGCAAAGCCGTATCAAAAAACTTTGGAAACCTTGACAAGCAAACTTCGCAAAAAGTGCAAGGAAACTTTTGGCCGTATCCTACCGAAAATATGGACAAGCAGTACACAAAACGCTTAACATGAACAATAATCATAATAAAATGCGCAAAACAAATCTTCAGAACGAAGGTGCAGGGACTTGTTTGGCACATACAGAACAAAACTGCAGCGAAAACATGGGCAAGCAGTACACAAAAACACCAGGAACAATCTGGGAATACTCTGGTTCACAAGGATGATGTGGCGGTGGACACTCCCGAGATTCTCTGGGGGAGAGAGAGAGAGAATTGTTGGGGACACTGTAGCCTGTTAGGCACACTCTTTGGGGATACTCGGGTCGAGACTCTCTGACAATACTCTGGGGTTGGGCACTCCTAAACCAGGATGCTCTCAGGCTGGGAGACGAGTGATGGGCTAGGAGAAGAAAAGCTTAAAACAACAGTGCACTCTGATTGGCTAAGGCACCAACATGCTGTTGAATTCTTTCCCCCCAAGCCCTACACTCTTGACCCTGAGCTCTGCTGTACCATATTTACTAAGGCGTCTAATTTCAGGAAATATAGAGAGGATATGAATATTAGAGCGAAGGAATACAATAATGTTATATATGTTATGATAATGCCTCAGCTTTGAATAACAGATTGGGGTTTTTGGCCCGGCTATTCATAATAATTAGGGCACGAGTGCAACTGTCCATCCACTGCAGATGTCATATGATGCAGAGTACGATGAGGCTGTCGTGAAAACCCTGGGCGCCTCCCCGGCTCGCGAGCGCGGCTCCGATCCAGGAAGCCCTCCTGCATTCAGGGGGCTTCGCCACAACAAAGGGGCCTCGGACTTCAGGATGCTCGAGGGAGGGTTTTGTAGCATTTGGGATGGAAACCCATAGTACGTCAGTGATGCAATAGGGGTCATGAACTTGACTTGCTTTGGCAGGCTTTACTTGCAGTGTGCCTTTGTACTGCTTCTGACAGTCCAGGCCGTACTGTATGCTGTTTTCGTTCAACCCGTGACCACTTAGAAAACTCTGCCAGTTTAACAGCTAAACACCATGTGCGCGCTTTCAGACACAGACAGTAGCAACCACAACATCGTGATTTGACGGTTTGTTGAAACCAGAGTCCACACGAGGCTCGTGAGAGCTTGCGCGCGGCCCTCGCGAGCTCGGGCTTCAAGGAACTGACTGCTGGTTCCGTGGGCATGCGCAAAAATGTAACATCAGTGATTTTGTAGGTCCATGCTTGGTTCAACGGATTCCCCCCAGTTTGCACGCACAAAGGTGCGACTTCACACAAGACGTCAAGTAAAGCAAACCCTGTGTCAAGCCCCCAGCCTTTGCTAACTTGACATCAGTGCATTTTACTTGAGCCCTTTTGCAGCAGATCTGAGGGACGGCGGAACTTGTTCGAGGGCATGCCGAATGGAAAGCGGAACATGAAGGAAACTCGGAAATGGGCTGAAATAAATATGCTTTCGGCGGGCTCTCAATCATGGCTCAGAGTCCTTGATGTGCCGCCTCACTTCATCGGCTATGTAGGCTGAGACCTGCTTCCGACACTGACAACAGCAACAAACGCCGGGCTTTTGAAGACTTTGTGAGCCTCATCCAGTGATCATGCCGAATCGTGCCTCACTTTGGAGGCGTGAGAATCGCTCTGCGAAGCTTCGACACTGGGCCTGTGCAGGCAGTTTGCACAAGAGTTCCTGGGAAGAGGCCTCTTCCTTCTATACCTTGGCTCTAGACACATCTCTACATACTCACACGATCTCGAATATGCATGATGCCGGCAGCCTCGCCATCATAGGCCATGTGCCTGAGATCTTCGATGCAGGCCCTGGCCTGCCATCGTCACGGGAGTGTAATTGAGAGACATGCTCTTTGAGGCCTTGAGTCACTCATAAAGAACTCACTGCTCCATCTCTGCCTCTGCCTGAAAGGCGGCGTTTGCCATTTCACTGTTCACCAGAGGTGCCAGCTGACGCTGAATCTCCAAGATCTGCATGTTGATGCGCCTCAGAGCGTGGAAGGCATTGCGAGGACTCACGAGTCGTAGGTGTTGTCCCTGAGGCCTGACGCAGCTGAGCCATAGGCTGAGTCAGCGCCTCCAAGCGGTGATCTTGCAGCTCCTGAGCCCAACAGCAATCCATGGAAAGGAAATGAAACGCTCACGAGAAAAAAACACTACAACTGTTACCCGGCTGTTTCCCCCCATACACACGTGGAGGGTAGCGGTGCCTCAAGCCTCTGAACTCGCTGGGACATCTCGACATCCTGCTGGCGCAGGTCGACCACCTCCTTGGAGGACAAGGGGTGGCACTCCGTGCAGCACTCTGCAAAACGGCAATCTGCGATGCGGCGCTCTGCTCTACAGCAGGCCTGCTGCACGTGCAGCAGTTCCTGCGGGGACAAGGCTCTCATAGGCTCTTACAGGCTCTCATTGCATCTCATTGCCACCTTTCTCTTGGCAGCTGCAAGCACGTGCGCTCCTGCTGTCCCCTGCTCACGACATCCGTCATCTGCGAGAGCTCTCTTGACCTTCAGGTCAATGCAGAAGTGGCAGTGACCACTGCCAGTGCGCAGTGGCGCTGCAGCATGCTGCATCTCGGCCCCTGACAGGTGCTCAAAGTTCTGGTTGACCTCAGAGTCTCAGAGCATAGCAGCTACATGCCGCGGCTCTTCGGCGTGGGTGTCATAAGGCAAAGTGAACACCAATCGATCCGAGACTGACAATTGCTGACCATTCGGACATCCCGCCTGGTTGATGACACACATCAAGTTGGAGCGCTCTTGCTCCATGTTCGATGCTGTCTTTTGAAAGGCCGCACCCGCCTTTGGCTGTTCAGCCAGGCAAATGGGCTCGCTATGGCTGTTTACTAGATGTTGCTAACAACAGCTGACGACTGGACCTTGCTGATGGCGTCATCCGTTCTCTCCTGCACCTGCCGCTGAGTCTTCTCCGCCTGCCGCGCACTTTACTCGAGGTGCTTTCAAGACTTTTTGTTGCGATAGTGTCAGTGCCTCGAAAACACGCTGCGACAGGCAGTCAAGCCTGCAGGAAGCTTCATGAGAATGTTGGATCATGGAAGGCAGATGACTCATGCATTGCATGGTGCAGCGTTAAACGGCTCAGATTCGAGCTGACCGCGGCGGATGCTCTCGCCCTCTTCGTGTTTCTGCTCCATGGCAACCTGTCAACGTAGCATGAGACACCAAGGGTGGGAAAACTGGCCCGAATCCGGTATCTTTTCAATACCTTAGACTCCTTACGGCCCAGCTTCATATAATCGCTTCGTTGATGCCACACCATTTGTCATGCGATGATGCAACATTTGTCCAGTCCACAGACAGCAAGCTTTGCTGCGAGGGTCGCATAGGCTTGGCTTCTTGGTCGGGCTTGCAGTCTCAACCCTACTCGAAGTGCAAATCCTGTCCAGTGGGGCTGCCTGCCGTTTTCGCACTGATGCCACGGCCGCCTCGAGAGCCTGTCAGCGTGTGCTTCCAAGCTGATCCACGGGAACAGCAAGAGGTGCTGGAACATGAACACGAAGCCTCTATGCGCTCAATCACATCGTCGCGGCCCGTTCCTCTACATCGCGATGCTCTTGCATGCTGCTTAGCTTAGCAGCTTAACATATTGCCTCAAACTGTGCGGCAACTCGGTCCTAGAAGGGTCCCGACCCGGTCAGCAACATGACTGACCTCAGACCCATACACAATACGCACACACACAGAGACAGACAGATCGCCAATGCAATAAATGCAGCAAACACTGATGTAAAGATTCCGGAAGATCTCTGGCGCAAAGATCCCACAGCGACTTGCTCAGAGCGTTGCCGTCCGCAGTGGCAGTGGGGGAGAAAGCGGTGCGACGGGCTGAACTTCATCGCCTGATGACTCGTCGAGTTGGCTGTCCTGGACCTGTCAGTTTTGGCCCCCACAATGGCGAGACGCAGCGAGACATCCAAAGGGTGAGAGCACGAGAGAGCACGCAAGAGCAGGCGAGACTCACGCGAGAGCAGGCGAGAGCTCCGGCCTGTGAGCTCAGGAAATCGCTGGACGAGCCCAATTTGTTGGAGCCCTTGGTCCTGCCAGATGAGAAAGCCCTACTTAGGCCCTACTTGGGATTCAGGGGGCTTGAGTCGTTTGCAGGCGGCATAGTACGGCAGCTAGTCGCAGAGCTACAAGAACCGGTACTGCTTCGGTTGCGGCGGAGCTCCTGCGATTGCTGTCGGCAGCCATTGTTGCGCATGTCACGAATTGAACATGGGAACCGTTCGAAACGGCTTACGATTTTGAGCAAAAGATGCTAGGCTCCGACCTGCATCTAAGCTGATGATGCTACACTGCTTACTAGATCGACTTCTATTCGTACCAGTACATCTCTGCACTTCTCAAAGCCTCACAACGTCACCGCAAGTCTGGGCTATATGATTCTCAGAACATCTCTAAGGCCGTGAATGGCTGTGAGCCAGCACGAGTTTAGGCGTGGCTTCACGGCTCGGATCGTGAAGTCCGAAGTCTGGCCCTCGAAGAACTACTCTACCCAGGCTCTACCACAGCACCAACATGCACCAACGGCTTGAACATCTTTGAAGCTTGGTGAGTGTGCGAGTTTGAAATGAGGGCGCGGGTTTCCACGGCAGCCCATGATTAAATGGGTGTACACAGCCTTCGACAGGTCACCCGAATCTCGAGGCTGTGCGACTGACTTTAATCGCACAGGCCCACTGGCCACAAAATGCCGCAAACTCGTCTCGTGATCAGATAGCTTGTGACACTGTGCGAGCCAAGCTCCATCTGCTAAAAAACTGCGGGCTTCAGCTCGAAGTTGGGAGGGGCCTGGGCAGCTGCCAACAAGCAGCATCAAAGCAGAAAGCACACTCAGTCGACATCTCTGTACTTGTAGGAGCTTCGCCCGGATTGGCGCTGAACATTTTAGACTCGCATTGGTCGCAGACTACCTCAGCAATTTTTTCCTGGCCCGCGCCTCATCGTCTTGCGTAATCTCGCTGGTACTGGGTCACGCCTCCAGCAATCCGAAACCTACTAACGCCTTAACTCCGGAGGTCTTGCAGTGCTTGAGTCTCCTTCTCACCTATTTCAGACCATAACTATGGCAATTATACGATAGCCGATGCGCAGCGGCAAGACTACATTAGCATATGCTTAAATGTGCAATCACAAATTGTGCACCAGACATCAGCGCAGGCAAACGTCTGCGGTCTTCACTTCAGCGCACAGGCCATGCAGCAACATCCTGCCTTCGAAGCGGCTTGCTTGATCTGGACACAAAGGCGGAGCCCTCAGTGGCTGCAATCAGCACCAGTGGCACTGACTTCCCTTCGAAAACTATGCGGGATCCTATGTCCTACTTTCACGTCATGCTTGCCTTCGTTTTCATCTGCTTCGAGAGCCGGACAGTTTGGCCTCCCGGGGCGGCGCCGCGGCTTGCATCTGACACCTCCGCCTCAGCACGGCTCCGGCCCGACTTCGTCTGGCGTTTGGCACAAGCACGGCACGAGATGCATGTGTACAGATGTTTAAAGATGTTTACAGGTGTTGGCAGGACACAGGTCTTTCAAGCCGAAGCTCCTTCAGCGCTGCCTAGCGCTCTCGCGCTGGACTCACACGGGGTTCTGCACATCACTTCCGTCTTTTCCCCTCTCGCTGAGCACGAGACAGCTGCTGCCGATCAAAGCGCGTGAAGTCACGATGCAGCACGGACTGGTGCTCCATGAACTTGGCACCCGGATCCACGTGGACTGCCTCGAGATTCGACAGTAGCAAACGAGAAATGGCCACTGTCCCTCAGGGGAGGGGAAGCTGCGACCTGGCCGCCGCGGGGATTGCAAAACCAAAGACTTGCCAGTTCTTTTTTGTTCCTCCTTCCCAAATTGCATGGAAACCTTTTTTGTTCTCTGAGGATGCTCTTTTGGCTCTCTGGAAAAGAATTGCACAGACCTTCCTGCACTTGCGCGCAACGCTGGATGCTAATCGATCATGGGTTTGCCTAAGCAACTTCCTCTAAGCAGCTTGAATGTTATGCACATCTTCTGATCAGAATAAGCAACGACTGCCCAAGGATCGCATGCTTCTGACATGGGGATGCAACTCCCTGGAAGCAGAACGACCTTACAGTGCGTCTTTTGGCAACTGTGTCTCGTCTGCATGCTCAACCCTATCCCCCCCTTTAGACCTGAACCCGCCATGTAACCAGAGCTGCACAAGCCCAAAAACTCTCAACCCTAAACCTGTGAGAGAAGGGCCACACATAACCACACCCTCCCCAGCGCCTTTTTTTTAACAGGCTTCTAGATGACGGAAAAGGGCTCAAACCGAGCCCTAGAACCAACCCTCAAAAAAAACCGTGCCAGCACTGCAAAACGATCAGGCATAAACGTAACAAATGTTCTTGACAAAGACATCACCTTTTTGGGGCAAGCAAGTGGTAACGGATTTGTGCACGGCCGCGCTTCGGCTTTGGCGCAGGGAAGTTTGCTTGAGCCTTGAGGCGCAAAAGGTCTGCGCGTGTGGTTTCTACCGACACACAGCAATTTGTAGGACTTTTTCTTTGAAAAGATTGTATCTAGGAGCGGGGGTTCGGGTTTTTGAGTGGACTGGGGATGGGCTGATGGGCCCCGAGCGATCCCCATGACCCATTCCTGGCACAGCAAACCTCTCCAGACTCCCAAACATCTGTGCCCGCCACCACGCTGGGCTTCCGGTTCTTCGCCGCCACGGCGCTGGCCGCTTCCGAGTCCTTGGCTCTAACAAGAACAGAATAGACGTATACTGTATACATATCCGCCGACCCCAGCGGTAGCAGGGCGGCGTCAGTGAAGACCCCCCACCGCCCTCACCGCCCTCACCCGCTCTCACAGCATGCTGCTCATGACACCTTGAATTGGAGTGTTTTTGCATTGTTTGGCTTCAGTGCATGCCCAAACCCCGCCACCCATCGCCCTCACCCATGACGCCTTGAATTGGACCTTTGACCCCCCCACCCCATCCATTCAGGTGGTTTAAAGGGTCCAGTGCATGGCTGACCACCCCCCCCCCCCCCACTCCCCCCCACACCCCCCCACCCCCCCAACCCCCCCCCCCCCACCCCACCCCCACCCCCACCCCCCCACCCCCCCACCCCCCACCCCCCCACCCCCCCCCCCCCCCCCCCACCCCCCCACCCCCCCCCACGTAGCCTCGCCCCTACCCCCTACTCCGCCCCAATCCCTCGCTGCTCTCACCGCCCTCCCCCCCCCCCCCCCAACCCCCCACCCCCGCCCCCCCTCTCCCACCCCCCCCACACCCCCCCCCCCCCCCCCCACCCCCCCCCCCCCCACCCCCCCCCCACCCCCCCCCCCCCCCCCTCCTGTAGGCCCTACTCACTCCGCACCCCCCCCATCCCCACCCCCCCCCCCCCCCCCCCCCACCCCACCCGCCACCCCCCACACCCTCTGTAGGCCTCGCCGCCCCTGACCATAGTGTTTTAAAGGAGATGCCCTCCCTGACACCAACCCTTTACCCTCAACCCCCCCATCCCTTCCCTCCTAGGCCCCTACCCCCTACTCCGCCCCTGACAAATCTCTAGTTTGAGGGATTCCAATCCACACCCGCCCTAACCGCCTCCCCGCTCTCATCACTCCCCTGCCTTCCGCCCCCAACTCCACCAACCCTCGACCGTCACCTCCCCTGTCCACCCGCCGCGCTCCACCCTGCCTTCCGCCCCAACCCTCTCACCAGAGCTGGTCAAATGAGTCAGGCCCCCCTTTCCGCCAGCTGCCCCCACCCTCTCCCATTCCCACTCCCTAACCCTCCCACCAACCCTCATCATTACCCCCTCCCACCATCGTGCACCATCGGACCGCCCCCCCGCTCTCACCGCTCTCATCGCTTCTTTCCACCCCCACCCACCCCCACCCCCCCCGCCCCCGCCCCCCCTGCCTGCCCACGCTCCACCCTGCCTTCCGCCCCAATGCGACTGTCTTGGGTCTGGGGTCGGCGGCACTGGCGGTAGCCATGAAATCGGGCAGCGCGAGGTCCCCAAAGGACCGAGCAAATGCGGACCTTTTAGCCCGGGTCGTCCCGGGAATAGCCTTGCTGGCCTCTGGCCTTCTGCGAAGCAGAATTAGGCCGGACGCCAGTGCCGCTGACCCCCGCGTGCCGCCGGTGAACGGTTTTTTTTTCGTGGTTTTTTGCGTCGCCACGGAGGCCCCCAGAGGGCGCGCATCATGAGCATCAGCGGGTCCAGCCCGGGACCCCCAGGCGCGCATCAGGAGCATCAGCGGCTCCCGGGGCGGGACCCCGGGGGCGCATCAGGAGCATGATGCCCCCCAAAGGGCGGGCATAAGCGACGTGTCTAAGCCCGGGGCTAGGAAAAAGGGAGTTTAGGGGCCTTATAAAGTGCTTAGAAACGTTAAGGGAGTCTAGGAGCCTCAAACGCTTAGAGATTTGAAGGGAGTTTAGGGGCCTGAAAATGCTTAGAAACTTAACGCTTAGAGATTTTAAGGGAGTTTAGGGGCCTCAACATGCTTAGAAACTGCTCGCCCCGGGCTTCTGCGTGCGCTGCCCGCCCATGGGCGCAGCCCCTTAAAATATAGACAAACAACGAAACACAAAACGAAACGCGCCGCATGTAGCAGGCCGCTGAGGGCCCGGGCATAGGCGGGGTAGGAGGAGCGGGTCGTGGTGACCTCTCTGGTTTGCCAAAAAGTCGTGCGCAGGATCTTGCATCTGAGGCCCTGTCGCGTTGTCACATCTCTCAGAGCCAAGCAGAGCTCAGAGGGGGCTTTGGGGCGTTGGCGCCTGGCTCGAGGAGGTGTTCGCCTCCTTTTTCCGCTAAGAAGAGGTGCGCCTCGGGAGCGGGCCTGCCCCGCGTGCCTGCTGCTTGTAGAGCTCGCGCAGCTCATTGGTGGGTCCTCAAACAGGCGCAAAGCCAGCAGAGTCAGCAAAGTCAGCGTTGTGCTCTGTTGTGCTCCGTTGTGCCGTACTTTGCATCCAAGGCACCCCAGGCATCCAATGAGCGCTGGACGTAGTGCGAGTGGTATGTACACATCGAGCGCCTCATGCCGCTGTCAACCTGAGCTACCAACTTTTCATAACTTTTCGCAGCTCCGAAGGCATCCGAAGGCATCGGAAAGCCTACCGACCCGATCCCAAACCACCCTGAGCACGCTGCTCCGGAAGGTTGGTATCTTGTGGGCTGCAAGATCGACTGAAAGGATGAGCTCCTCACGAAGCCCACAAAACGTCGGGCAACCTCCAGAAGACTGGGCCTACAACCTACGAACCAGCACCTGGCCATGAGGGCATCCGCGGGCTCCTCGAAATGGTTCCTTTCGGCTACCACAAGGACACGAATGCACGATGCCACGCAAGGGAGTTGAATCTACCAACTCCAGTCTCTTATGTTACTTGAGTACAGGTCTGGCACCCTTCACGCTCGGGCATTGGCAGGGGTCCCTCTTTCTATTACACGGCCTCAGCGTGTCACCCGTAGTTGTGGAAAAGAAGGCCTTGGCCTTGGCATCCAGGCGATATATCATAGCACGACCGCACGACGCCGCATAACCATGCCAGCAGCCCGCGGAAAAGTAGCATGAATATGCATGTCTGACAGGCCGAGATCCGAGCACAAACTTCAGGAGGCAACACGCCATGGCGCAGGGAAGGCAAAGGACGGATCCCATAGGCCATGGCACGCAGGGGGGAGGAGCTGCGAACTCACCAATGCAGTCTGAAATAAATGCCAAAGCTGAGTTGGGTATTTGCAGCGTCTAGTCCGTCGCTGTCTCGGAACTGTCTTCTCCAACACTCAGGCGATCACCAAAATGTGCCATATTTGTGCAATGCTCTGGGTTGACGAAACGAAGCTGTAATGTAAACTGCCAACCGCTAGCGGCTGCGGCTTGCAGAATGCCACTTGAGTCCCTAGTCTTAGCTTGTGGAGGACACCTGCCACATCCTGATGCTGTCACTGTCACTTTTCCTTTGCCAGCTTCCCTCCTCAGCGAAACGTTGCATCTCCGGTCTCATCAAGTTGCTATCAGATCGATCAGTCATTCTCCTCCGTCCTGAGGCGAGCATTCCTGTTCGTGACCTGTGCGCCGCTTCCCATACAACATGTTGCACTTAACATGACGAGGGGGATCACCATTCACTGGGCCCGTTGCTTTGGGGTCATCAACTAACTTCCCGGATTGCTCAGGGTTGTTTTTCCTGCTGCTAGTGGTTTGAGAAGTCTCCATCCATTCGCTTGCATCATCTGAATCAAAAGTGAAGACGCGCTAAGCTCTGCGTTCTGGGCAGCAGCACAGCTTGCTTGGCCACTGAGCACAGCACATACAGGCGCAGCTGGTCTGCGCGCTCCACAATCTCCTTGCGCTTCTTGGCTCCGACGTTGTGCGCGATCTCCACGGCGTACTTCTCGTTGTGCATGAGCAGCATTTCCAGGTCAGCTGGGCAGCGCACCAAGAACTTGTAGAAGCCACTCTTCAGGCGGAACCTGGTCTTCTTGTCCGAGCCGTATCCGATCTTTGGGCAGAGAGTCGAGCCCTTGAAGCGTCTTCGCACGCGCCCGTCAATGCCTCGTGGCTTGCGCCACGCAGGGTTCATGCGCTTGAAACGATCTGCCTGGAAGCGCGGAAACTTTTTCGTGCGCTTCTTCACGATCTTGCGCTTATCCGCAGGGGACGGCATCCCTCAGTCAGGCAGCCATCACTCAGTACCACGCTCGCCTAGCAGCCTCAGCTCAGCTCCCGACTGTCTGCGCGCTGCCGGAGCTCGGGCGGGCGAGGGTTGTGCTGGAGGGACCTACCTGAAGCATTTTTTGAGCAAGCACCAAGCATTGCAAAGGTTCCGTGCGTCAAGCGCCAACATCGTCTTTTCAATGCCTGGCTGGGCTGCGCAAAGGGAATTGGGTTGGGATGATTTCGGGCAGAGCTTCGGATAACCACTGAAACTGTCAAACGTCGGCATTCTTAGGGATGCTTTGACTATCTTGGGGGCACAAATTGTATAGATGCGAAGCCGACGTAACGCTCGTTGTTCTTTTGAATCTCCCAGCACAGTCTCACCGTCTCTCGCCATGATTGCAGCTCAATCGTTCTCCTCCGTGCGAAGACGCGCATTCCTGTTTGTGACCTAAGCAGCCGCAAAGCAGGTTTCTGTATACCGTACTCGGACCATGATGCGCGTAAGCTACGTTAACCGTTAAAACGTAACCTCACAGCAAGCTCGTCATGTACCGGGCCAGGCACATACAGGCGCAGCTGGTCTGCGCGCTCCACAATCTCCTTGCGCTTCTTGGCCCCGACGTTGTGCGCGATCTCCACGGCGTACTTCTCGTTGTGCATGAGCAGCATTTCCAGGTCAGCTGGGCAGCGCACCAAGAACTTGTAGAAGCCACTCTTCAGGCGGAACCTGGTCTTCTTGTCCGAGCCGTATCCGATCTTTGGGCAGAGAGTCGAGCCCTTGAAGCGTCTTCGCACGCGCCCGTCAATGCCTCGTGGCTTGCGCCACGCAGGGTTCATACGCTTGAAACGATCTGCCTGGAAGCGCGGAAACTTTTTCGTGCGCTTCTTCACGATCTTGCGCTTATCCGCAGGGGACGGCATCCCTCAGTCAGGCAGCCGTCACTCAGTACCACGCTCGCCTAGCAGCCTCAGCTCAGCTCCCGACTGTCTGCGCGCTGCCGGAGCTCGGGCGGGCGAGGGTTGTGCTGGAGGGACTTAACAATCCTGATAGGATGCGACGGTGACTGCATCAGCATAGGTACACGCTTCATTCATCTTCAGCAACCTGCGAGGCTGTGAAAAGTGTTGACTCCCTGCAGCACTTGACGTGTTTCCAACGCCAACCATTGCAGCAGTATGTAGGCTCGCATGCATTGCCAATAGATAGCCTTGCGCGGCTTCCTCCGGTCTCGAATTACATCACCCATATGCGGTCCGATCACAAAATTTGTGGAACGCATCCGCACCAGTGCGCGCTGGTTTGTCGGGTCCATGTATGAGACATTCTGCTCTGCGAGTCGGGCCTTTCTGGTCTAGCCAGGCCTGGACCGACTAGAGCATTAACAGCATTAACACAGAATCGCATCGTAATGCTCTCAGCACAGCTTGGATTCAAGAGATATCTCTCAGAATTCGTCGTCACCAAGCCTCAGCTCAATGTTATGCTGTGACTTTGACCCTCGATTTTACTCATCTCTCTCTCTCTCTCTCTCCTGATCGATGATGCGAGCCATGCATTTTTTCACTCAAGGCTGCTCTTCTTCCTCCTCCTCGTCGTCGAAATCCTCCTTCGGGGAGCCGATGCGATGCACTTACATCTTACAAGCGTTGCATCCAAGAGGACTCGGCACCTTCTCACGCTCGGCTGCACGCTGCTCTTTGGCCTTCTTGACCTCCTGCAGGAGACGAAGAAGAGGCCGTGAGAAGCAACTGGATGCAATTGGGTGGGCATTCGATCTCCGCTCCTCCACAAGAGCCTTGGCCTTCTGCAGCAGACTCTCCTTGTCACAGTCGGAGCTGTCGGAGCCTCGGCACGATTGCTATGTTAAGTGAAGGAGAGGGGGCTGAGAGGGCTGAGAGGGCTGAGGGCTGCTCACATTCGATAGGCAGGCTTGCCAGCTTCATCCTTGAAAAATGCTCAAAGACGCCACGTGCCACGATTCCTGGAGCCTTGCAAGATCACCGGTCCTCATCCTCGGACGTGACATCCCCACCATTCACTATGATGGACGCGAGGACGTACTCATTCTGAAATTCCCATGCCCACCTCGGCATCGAGATGCCCGCGTAACTCTTGCACATCTGAACTGTCAAGAGGCAAGCGGCCAGGCAAGACCACGTCCGTCACCGGATCTTGCAGACGCTGCTGATTCGCTGCTATCCAAAAGCCTACATCACAAGGCTAGCATGTTTCAACGAACTCTGAAGCTGTGGGCTTGTTATGGCTTGCTGCCACAATACTGCGTCAGATGAAGAACCACAGAGTCCTGCCTGTCAATGGCATCGTTGTCCTTGCTGGATGTCGCTTGCCAAAGGGATGTCAAAATCGGCGTATCCTCCAGCGCACCGGATTCTGGCGCAAGCGCAAGATTAAACGAACTCTGCACTTAAGGTTTCAAGCGAACGAATGCCCATATCGTTTCAGGCAGTGGTGGGGCTGTTGATGAGGGCCCACCCAACCACCCCGGTGGGCTGAGGAAGCCCCAGTTGCCCCTGGTTTGCCTCTGAGCAGGCTTCCTGGCGTTCAATTGCCAGATTCCGGTTTTTGATCTTTAAATCTTTATATGCATATGCAATTAACCCTTTGAAGTCACTCTTCATCTCTGGCCTGCCATGACTCGTCAGCAAGGCCGAGCCTGGCAAGCACTTTGGGCACTTTGGGCACTTTGGGCACTTTGAGCAAATTGAACTCAGCAAACTGACTGCAAAGCGCCTTATGATAAAGAAAGCTATCGCGACACGTAGCATGGCCTCAGCTAATGTGACAAAAGCGTACAGAGCCGGACACCAAATGCGCCGCACTAGCATTCACGAGCATTGAAGACGCACCTGATTCATCTAATGGTGCTCACCCATGCAACTGAGCACGCAGCTGACAAGTCGTCCGAAGAACACAGCCGAATCAGCTCTAACTGGCTCTAAGCCTAAGCACTGGTCACGATAAAGCCCACACGTTGATGGGATACAGGTGTCGATTCCAGGCAAGAGCGTACAGCCACGAGAACACCAACAGACTCAGCTCCCTTGTCGCGACTAAGTACTGAGTAGTAGCCGCTTCAGTAGGCGGTGAGACACTATAAGGCACTGCCTTGAGGATACTCCACAGATGAAGAATGCCTTCATCGAACAATTTTTCCATGTACAACGGTTCGTACCATGTACTATTCAAGCATCCGGATCATCCGGCGCGTCCGCTCAGGCATCGCTGGCAGCATCCATTTGCTTGATCTTCTGGTCGGTGTAGTGCCTGCTGTTACAGATGGCTTGTCACGGATCTGCACTTGCGGGAAACCGTGTGCTGATCATCGCATGCAAGGGGCCACAGTAGCCGTTTTAAGGGCTGGGCTTGCGCTCGGGTACGCAGTTCATGAGCCAGAAGTCCGCAATCTCAGAAACTTACCATACTCACATCATCTCTTCAGAGCTCATCGCTTCAGAGAGCCACACCAACTCAGCTGTGCCAAGTAGTGCGATGCCCGAAGACAACTGCAGAACCTAGCCACAAAGCAGAGCAAAGAATCGACAGCGAGATAGTGAAGCTCCCATGGCCCGCACAATTTGAGAGAACTTTGTCTTCCCACCGAATCCTGGGCATGTCTCGCACCAAAAATCTCCAAGAAGAGACAGAAATGGAGCTCAGGCCTTAGGTGCAGACCTGTAGCAAAAGTTAGCAGCCGGATGCCATACATGCGGTAGACGTCCCGCTTGCGAACACCATTCTGAGCAGTATAGAGCGTACGTGTATGACCGAATGTACTCAGAAACTCTCAGGAGGTCCTCTTACAGAGCTTCAACCATCAGCCCAGAAGAGGCGAGCCTCGTAATAGATGTTTTCATACACGTGGTTGAAGCCCGTTTCGTATCCACAGTGGCAGTCTCCACCTTCCATTGGTCCATAAGCTGCCCAGACATCCGAACTCTTCTGAGTCGTCTTACCCAAATGAAAAAAGGTCAGGCGCGGGCCTTCATCTCACAAAGTTCAGTGTCAAGGTTGCAGTCGAACAGGCCATTCAAGACCATGACCGCACCGAGTTCCACAAACTCCTGGCACTGTAGACCATTAAGGCTGAATATGCATTGGATGCCCAAATTACATCCGGCGGCCAGCACTTCTGGGAGTCTAAACAGAGAGATTCGGGATGCCTTGTCATAAGCCTGCACATCCTCTACTACTTGTCTTGAAAGGAGCTCCCAAGCCCCTCCCCACCCACCCACCCCGTGCGCAAGGTCTAGATGGTGTCGGCTCAGGCTCGCTTTTTGACTTTTCCCTCCCGACACCCAGAACATTCAGGAAAGAGTTCTCAAATACCATGAAACAGGGCTACGTTGGCACCCCCATGTATCTTGCACGTACCAACGCAACGGCACGGGAAAAAAGGAGAGCTCCTCGGGGGCATAATTTGTCATGCGGATCAGGTCTTGAAGCCGGTACGTGTTCGCACCCCTGCCCATGCGCACAACTCTCTTTCCCATCGCACTGCAGAGAGCGCATCGGCCCACACCTCTGAGGGTACGGGATTGAAGTTTTCTCGTCCGCCGTGGTCACGTCGAGCCCGAACCTCCAAGATGCATGGCCGACCAAACGAGGGGCGATCTTTTGCAAGGACATGCAAGGAAGGCCAGGTGCCCTGCTTGTGGTAGTGCACATAAGATTTGAACCAGAGCTCCACCTTCTCGAACTCGAGATAGTGCGTCTGGCAGTTGTAGGGAATATCAGGAGCAAAGCAAATATGCCTGCATAGACGAGATCAGCTTCGAAGCAAAGTGCAATGCAAGCACGATGGACTGCTTGAGCCTCCGTGCTAGCCCAATTCTCGTTCTCTGCAGGACACCACTGGCGTCGCATGCAGAAACCATTCTGGCATTCCTCAAGCTGGGATTTTTTGGCTCTTCCACTGCTCTTCTAAAGACGCGTGATTGAAGCCCATGACTGCATACTGAAAGGAGACTACCTACAACATCCTAAAACAGTATGCTGTGGCTCCGGCCATGCGCTGCACCTGTGGATCGCCGACATTGCAATCCCGTGCCTCCTGCAATCCAAAGACAAAGAGAGCGGCATCAAGCAAGGATGCTTCTGTTTTTGTTGGGGGGAGTTTTTTGACTAATTAAGGCTTCTGTGTCTCGCGCCTGGGTCGTAAACGACGACCATCTCGGTGTTTACGCGTGCCCGTGTCGCTCTGCCCCACGCGCCGTGCACATTCCAGATCGCGAACGGCGACCCTCTCGGTGCTTCTGCGAGCACGTGTCGCTAGTGCCTCTGTATTTCAGCTAGGCCGGCGCAGCCGCCCGCCGTTTGTGAACACAATGGCTTGCATGCTGGGTTTGGAACGGATTCTAATATGGGCTTAAAATTCAAAAACAAATGTCACACAAACACACACACACACACACACACACACCCCTCTCGCTTGTGCGCCCATCTCTCATGCAGGCAATCAGATATACACGAAACGAGGCGCGCCTTACAAGGATGAGACGGGGACTCGCAGTACTCATCTTCCTGAGACTCAAAGGAGTACCGCAACAAGCCACAAATTGCTACTGGTCTTTGGTAGTGGCAAGCCGGCAAGCCTGCGTCTGACCTCGCGTAATGAGGATTCGGGTCGGGATGAACACCGCATCTGCTTCACCTTCACGGGTCTCAGATGTTGTGAGCTTTTGGCAGACTCTCACAATTCACATGGTTTTGCTGCTAGAGCAGTCATGTGCTGGCTGAGACTATGGCCAGGATTTGTGATTCTGTCGTAGACATCCCAAGAAATGCCCAAGTGGGAGAGCTGTGGCCTCACGACATGCACCAGGAATGGCCTAGCTTTGACTCGCCTTGCTGGGTGTGGTGGGGGCGGCACTGCAGCACCTCCGTCAACATCCAGCCGGTGGACTTCTCCTGGCATGATTTGGCCAATATTGAGGATGTCACGCTGTGCTTTCATACTGACCTGCCGCAGGTGGGTGACACGGTGATGCTTCAAAGCCGCGGCGGATGCGCCGTGTCTTGATAAGCTTTATTCATAATGAAGACGATGACGATCTGTGCAGAGCTCACGCTCAGACGAGGAGGCAGGGAAACGCAACTGAGAGCCTGGCCATGTAAAAGGCAACCAGGGCCTGGACACCCCAGTAGATGAACCTGCCGCAGACGTGGTATCTGGAGCCTGGGACCTCTGGGACTGTCTGGGACTCTGGCCTTGCTCAAACTCACAAATCACTGGGACGCTCGGGAATCGTGCTGTTGATGGAGGTAGCTAGGTAGCTAGGTAAAAGTAAACTTCTTTGATTGGAGTCTCGCGCGTTGGGTCCGACATGTACAAGGACTCCGAGCCCCAGGCCCCAAGCGTCGATCAAGGATGCGCACCAGCTTCACCGTGTCATAAGCGAAAACCTCCACCGAGACAACTTAGTCTGAATGCTCGGCGCAGGAAGCCCTGCGAGTACCGCAAAAAAAAGTCTTTTTGCAAGTGGCTCATAGTGGCTCAGTCCCCAGGGTGCCCGACATGGTCGGGATCTGGAAGGCTATCCTCGATCCAGGCTGGCAGCAGCCTTGCGGTGGAAATCCAGGCAGTGCTGGCAGATGTATAACACTTGTATAACACTGCAGAACTAGGCGTAAGCTGCGGACCCCATGGTGCAGGTACCGTCTCATTCACAGGCCTGCTTGGAAACGGTGTGGCACAGTGCCACAGGGTGTGGTGATCCGAAAGCAATGGGCCTCAGCGGTCCCCGAGCACTTGCCTTGGACTACATTCGACCATGCTCGTTCTCTAGCTCCGAAGAGCTTGAGCCTAAAGAATCACAAATGTTGGCTCAGCCCTTCCACAGCAACGGAAGATCGTGCTGCCTACAGGTCTAGCCGGGCTCTTCTGCCTTGCATGTCCACGGCGGTTCAGTCTTCACTGAATCTGTAGAGGTACACAGCGTTGTCCCTTCCATCTGTGGCCATGAGGCTGCAGTCCGGGGACATACTCAGTGAACCAAGCCACACACGATGCTCTGGAATAGCAAAGAGCAGGTCCCCGGACTCGGCATTCCAAACACGAATGAAGCTGTCCAGGGCGGCACTGACAATGACCTCACCACCACCCTGGCTGATGGCCACCACCCGGCCTCGATGCTCGCGCTGCCAAAGCTTCTCCCAGTCCTCCCCGGGCATCGCAGCCCCGGCGCGCCAGGACACCAGGTTCCCAGCGGCGTCCCCGGTCAGTATCTGCTCCGCTGTTACAAGCACGGCCGAGATGGCGAAGCGATGTGCGCCTGCGCGTCGGGATAGCAGGTTAAGATGCTCCAGGCTGCGAACCTCCAGAGTCCCATCCTCCAATCCGAGAGCGAAGCTTCCCTCAAATCCTGCGGCCAAGCTGTGCACGTTGCCATTCACCTTAATCCTGGCAGGCTGCTTGGCCCCATCAGACTCATCGGACTCCAGCTCATCCACATGCCAGCGCATGACCGCCTCGCCTGCAGCAGCAATCAGCATGTTCTCATGCACGTACACGAAGCAAGGGCGTGCAAAGTTCTCTGGACAAACCACCGTGTCTAACAGGAGCGTGCCATCTTCCCTCCATGCGTGCACTCGCCCACCAGCCAGCCCTGCGAACAAACACCTGCCGCTCCATGCAATGGATGTCACAGATGTCTCAGGGTCGTACTCTGCCTGGTGGTCTGCCGGAACACTTCGGGTCGGGTCACCGCTGACAGGAAAAAACTGCCGAGGCTCATCACTGCCTAGCCCATATCTCTGCACGCCGCGCGTAGCGGTGCCGACGAAGAGTTCGTCGTCGACCAAGATCACGCGGCGAACCCAGTCGTTTGCAACAGCACCCACCTTTACATCAGCACGTCCAGCCTGCCAGTTTCGGTCAACTACACCTTGTCGTTCCATCTCTTGCTGCTCAACTTCCTGGGCTCGCTTTCGGAAAGCTGCAAAAAAGGCTGCATCATCAAGCTCATCCGGGCCACCAGCGCCAGTGTCCTGAATGTCATTTCTTTCCTCCTTGGAGGCTTTGGAGCCCTCGTCACCATCCTTGTCGGACCGTGAGCAGGTCAGTCTGGTCAGTTTTGCACACCACTTTTCTGACCTCTTTGCCTTCGACCAGACACGGCGTCGAGCGGCGAGGCCTACAAAGCCTGCGCTTGCTGGAACAAGCAGCGTTGCAAGCGCTGTAGTAGCACCGGGAAGGCCAAGCTGAGCTTGATCCTGGCTGCTGGACGCCGGCAACTTGGACAAGTGGTTGGCGAGTACACTCCTGTGTGTACAACTGGGCAGCGCCGCTTCCATGTTGCTTATATGCTTACGGCTTACGGCTTCTTTCAAGCCTCTTGTCTCACGTGAGTTCATGCGAGGCCATATGGGTGGTTCACGGTGGCTATAGGTGCAAGGTCGAATGCCACAGCCAAAGAGGTGGATTGCTTGAACCCAGAGCGAACAGCATCTTGCACCGGAAGAGCCAAGCAGCCGAAGGCAACTGCTTCACTTGCTTTTAACTTTGCGGTGATTGGAAAAGCCGTGGCTCCAGATCTTCCAACCTGGACCATCAACACGCCATCTGACTCAACATGACATTAACATGACGCTTTGCAGTGTCGAGGGAGTCGAGGCCCAGGCTGTGCAGCACCTGCAAGATCACGCAGAGCCTTCCGTTGGCTGGCGGCATCCTGGACAAACCCTTTGCTAAGGGGCACAGCCTCTGTGAACATTCACCGGCTTCCAGGTTCATTGGTGGGGGACATCGTAGAAATAACCATGTCGCAAATAGAGACCCACACGCACGTAGAGAGTCTGAAGGGGAGTCTAGTAGGCTCGCTCCGGCACGGTATTGCTCCTATCAGGCTCGCTGTGTCAGAATGGCTTTGTGTCATATCATCCTGTCCTGTGCAAACTCGTACAGCGACGCCAAGTTCTGCAGAAGGCACGGCACGAGGAATCGCACCGGGTCCTTGAGGACCAAGGCCTGCACACAGAGCTGAGAGCGGAGAAGCGCAAGCCACTCAAAAAGATTCAAATCGCACAGTGCAAACATGGGCCGTATAGAAAATTCATGTAAGATTCGCTTCACTATGCACAGATGCTGACGACCTGGTATGCAGATTCGAGGTGCCTGCATTATCAGAGTACATAAGAACTAAAAAAAGGCTTCTGAAGGAATGAAGCGAGAACCGCGGGAATACAGATCAGGCCTTCAGCCGCTCACAGGCGCCGCGCAAGTCCTGGACACGACATGAGCGAAACGAGCATGTGCGAAGCACCTGATGCGCAGAGAAGGTGGGTCTAGGTCTTTCTCCCTCTCCCGGATTCTTTCTGAGAACAGTCTTTGGTGTAGAACTTGCAGACAGCCAGGTTGTTCTCCGCCGCAAGGACCTGTCCAATGAGCTGGCGAGAAGTAAGAGGGTTACGAGGGCTGAAAGCTGTGAGGCAAAGGGTACCTCCTGCAGCCGCGCGTCTTTGTCAGCGTGCAAGGCAGTGGCCGCTGCTTCGAATGCATCCCTGGCTGGCAATTGCAATTCACTGGGAGCTTTGCATGTCATGTGTTCTGCACATGTTCAGCTTACTTCGGCAACAAGAACCGCCACACCGCAACAAACGTCAGGAGACCTGGCAGCCTGGAAGTCGCCCAAGGACATGGCACGAAGTCCCGAATTGAGCAGGACCTCATAAGAGGAGGCCGCAAAGGCAAAAGGGAAGTCAAAGGGGAAGGTAAAGTGGCGCGTGTCTCCTGTGCCAACTTTTTGGCTGAGAATGCCGCCGTGGAGTCCTGCATGCACACAAACATGCGCATGCGTCTTCGCCTGGCCTTTTGAGGAAAGCGCGTTTACGCCGATCGTTCTTCGAATGCAAAGAGCCGTTCGAATGCAAACAGCCGTGCACACCATGAAAGGCATGACTCTCTGGACTAGCTTTCTTGGCGGAGCTCAGATGCTCCAGCCCCTTCCTTGATCTTTCTTATTCATTTCTTGAATCTTGACTCTCTGCAGCACCCTGCAATCTGTGGTACCACTGCGACGAGACAGTGTCGCTGCAGCCAGATGATGCCTTTGTCTCCCCCTACCCCAGGTGCCTGCCCGGACGCGGTCTGCGCTTTTGCGAAGGCAACATCTGCCGCAGGGAGGTTGCCCCCAGACAGGTGGTGTCTTCCTGGCTGACTGTGACACTCAAGCCAACACACTTGGAAGAAAAACCGTGAGCAAAGCATCCGATGCTGTCCACACGTCTGCTACTGCTTGGCGCACCCAGCAGCGACCAGAGTTCACGGCAATCTGGTCGGGTCGAACTCAATCTTACTGACACACTCGGAATCTGTTCCATCTTGCAGTGGACCTTCACGTTCGGACACGGCCCGCTGCAACTCTTCGGCAGCCATGCGCCCATGGCCCACGGTCAGGGACGAGTGGGACAGAACCTCACCCCCAATGACCTTCTCCTCTTCACGACTCTCACAGCGAACACGAAGAATCGCACACAAGACAAGTCCAACCTGAAGGAGCTCCAGTCGATCTTTGGCTGGGCCTTGGAGAGCGCAAGCAAAAAGAGCAATTGACATAGGAAGGCATAGGAAATCATAGCAAAGCATAGGAAAGCATAGGAAAGCATAGGAAAGCACGCTGCAAAAGTCAAACTCCCTGGGCTGGGGTGCCCCCACCATCGCTTGGCCAACTTTGTGCCAGAGCCTCTCTCCAGTCAGTCCAAGCATCACCAGCAGAGCTGACAAGTGCAAAAAACGTGATGGATGCTGGACCTTCAGCTGCAGCATGGTCTGGTATGCATCTGCATGTAGGAGCCAAGGAAGCTGCGCGAGGAAGAACTTAACCTGCTGCACGATCCACAGCACCAAGGAAGGTCACAAAACGTGTTGCCGAGTCTTCTTACGTGTTCTTATTCAAATTTCAGCTTCGGAGCAGCTACATGCCGCCTCAAAGCAGGCGGCCTCGTCACCCATCTGCTTGCACTCCTGCAAAGCAAGAGTCGGAGTTGCTTCCTCCTCTTCTCGCCAAGGCGAATGCCACCTGCAAATGCCCAGCGCCTCTGCCGCTTCGGCATAGCGCCGCATGCTCGCCAAGCAGCGCAGGCGGAGCAGCCGGCCCTGGAGACGCAGCTCCGAAGACGATCAAAGAAAACGAAACTGAAATGGAACCGAACAGCAAAACAAATAACTCGAACGGACAGATGGATAGAGAGATAGATCGAAGTGCAAGATACTCGTACTTCATGAGTGGAAATTATTGGCAGCTGTGTAATAAGACCGTTAAATTGTCAAACAATTTTCTCATGTGGGCCGGGTTTATTGATGTTTAATGATTTATTTGGTTTAATTTTAAGGGTTTCCCTAAAAGGTGGAAAAAGGTGGAAACGGCGTGATGGTATGACGTATGCTTCTTTCGGGGTAGGGCAGATTTTGCCTGGGATTTCGCATCACGTGTGAAGACACCGCTTCTCCCTCCCATTCCCTCCCCCAACCTCCAGCGGGCCTCGGCCCCATAACTCCTCGCCGCTCCGTGCTCTGTTCCTGGACCTCTTCCCTCCTCGAGGCGCTTCAGGGCCGTGTTGACCCGCCGCTGCTCCACGAGCTCCCTTCAAGCAAAAGGTCACACGCCCGCGCACACGCACAGACAGTTCACATCATGTCGCACATTCGGCCTTATGGAGCTCAGCGGCACGCTTTCTGCCTCCTTGTTTCTGCAGCAGAACTCTTCGGCACCGTGTAGCACAAACAGTCCGCATCCCAGCCTCGGGCTGAACCTGCACAGGCTGCTTCCATGCTGCTTCCATGCTGCTTGCATGCTTGCATGCTTGCATGCTTGCATGGCTGCTTGCGAACGGCGCTCAAAGGGATTGGATCCGCTGCAGCCAATTCACCGACGTCGGCAGCTCTGAAGGTACATCCATGTCATTGGACAGCTCGTCCAAGCTAGGCCTAAGGTCAGGTGCGCGCAGGTAATCGAAAGATCGAAAGAAAGGACACAAGAAAGGCAAACCTCTCCTCGTTGTCCTCAAGCGCGCTTAAGCCCAGCACACTTTTGGAGGGACCGGCGGTGGCAACCCTCTTCTGTTTCGAAGGACTACCTCTCGGATCTGCATCGCAAGTGCGGATATGTTGAAAAGTTAAGCGCAAAACGTTGATACGAGATTTTACGCGCACGAGCAGACTGGGCTCTCGGCCTCGTCTTGCTTTGTTGCTTCATCGGCGACCTCATCCTGGCCAAGCACGCCATCAGCCCACAATGCCCCACAGCCTGCAGTGCCCCACTTGCCTCCTCCAGACCTGTCGCCGGATATCCAGAACCTGTCTGAGGCAAATGCGGCTCTGCTTTGTGCACATCGGCGCATGGGTACAGCACTGGGAGCACGGCCATTTTCGGGCACACGCTCTGCCTCCCACTGTACCCCAGGATGCTTGGTCCAAAGCCCTCAAGTGCTCATAACTTGAGATTTGTCAGTCTCCCGAAGCTCAAGGTTACAAGCGCTGCCACGGAAACCCAGCCCCCTTTGACCAATGCCATCCGATGCCTCATTCTCATCGCGAGGATCCCTGCATTGCTCTGAAAGCAACAAATCGATTGCATTTGTGAGATGCTGCGAGATTCTGCGAGCTGAGGCCCCTGCTCCGGATCAGGAGAGGCCGTGCCAGTGGCTGGGCCAGCGGCTGCACCATGGACATCTTCCTGATCCTGGGCTGAAAGATGCTGTCCGGAGTCCGAAGCAGTTTAATTAAGCTCGAAGGCCTTCACCTCCTCAAGTTTGGGCTCCATCCAGGTGAGCTACAGGGATGTTCACAGAAGCTTGTAGGTTGAGTGAGTCATGTCACGCATTGCGCCCCTTGCTTGCGTTGCGTTCTCTGATGGCAGTTGGCGGTTGTCAGTCTTCTGTTCCAGTTTGCATGACCAACTCTTGACTCTTAAGCCACGCGTCCAAAACATTAGGATGCATTAGGCAAGGCTGCCCATGTGTAACTGGATGAAGGCGGCAGAACACGCAAAGTGTTTGTCCACAGCAAGCACTCGCCATACGATCTGTAAGCCGGATATTTCATGAAGTCGAACAGATGTGACTTCCATGCTTGCAAGGGATAGATCTAGGGTTAGGGTACGTTGTACGGTGTTCCACCTCGGCTACCACCATGATGCAATGTGATGCGCGATGACTCACGACGACAACTCTGAGGCGTTCCGCCTGCAGAGCGTCTGCCCTTTGAAGTGTGTTTTACCGCAGTTGGTGCCAGATGCGCCCTCTGGCTCATCGTCGGCCATAGCCTCACCATAGCAACGCAGGCTCTGGCCCATGGCGTACAGGAGTTCTTTGTTGCATCTGCTACTCAATCGCCCACAACAAGGATTCTGGGCATCACGCCCCCATACGACCCATAAGATGTCCGGGGCTGCTTGGCCTGGGGTGGCAAGACTCACGCTAGCCGGGTAGCCCGAGTGCAAGCCTTCAATTTGTCGTTCCAAGGTTCTTGCCGGCGGACCACCGGATGATTGGTACGGCCTCTTGTTCGAGTAGTATGAGCCTCAGCACGACCATGCGGAAAACCAGGCGCAAATCGGTGGCAGCAGCAAGTGCTAAGTTCGCAGACTTTCATACGACGATTGAGGCGGTCTGCTGCCTGGCCACCGAATCAATACACCTAAGGCACTGAATCCGCCCTTCCCTTCGAAGGCCAAGCGCGGTTTGGGGCTGTAGGGCGAACAGGCTTGACAGGTTTGGAAGTTTCTGAGATTCTGAGGTCTGACAAAGGATCTGCATGGAGGCCAATGCTGCACTGTGCCGATTCCCGTGAGCTCACACTAGCCGCTAGCAGCGGCAAGGAGACCGAAAATGAACAAACCTGGGAGGCCCTTGCAAGGCCTAGGCAAGGCCCCTGTGGAAGGCTGGGAGTCTGAAAATCGAAAAAGCTGAGGGTTCCGGTGCAGCCATGAGTTGCTTTGGAAATATCATGGTATCATCCGATGTATGGCAAACAGCGCGCCTTTGCCGCCGCTGACCGAGCCCTTGCCCTTGTCCTGCCCACGTTCTCTGCTTCTTATTCTTCTTCTTCTCCGCAAGCTCTCGCTCTCTCTTCGCTTCTCGGGGGGGGGGGTCGGGGTGGGGCAGGTCAGCTGTACGATTAAGGCGGCGGCTGCCTGCCGCGTGGGGGGCGGCGTTGGCCTGGCGGTGCTTCGCAGAGGGACGCAAGGTTCAAAGCGCGACGCGGGGTGCCTGGCGGCATGGGCGCGCATGCGGCATGGGCGCATGCGGCATGTGTGCCTGGTGAACTTCAGCTTGGCCGTCTCGTCGCCTGCATCGACTCTTCGCTCCCGTTCTCGTCGGTGGTCCTGAGACATCGGCGGAGACAGGCCCAGAATGGAAGCATATGGAAGCAAGCTCACAAGGACGCCTCAGTGTACTTGAGGAATGTCTCCAGCCCCACGTCTTCGGCTTGCACGGCCTTTAAGCTACATTTTAAGCTGCAAGATTCACGAGCCGATGGCAGCCAGAAGTACAGGCCCCCACCTGCCCGAACCGAAAATCGGATACAATCGGACGTACACATGGCCTGGAGGAAGTTGGAGGTGCTGTCCACGGTGAGGGCATCCTTCATGATGTCCAACAAATCTGTGAACTTCGCAAGGCCGTACTGGCCGAAGTTCCAGCTTTTCTTGAAGTACTTCTGATAGTAGTATGCCAGATGAGCTTCCACGAAGCCCGGCCGATCTGGATCGTCCAAGTCTTTCTTGAAGCTGTGGAGGAGGAGGTGGAGCTCTGCCCTTAGGGTGAGCAGTGTCCAGTCCTCATACACAAAGTTCGCGAACAAAGGCATACAGTTCCCCAGATCCATCACATCCTCCACCGCAAAGACGTCGAGGTCGTCGAAGTTGACCTCCACTGGGGCCGTGTCCTGCGCAAACTTCTCTTCCAAAGCCTTGGCAGCATCTTCGTCCCCGGCTTCCATCAGCTTCTTCTTCTCCTCCTCCATGGTCTTCTTGGCGTCCTCGAGCTTCTTTGCTGCGAGCGCCTTCCGCTTCGACGGCTCCTTGTACTCGGCGTGCCGCCTCCTCCATTCCTGGCAGCAAGAACACATTCATGACACTGCTGATGTTGCGGCAGTCACGCTTCTTTCTTTTAGCAGGGTGGTCGGTGGTCGGTCGCTTTTCGTTTGCATGGGTGGGACGAAGCATAGATGCAAGATGTTGCAAGAGCGCAGGGCGCCGCGGGCTTGGGGGTCGGAACTAAATCGGAACACGGAGAAGCGGCGCAGGTCCCATCTGGGCTCTCCAGCCTGGATGGTCTTCTGCCACTTCGTCCACACCTCTTTGAAGCCGGCGCCGGGCTGCAGGTCCTACAACGGAGCGAAGGAACAGGACGAAGGAACATGATGGAATCACGACATATCACGACGCACGACGAGAGCTGCCACGCTGTACGCTGTGAGCTCGTTCCGTTCCCCGTGGCCTCTGCGCGCTGCGTCAGCTTCTTCTGGAGGATCCACTTCTTCAGCAGCGCCGCACAGTCACCCTGGGCCTGCCAGGCAAAGCTGACTGCATCGAAGCCCTCCTCTTGGGTCGGGATGCTGAACTTGGCGAAGGACTTCGTCAGCTCACGGTCTGAGATATCTGGGACGGGACCCGTCCGGTAGGAGAGCGACTTCTCCTCCTCCGTCAGTTCCACAACGGCTGCCTCCTCCATCTTCACGTCCTCGTTCTCCTCAGCTTCCTCGACCTTCGCGTCGTCTCCGTTGTCTTCCTTGTCGTCCTTGCCCTCCTTCTTCTTCTGCGCCGCCTCCTTCGCCTTCCTTGCTTCCTCCGCCTTCTTGCGCTTCAGCTCGAGCATCCTCTTCCGCTCTTCTGCCTGCGCTTTTCGCTTCTGCTCCTGCTCCGCCTTGGACTTCTTCTCGGCCAAGATGAGGGACTGGACCCTCGCCTTGTACTCGGCCGTCGGCTCCCCCATGACAACCACAGCCTTTCGAGCGAAGTCCTGCGAGTTGAACCGGCTCAGCGTGGCCTCTCGGTCACCGGCAATCAAGTTGGCCTTCAGCTCTCCGATGACGTAGCTGCGGTTCAGGCAAGGGGAGACATTCTGCAGAACTCGGCGCACGCTCCAGTCATCGAGCGCCGGGACACCAAAACTCCCTTCGGGCTTGTCCAGAGATCCACCACCCTTTGGTTTCCAGAGGCCACTCTTCTGTGCCCACTCCAGGATCTTTCGATCACTCAGCTCAACGTAGCCCGGGTTCCTTTCCACGAACTCGTCCACCCAGTCGAAGTATCCCTGAGAGGGCAAGCCCACGGGCAGGACCACCTCGGGCTTCTTGTTCGCTGCTTTGCAGGGAGATGCCTCCACGTCTGCGGCCGCTGCGCTTGCCAGCATGTGGCAGCTAAATGGCAGGGCTTTGCGGGGAGTGGGGCCGAAGTTCACTTCTACAGACACATTCTTGTATGAGAGGGTGGGGTAAAGGGGCTTTCCACACAGGTGCTCTGGTATGGGCTGGGGCGGACACTGGCGTGTACCATTCAAGAACAAGCTCACGGTGTTCTTGTTGGGGCTCGACTGGTCCAAGTTGAGGAGGACTGCGACTGTGGCGTCTTTGAACTTAGGCGCGGCCTTTTTTCGTGATTTGTCATGAATGAAGAGTCCTTCAGAATCGAAGCAGAAGCTGTCGCACCCATCTGCCAGGAACAGGGAGCTACCGGCCAGCGAGAAACCCACTCGAAGGAGCTGCTTGGGGGTCGGCGTCCTTTCCCCGGTGTCCAGGGGCGTGATGGCCTCTACTATCCGGACTTCAAACATGTACCGCCCGGACTTGATGCCCGTGTCCGCGCGGATGCAGGCCAGGAGGTACTGCATGCCGCCCTCGGTCAGAGTCCTGCCACAGCATCACGTTCAAGGACAAAAGTCTCTACACACCGACACTCTCGGGACATTCCCCACAACACCGTGCAGGGACTGTGCCTCACCATGCGGCCAGATGCAATCACATTGAGCGTGGAGTCCACAGAGTTCAGGCCGACGCACTTCACCTGCGCAGGCAGACCCTTGGCCCAGCCCACGCGCCCTCTCGCCCCCCCCGATCTTGCCCGATCTCGCCCGATCGCGCCCGCGCGCGCCCCCCCTTCGCCCGCGCGCACCCCCCCCTCCCTTCGCCCTCCGGCTTGGACCTTGGGGCCGGAGAGCGGCTCCGCGTCCTTCTCCTGCTCCTGCGGCTCCTCCGGCTCTGCCGGCTTCTCCGCCTCCGCAGGCTTCTCCTGGGCAAGCGCTCGAACGATGCAAAAAAAAGCTCTGTGGACCCATGCACAGGCAGCACTCAGGTGATGGTAAATGCCTCCATTTTTTCGTCTTTCGAAGGCTCGGCCTCTTGGGCCTCCTCCTTTGGCTCTTCAGCCATGACCTCATTACTAAATGCTTGATTTGATATGACTGAAACTTTGCTGATCAAACAGCTGGGTAGGAAGCCATTAAGCCCCAGAACCACACTACCACTACGACCCAAATGGCTGCAATCAGGCAACCGATGTACAACTGCTGATTGACGCCGCAATAATCACACGACATGCACAGAGCCCTCACCCTGGATTCCCAGTTGCGATCGCCTAGACTGCTGGAACACAAAGCATGCATAGGCAGGGCATGTTGCGTATGTTGCATCTTTTGTTCGGCTGCAGCGTCGAAGAAGCGAAGTCTGACCAGCATGGCAAGATACTCTGCCTCGCCTGCCTTGCTAACCGAGTGAAATCGGGAATCCTGGTCTGCTCGTCCTGGATGTTGGGCAAGAATTCCGGTAGACTTTATGGGCCTGCCGGTGAGGTCGTTGACGGCATGAGCGGGCCCCTTTCTATCGTCGACCATGGTAACCTAAGCAGACCATTGGCCCGGCAAACTGGCATCCGCAAACCTCAATTTGTAAGCCTGGGCCCCCCCGCCATGATACGACCCGTACGAGGAATACGATGTCCGGGGTTGCTTGGCCTGGGAGCGAAGAAGCTTTCAATTTTCAACCAGAATAGCACCTACCACAGGTGGTCTTCAGAGTGTTCAGGATCCAGCTGGCGGCCCAGAAGATTGCTGGTACGGCCGCTTTGTCTGATAAGAACCTGAGACAGAACAAGCCCAAAGGCCTTTGGGGTGAAAGAACAACCATCCCAGTTTCTTTTGTCCCCTCTCACTTCCTTTTCTTGTCCGCCTTGCTACGCCTCCGCCCACCGTGTTGCCGGCCCCCTCGCCTGTAACGCCCGATGGACCCTACGGACCGCCTGTGAATCTTCATGAACCTCTGTTGCTTGCGCACCCGCGTCATGAGCATCAGCGGCTTACCCAAGGGCCCCTTAAACACGCAATCTATGTTTTCTTAGAATTTGCTTGTTTTGTCGCCCTTGCCGCCCCAATCAGCCAGCATCAACGGGGAGCATGATTGAGCCAAAGGGGTCGATGTGCGTATCCTTGGGTCATCCTCAGGACCAAACGTTGCAGCATCCCAAAATGCATGACAGATACGTCTTTTGCGGCTTCGCTTTTAAGCGCTTCACCGCGTTCTTCACGCTATTTTGGGGCAGACTATGGCTTCTAGAACCGTAAGAAGTACGGTTGACTTTAAACCTAACCCCACACCGAGGGTGGAGAAGGATATACAGCAGATATGTACAAAACAAAGCATGGCGTGTTCGCGTTCTGGACTTGCTTGCAGCGATGTTTGTGTCTTTGTATTTGTTGACTATTCTTCTCCGCATTTGTGTTTGCTGTCGTATTTGCACCCATCCCTGCGTCTTTGTCTGCTTTGGGCGTAGCCGGCTGTGGGCGACCGTCCCGTTAGATAAACCTCTCGTTGCTACTGCTACCGGACATACCGGACCCAGAGCGGCCCCAATCCTCTGTGGACCCTCTGGTTTGGTGGTCCTCCTGGGTGGCCAAGGCCTAAGCCTGAGACTGGCGGTACTTTCTGAGTGCAGAAGGTTTCGGCTCTGCACCCTGGGAGCCTTCCGGGCCGAGGGTTCCGCAACATCACATGCTGCGCCATGCAGGTGCGTTAGCATTCATGCGTTAGCATTCATGTTGAGCGCTACCGCGCTGAGACGCCAATCAAACAAACAACTGAGTCTGCATACTTTCGTAGGCTGACGATTGAGTGGCAGCTTTGCCTAGTCAGACAATGCTTCGGTAGCGCAACGACGCCACGACACATGCACCCGTGAAAGTGAAAGAACTCATGAACACGGGCAGAGCCTTTGCCGCTGACCGAGCCCTTGCCCTTGTCCTGCCCACGTTCTCTGCTTCTTTTCTTCTTCTTCTTCTTCTTCTCCGCAAGCTCTCGCTCTCTCTTCGCTTCTCGGGGGAGGGGTAGGGTCAGCTGTACGATTAAGGCGGCGGCTGCCTGCCGCGTGGGGGGCGGCGTTGGCCTGGCAGTGCTTCGCAGAGGGACGCAAGGATAAAAGCGCGGCGCGATGGGCGCGGATGCGGCATGGGCGCATGCGGCATGTGTGCCTGGTGAACTTCAGCTTGGCCGTCTCGTCGCCTGCATCGACTCTTCGCTCCCGTTCTCGTCGGTGGTCCTGAGACATCGGCGGAGACAGGCCCAGAATGGAAGCATATGGAAGCAAGCTCACAAGGACGCCTCAGTGTACTTGAGGAATGTCTCCAGCCCCACGTCTTCGGCTTGCACGGCCTTTAAGCTACATTTTAAGCTGCAAGATTCACGAGCCGATGGCAGCCAGAAGTACAGGCCCCCACCTGCCCGAACCGAAAATCGGATACAATCGGACGTACACATGGCCTGGAGGAAGTTGGAGGTGCTGTCCACGGTGAGGGCATCCTTCATGATGTCCAACAAATCTGTGAACTTCGCAAGGCCGTACTGGCCGAAGTTCCAGCTTTTCTTGAAGTACTTCTGATAGTAGTATGCCAGATGAGCTTCCACGAAGCCCGGCCGATCTGGATCGTCCAAGTCTTTCTTGAAGCTGTGGAGGAGGAGGTGGAGCTCTGCCCTTAGGGTGAGCAGTGTCCAGTCCTCATACACAAAGTTCGCGAACAAAGGCATACAGTTCCCCAGATCCATCACATCCTCCACCGCAAAGACGTCGAGGTCGTCGAAGTTGACCTCCACTGGGGCCGTGTCCTGCGCAAACTTCTCTTCCAAAGCCTTGGCAGCATCTTCGTCCCCGGCTTCCATCAGCTTCTTCTTCTCCTCCTCCATGGTCTTCTTGGCGTCCTCGAGCTTCTTTGCTGCGAGCGCCTTCCGCTTCGACGGCTCCTTGTACTCGGCGTGCCGCCTCCTCCATTCCTGGCAGCAAGAACACATTCATGACACTGCTGATGTTGCGGCAGTCACGCTTCTTTCTTTTAGCAGGGTGGTCGGTGGTCGGTCGCTTTTCGTTTGCATGGGTGGGACGAAGCATAGATGCAAGATGTTGCAAGAGCGCAGGGCGCCGCGGGCTTGGGGGTCGGAACTAAATCGGAACACGGAGAAGCGGCGCAGGTCCCATCTGGGCTCTCCAGCCTGGATGGTCTTCTGCCACTTCGTCCACACCTCTTTGAAGCCGGCGCCGGGCTGCAGGTCCTACAACGGAGCGAAGGAACAGGACGAAGGAACATGATGGAATCACGACATATCACGACGCACGACGAGAGCTGCCACGCTGTACGCTGTGAGCTCGTTCCGTTCCCCGTGGCCTCTGCGCGCTGCGTCAGCTTCTTCTGGAGGATCCACTTCTTCAGCAGCGCCGCACAGTCACCCTGGGCCTGCCAGGCAAAGCTGACTGCATCGAAGCCCTCCTCTTGGGTCGGGATGCTGAACTTGGCGAAGGACTTCGTCAGCTCACGGTCTGAGATATCTGGGACGGGACCCGTCCGGTAGGAGAGCGACTTCTCCTCCTCCGTCAGTTCCACAACGGCTGCCTCCTCCATCTTCACGTCCTCGTTCTCCTCAGCTTCCTCGACCTTCGCGTCGTCTCCGTTGTCTTCCTTGTCGTCCTTGCCCTCCTTCTTCTTCTGCGCCGCCTCCTTCGCCTTCCTTGCTTCCTCCGCCTTCTTGCGCTTCAGCTCGAGCATCCTCTTCCGCTCTTCTGCCTGCGCTTTTCGCTTCTGCTCCTGCTCCGCCTTGGACTTCTTCTCGGCCAAGATGAGGGACTGGACCCTCGCCTTGTACTCGGCCGTCGGCTCCCCCATGACAACCACAGCCTTTCGAGCGAAGTCCTGCGAGTTGAACCGGCTCAGCGTGGCCTCTCGGTCACCGGCAATCAAGTTGGCCTTCAGCTCTCCGATGACGTAGCTGCGGTTCAGGCAAGGGGAGACATTCTGCAGAACTCGGCGCACGCTCCAGTCATCGAGCGCCGGGACACCAAAACTCCCTTCGGGCTTGTCCAGAGATCCACCACCCTTTGGTTTCCAGAGGCCACTCTTCTGTGCCCACTCCAGGATCTTTCGATCACTCAGCTCAACGTAGCCCGGGTTCCTTTCCACGAACTCGTCCACCCAGTCGAAGTATCCCTGAGAGGGCAAGCCCACGGGCAGGACCACCTCGGGCTTCTTGTTCGCTGCTTTGCAGGGAGATGCCTCCACGTCTGCGGCCGCTGCGCTTGCCAGCATGTGGCAGCTAAATGGCAGGGCTTTGCGGGGAGTGGGGCCGAAGTTCACTTCTACAGACACATTCTTGTATGAGAGGGTGGGGTAAAGGGGCTTTCCACACAGGTGCTCTGGTATGGGCTGGGGCGGACACTGGCGTGTACCATTCAAGAACAAGCTCACGGTGTTCTTGTTGGGGCTCGACTGGTCCAAGTTGAGGAGGACTGCGACTGTGGCGTCTTTGAACTTAGGCGCGGCCTTTTTTCGTGATTTGTCATGAATGAAGAGTCCTTCAGAATCGAAGCAGAAGCTGTCGCACCCATCTGCCAGGAACAGGGAGCTACCGGCCAGCGAGAAACCCACTCGAAGGAGCTGCTTGGGGGTCGGCGTCCTTTCCCCGGTGTCCAGGGGCGTGATGGCCTCTACTATCCGGACTTCAAACATGTACCGCCCGGACTTGATGCCCGTGTCCGCGCGGATGCAGGCCAGGAGGTACTGCATGCCGCCCTCGGTCAGAGTCCTGCCACAGCATCACGTTCAAGGACAAAAGTCTCTACACACCGACACTCTCGGGACATTCCCCACAACACCGTGCAGGGACTGTGCCTCACCATGCGGCCAGATGCAATCACATTGAGCGTGGAGTCCACAGAGTTCAGGCCGACGCTCTTCACCTGCGCAGGCAGACCCTTGGCCCAGCCCACGCGCCCTCTCGCCCCCCCCGATCTTGCCCGATCTCGCCGATCTCGCCCGCGCGCGCCCCCCCTTCGCCCGCGCGCACCCCCCCCTCCCTTCGCCCTCCGGCTTGGACCTTGGGGCCGGAGAGCGGCTCCGCGTCCTTCTCCTGCTCCTGCGGCTCCTCCGGCTCTGCCGGCTTCTCCGCCTCCGCAGGCTTCTCCTGGACAAGATGCGAGTAGGGATCGACTATGTCCATGCTCTCCGAACCCCAAACACTATCAAGGAACATCAGCTGCAATCAAATCGGTGCATACTGGCACGCCTTGCTGCATCCAGCAGACCCGACACAGACCGTGCGCTTTGACCGCCAACGCGCAGGCACCGGCACTCAACAGACGCAAGGCTTACGCTGCACTCGGTTTTGTCTCGCTGTTGCCACAGCTGAGTGGCATTTCAAGCATAACCCAAGCCAAAGCACTACTCGAACGTCGAGCAGTGGGCGATCCAGGCACATGGCCAGATGAGCTTCGGAAATGACAAGATTGACAAGCCGAGCTGTCAATGACAAAAACATCCAGAGTCCCACCACCACATTGTCACCACATGTGTGACGAAGTCAAGTACATGAGCACCACACAGGGCCACAAAGGGGGGCCATGCATAGCAGTCTGGAGGATCTCCGAGCCTTCTTTGCAAGTGGCCTGGACGGTGTCAGGACCAGCTGCGATTTGACATTACCTCAGCGGCACACATCAGAGATCTTCTCTCAGCTACTTGCCATTGAACTCTAAGCATATACCGCTGTTTACAAAATCATGAAGCTCAAGAGCCGCTTAACAGGCGTTACCACAACCGTAGCCTATCGATCACAGGACACAACCGTAGCTAGACGCCTGCTTACTTCTGGCTTTGTCTCCGATGCTTAAAAACATGACTTACTCACCGAAGGAACCAAAGGACGTCACTACCGCGAGGGTTAGGATTCCAATTCCGATTCTGCCTTTGTCTGTGCTTGCGCGTGCGGCCAGTGTCGCCGTTATGAAAGCGCGCTTCGAACCAGAGGAGCTTACGACGTCTTTAAAGGGGCCGGCGTGCAGCCACGACCAGGCTGCCAAGGGAGCCAGAGGTGGGGCATTCCGCAACGCCGCACAACAAGCAGAAACGCGGAAGAATCACCCACCGGCATCCTGGACAATGTACGATTCACAGGGCATGCCTGGTGGTCATGTGGAGGAACACATGGAACTCGAGCAGATTGGATGTTGCGCAAGGACGCTTAAGTGAGGACTGTGTCATTCGGATGCAGAGAAGAACTGGAGAACGACTGGTAGCTGAGATTAGGCAAAGTTCGGCAAGTCTGGGCTGTAGCAAGAGATTGAGGCCGAGAGCGTTGGTCCTTGTGAACCACGCACATCGCATTTGACAGGGATCAAACAGGCACCGCAGCGACATCCACGGATAGCGATGGCAGAGAGCCCGCGGAAAGTACAAGCACAACACTTGCAAAAAAAGCCGGCATCCCCAGCATCTGCTGCCTTTGTTTAGGCACTTCTGCCCTTCCAAGATGATTCGCCAGGCTTGTGTGCAGACTGAGTCGGGATTTTTGTGCTTCCGCGGCACCGTATTGTGGACCCTTGTCCATGAACGCTCCGCTGAAGCTGGGCAGTAGCTGAAGCTGGGTGCCTGGGATGGAACATGCACTTGTGGCATGATTCATGCTTCATCACGACCATCAAAGGACAGCGTGAAGCACACGCAGTGTGAAACTTGTGAAACCAACGCGGGATGCAATGCATACACTCAAATTATTCTACTGTACAAGATGAGACATGGTGACACACTATTAGTAGCGAGTTAAGTTGCCAAAAAGAGGGCCGTGCAAGATGCGTAAATTTACAACGCGAGCACCTCTTGTGTTCACAGTCGGTTGAGTCCAAAAGAAGCGAAAGAAGCGAGACAAGCATGAGCACAGCATGAACTTGAGATACGTTTGAAAGGTCGTGCCTCAGCTCAGCACATTGAACATGTGCGAGGCTCGTGCAGTGGAGCGGACTGGTCTTGTTCGTGCGTGGCTTTGCACGACAGTCGCAGGTGCCCACGTTGTGCTTGGGAAGTGTTGGCAAGAAACCTCCCAAGTACCAACATTGGGTCGCACCGGCTGCTAGTTTGCACACGCGTTGTTGAAGCAAATCAAGAATGACTCATTCCCTGACTTCGAAGTCCATGGGCGGCACGTGAACTATGAGGCCTGTGAGGCAGGCAAGATGATGGGGCAAACTGGACGCCGCCCTCCGGGGACTCAGAAGCCATCGCAAGCTACTGATATCTGGCTCCATGTACCTCGCTTGCCGCACTTTCCAAAGGGGGTGCCTACATCGTTATTTGCGGTGCTTCGCGCACATGACATGACTAAAACATCGGTATTTATGACACTTCGTGGCTTCGTTGCGTGCGCTTGGCCAGAGCATCCATGTCCGCACGATGATGCACTTGTGTTACCAGTGCGCACGAATGGCCAGAGCATTCATGTCCGCACGATGATAACGTCCGTGCTACCAGTCCATGCGAGTGGCCAGAGCATCCATGTCCTCACGATGATAACGTCCGTGTCACCAGTGCGTGCGAATGGCCAAAGCATCATGTCCGCACGATGATAGCCCTTGTGCGAATGGCCAGAGCATCCATGTCTGCACGATGATCTTCCAGAGACATCCACCTGCTTGCCTGCTCCTACTTTTGCGGCCTTGCTGGAAATAAACAAGCCTTCTCTTGGTGTACATGAGCGTCTTGACTGACTGCACCAGTCCAGTTTGGTGTGTGCGCCGTGGCAGTGGTCGAAGCGATGTCATTTTTTTGCGCGAATCCCCGAAGCATGGAACCCTGAAGCAAAACCCTGTACTTAAGTCGACATCCAAAGCCCCTCAGTCTAAGGGTAATTATATGGTCCTGTAATGTGGCCCTTACCTTCGATAGGGCTCCCCAATTAAGGGCCCATACTGAGGGACCATGTAACTACCCTTAGACTCAACCAAGTCAACCGATGCTCTACAGCTCTACATCCTAAACTTTAACCCCTTGACCTCGAGGTTCAGCTGCCCTAAAACCCACAAGCGAACATAACTGCCCAACGTCAAACCGGCACTCAACCTCACCCTCCGTGGAAGCTACCCCGCCTTAGCCCAAGCAAAGCCTAAACCCTTACCCCTGACTTGCCCCTGACTTGCCCCTGACTTACCCCTTTGTAAACAGCTCCGAAGCTGCGGGCGCGGCACGGATCAGGACAGCAGATTGCCCTGTTCGGCAGTTCTTCAGGGTTCCGGGTGTCGGGTTATGGGCTGTCTTCAAATTTGTCGTGCTTTTGCCCTATTTCTATTTGCGCTCTTTTTTAGTAGGATTTTCTGCAAGAAGGCTTTCGTCGCAAAACGTACAGGTGGTCATTTCACTGAGCCGACACGAGCAGAGGATACCGTGCGGAGAAAGGGTTGATGCAACCGACATCGTTGAAGTTCGGCGCACTAGTGTAGAAGAGGAAGAATGGCGGACAGTTTCTCAACCACTTGGCCGCCAGACCGGGACACACCATCACAGATGCACAGCACCATCGTGGAAACAGTCATGGACAATCGACATCGTTGAATCTGCGGCGCACTGGTATAGATGATGGAGAGTGGAAGATGTTGAGGCAGGACACAGAGGCGTTTGGATGGTTCGAACGAGACGAGGCCTTGCCAATGTCCAGACGCGTCTGACCCTCGGTGTGCAAGCCCTGCCCCCACCGCCCCCACCGCTCCGGCCCCGCTGCTCACAGTGCACGTTGGAAGCACACCAGCGCAGACTCTTTGGTGCCTCTGTACAGTACCCACGAAAAGAAACAAAAGGCATATGGGTGCTCATATTTCTCGCTACAGACTCTGTTGCTAGGACCCGGACCTCCAGTAAGGGAAACAGACCACGCGCAGTCTACATTAGCAAGCTACTTTACTAACGCTACCACATGCAAGCCTTGCTTGGAAGCGGCGCTTTGCAGATAAGAGCTGTGGTGCATGCCTAGAGCTTCGTCCTTGACACATGCAGAAGCCAGTGGATGAGCATCGCCACGGAAGCGCACTATCAGAACCTCTCGTGTGAATGGTGGGCTTGGGGCCGGGCTGCAGACAACAAGACGACGGCGGAACAATTTCTCGGCCACTTGGCTGCCAGTCCAGGACTCCCAGGATACACGGATACACCATCACAGATGCACCATCGTGGAAACGACCATGGACCATCGACATATAGCGACATCGTTGAATGTGCGGCGCACCTAGTGCAGAAGATGGGGAGTGGAAGATGTTGGACGGAATGCCGAAAGAGGGACACTGAGGCGTTGAATGGTTCGAACGAGTCGAGGCCTTGCCAATGTCCGGACGCCTGGAAGGATGCTGTGAGTGCTGCTGGACCCCTGTTTCTTGTGATTTGCACTCAGCCTGCGCAAAGGGAACTGACCCTCGGTGTGCAAGCCCTGCCCCCACCGCCCCCACCGCTCCGGCCCCGCTGCTCACAGTGCACGTTGGAAGCACACCAGTGCAGACTCTTTGGTGCCTCTGTACAGTACCCACGAAAAGAAACAAAAGGCATATGGGTGCTCATATTTCTCGCTACAGACTCTGTTGCTGGGACCCGGACCTCCAGTAAGGGAAACAGACCACGCGCAGTCTACATTAGCAAGCTACTTTACTAACGCTACCACATGCAAGCCTTGCTTGGAAGCGGCGCTTTGCAGATAAGAGCTGTGGTGCATGCCTAGAGCTTCGTCCTTGACACATGCAGAAGCCAGTGGATGAGCATCGCCACGGAAGCGCACTATCAGAACCTCTCGTGTGAATGGTGGGCTTGGGGCCGGGCTGCAGACAACAAGACGACGGCGGAACAATTTCTCGGCCACTTGGCTGCCAGTCCAGGACTCCCAGGATACACGGATACACCATCACAGATGCACCATCGTGGAAACGACCATGGACCATCGACATATAGCGACATCGTTGAATGTGCGGCGCACCTAAGTGTAGAAGATGGGGAGTGGAAGATGTTGGACGGAATGCCGAAAGAGGGACACTGAGGCGTTGAATGGTTCGAACGAGTCGAGGCCTTGCCAATGTCCGGACGCCTGGAAGGATGCTGTGAGTGCTGCTGGACCCCTGTTTCTTGTGATTTGCACTCAGCCTGCGCAAAGGGAACTGACCCTCGGTGTGCAAGCCCTGCCCCCACCGCCCCCACCGCTCCGGCCCCGCTGCTCACAGTGCACGTTGGAAGCACCAGTGCAGACTCTTTGGTGCCTCTGTACAGTACCCACGAAAATTAACAAAAGGCATATGGGTGCTCATATTTCTCGCTACAGACTCTGTTGCTGGGACCCGGACCTCCAGTAAGGGAAACAGACCACGCGCAGTCTACATTAGCAAGCTACTTTACTAACGCTACCACATGCAAGCCTTGCTTGGAAGCGGCGCTTTGCAGATAAGAGCTGTGGTGCATGCCTAGAGCTTCGTCCTTGACACATGCAGAAGCCAGTGGATGAGCATCGCCACGGAAGCGCACTATCAGAACCTCTCGTGTGAATGGTGGGCTTGGGGCCGGGCTGCAGACAACAAGACGACGGCGGAACAATTTCTCGGCCACTTGGCTGCCAGTCCAGGATTCCCAGGATACACGGATACACCATCACAGATGCACCATCGTTGAAACGACCATGGACCATCGACATATAGCGACATCGTTGAATGTGCGGCGCACCTAGTGTAGAAGATGGGGAGTGGAAGATGTTGGACGGAATGCCGAAAGAGGGACACTGAGGCGTTGAATGGTTCGAACGAGTCGAGGCCTTGCCAATGTCCGGACGCCTGGAAGGATGCTGTGAGTGCTGCTGGACCCCTGTTTCTTGTGATTTGCACTCAGCCTGCGCAAAGGGAACTGACCCTCGGTGTGCAAGCCCTGCCCCCACTACCCCCACCGCTCCGGCCCCGCTGCTCACAGTGCACGTTGGAAGCACCAGTGCAGACTCTTTGGTGCCTCTGTACAGTACCCACGAAAAGAAACAAAAGGCATATGGGTGCTCATATTTCTCGCTACAGACTCTGTTGCTGGGACCCGGACCTCCAGTAAGGGAAACAGACCACGCGCAGTCTACATTAGCAAGCTACTTTACTAACGCTACCACATGCAAGCCTTGCTTGGAAGCGGCGCTTTGCAGATAAGAGCTGTGGTGCATGCCTAGAGCTTCGTCCTTGACACATGCAGAAGCCAGTGGATGAGCATCGCCACGGAAGCGCACTATCAGAACCTCTCGTGTGAATGGTGGGCTTGGGGCCGGGCTGCAGACAACAAGACGACGGCGGAACAATTTCTCGGCCACTTGGCTGCCAGTCCAGGACTCCCAGGATACACGGATACACCATCACAGATGCACCATCGTGGAAACGACCATGGACCATCGACATATAGCGACATCGTTGAATGTGCGGCGCACCTAGTGTAGAAGATGGGGAGTGGAAGATGTTGGACGGAATGCCGAAAGAGGGACACTGAGGCGTTGAATGGTTCGAACGAGTCGAGGCCTTGCCAATGTCCGGACGCCTGGAAGGATGCTGTGAGTGCTGCTGGACCCCTGTTTCCTGTGATTTGCACTCGCGCAAAGGGAACTTCTTCTGACCCTCGCTGTGCAAGCCCCCACTAACCCCACAGCTCCGGCCCCGCTGCTCACAGTGCACGTTGGAAGCACACCAGTGCAGACTCTTTGGTGCCTCTGTACAGTACCCACGAAAATAAACAAAAGGCATATGGGTGCTCATATTTCTCGCTACAGACTCTGTTGCTAGGACCCGGACCTCCAGTAAGGGAAACAGACCACGCGCAGTCTACATTAGCAAGCTACTTTACTAACGCTACCACATGCAAGCCTTGCTTGGAAGCGGCGCTTTGCAGATAAGAGCTGTGGTGCATGCCTAGAGCTTCGTCCTTGACACATGCAGAAGCCAGTGGATGAGCATCGCCACGGAAGCGCACTATCAGAACCTCTCGTGTGAATGGTGGGCTTGGGGCCGGGCTGCAGACAACAAGACGACTGCGGAACAATTTCTCGGCCACTTGGCTGCCAGCCCAGGATTCCCAGGATACACGGATACACCATCACAGATGCACCATCGTTGAAACGACCATGGACCATCGACATATAGCGACATCGTTGAATGTGCGGCGCACCTAGTGTAGAAGATGGGGAGTGGAAGATGCTGGACGGAATGCCGAAAGAGGGACACTGAGGCGTTGAATGGTTCGAACGAGTCGAGGCCTTGCCAATGTCCGGACGCGGAAGGATGCTGTGAGTGCTGCTGGACCCCTGTTTCCTGTGATTTGCACTCGCGCAAAGGGAACTTCTTCTGACCCTCGCTGTGCAAGCCCCCACTAACCCCACAGCTCCGGCCCCGCTGCTCACAGTGCACGTTGGAAGCACACCAGTGCAGACTCTTTGGTGCCTCTGTACAGTACCCACGAAAATAAACAAAAGGCATATGGGTGCTCATATTTCTCGCTACAGACTCTGTTGCTAGGACCCGGACCTCCAGTAAGGGAAACAGACCACGCGCAGTCTACATTAGCAAGCTACTTTACTAACGCTACCACATGCAAGCCTTGCTTGGAAGCGGCGCTTTGCAGATAAGAGCTGTGGTGCATGCCTAGAGCTTCGTCCTTGACACATGCAGAAGCCAGTGGATGAGCATCGCCACGGAAGCGCACTATCAGAACCTCTCGTGTGAATGGTGGGCTTGGGGCCGGGCTGCAGACAACAAGACGACTGCGGAACAATTTCTCGGCCACTTGGCTGCCAGCCCAGGATTCCCAGGATACCCGGATACACCATCACAGATGCGCCATCGTGGAAACGACCATGGACCATCGACATATAGCGACATCGTTGAATGTGCGGCGCACCTAGTGTAGAAGATGGAGAGTGGAAGATGTTGGACGGAATGCCGAAAGAGGGACACTCAGGCGTTGGATGGTTCGAACGAGTGGAGGCCTTGCCAATGAGGCATGCGACTCCTGCTGGATTCTGAGACTCCAGTCTCGAAGACCCAGAGATGTTGGACTGACTAAGCAATGAGTGATGGTGAAGAACAGCCTGCTGATCCAGTGCGCCAATTTTGCAACTACTTCTTCAGGGGTTTGCAGGCCATGCCTCACCGGTTGCAAGCAACAAAGTAAGAAATGGACAGATGAAGAAAGGCGAGAAAGGCAAGAAGAAGCACGGAGTAGCAAAGCCCAAGCAAAGGCAATGCCTACGTGCCCAGCATGAGCAGAGCGTGCTGACACCCTGAAACTGCCGGCTCGGTGCTCTTGATCTTTAGTCAGGACAGCACACCATCACCCTCCACAAGTGTATGTGCAACCGCTCGCGCACAATCTTTCATTCAAAGGCTAAAATCGAGACCCGCCCAATGCAATCTGACATATCACATGATCACATGGCAAAAATAGGTTTCTCCAAGCTGAACGCAAAAGCTAGACGCCCGAATGCCATGATTGCCCATGCACATGCCTTTGCAGGTACCGCCTTCACAAAGGAGCTGCAAACAAGAAAACAACGGATCGGTTTACGCCGTGTGTACTTGTCCTGCAACGGAAAGTTCAACCTTCGCGCTGGCACGTTTCGTGGACTGAGTACGGCTGGCTGACGGACTGACGAGAATGGCACTTGAGTCTTGACTGACGAAGCGCCGACGCAGGCAATGATTGTGAGAATGGTGTAAGCTTCATCCTTGAACAAATCCCCACGAAAATGTCCGAACTGGCCTAACATGTCAGATAAATGCTCACGCACATGACGGTCGCTCCGCACCGACAGATCGCTTGTTGGCAAAGCTGCAAAAAAAATGAGCACCAATGAGCACCTTTTAAGGGCACGCACGGACGCTGTCGCAGGCTTCGGCACCTCCTGTCAATACACACCGTTTTAGAAGCGCGCAAGGCTGCGTAGGCAGAGCAGCCAAGGTCAAAATACAGGAGCTGCAAAGCGCAGCAGGGAGACACGCAGCGAAACAAAAGCCAAAACGAAACACAATGAAAACTGACGGCTTGGTATGGGAACCTGATGTGTATACTTTGGGCTCTTTAGCCCTTTAGCCATGTGCTTCTGCTCTTTGTTCGCATCTCTCTACTCCATTCTACAAGCTTCGGTGGTTTCCAGTCAGCTGACCACAGACACCGCCCAGTTTGCACAAATCGCCTCACCGCCCTCCTCTGTCTTTGCTTCTGCCATGGGCTCTTCCACCACCGCTTTCTCTTCTGGCATGGCCTCGGCTGCTGAGGGCTCGCACACAGGCTCAGAAAAACCATTGTCACCAGTTGATCTCGGAAAATCTCGGTGGCACACCTGAAAACAGTCGCGCTGCAACGGTCTCAGGTGCATCAAATCTCAAACGGCTGCAGAGCCATCGCATAGAGCAACGATGAAGACAAAATCTCCACCTGACTACTCCTCACACAGACACCATTGGCACACCTCAGATCACCTCAGACTCAATTAAACGATGTACCTGACTCGAACGAAAAACTTTTGAGCAGTCTAAGCTTGCACTCAAAGATCACTTGAAGAAGGGCTCAGCACTCTGCAAAAAGCTCTTCTGAGCTCTCCCTCTCTCTCTCTCTCCTCTCGTCCCTCTTCTTTCTACATTGGTTGCTTTTCCGTGCTTCTTTTTAGTCTGCCTTCTTGTGCTCTTCGCTCGTGAAGGGATGCGACGGCACCACATACCTGCAGAAGGCCCATCGTATGCATGCCATGTCGCAAAGAGCAGAGAGAGAGCAGAGATGCACTAACAGCAGCACTAAGTCAGCACAGCGGGGCACAGCGGAGCACGGCGGGGAGCACTCCGAAAGATTTTTTAAAAGACCTCTCCGCTCCGCTCTGCAGCGAGCATGCTCGCAAACTGAGATGAGGGATTGCTCTCCAAATCCTTCGGATTACCTATCTCTATCACTCGACCATCGCCCAAGACCACGACAGTGTCATATTCTTTCAAGGTTTCGAGCCTGTGCGAAACTACCAGCAAAGTTGTTCCTTCTGGCAGCCGTTTCAAAGCTGCTTGCACTTTCTCATCTGTGCCCTTGTCCACCCTCGAAGTAACCTCATCCAGAGCAACAATCCTCGACTTCCTGAGGACAGCGCGTGCTACACCGATCAACTGCCTCTCCCCGGGCGAGATTCCGCCAGAAGCACTGACTCGTCGGTTCAGCGTCCAGTTTCCAAGCGAGGCCGCTTGGAGGGCATGCTGGACTTCCTCGTCGCTGTAGCTGTTTCGGGGATCCACATTCTCGCGCACGGTACCGCTGACCAGGAAGTTGTCCTGGGGGATGGCCGTGACCGAAGACCTGGCTGAGGGGAACAATGAGAGCGTTTTACCCGTGAAGCGGGTCATTGCACTGGCTTGTGGACGCAACAGTCTCTATTCTATTCCATTACAGTTACAAGCATCAGAGAAAGAAACCAGAAGCGGGGCTCTTCAAAGCAGATGAAGAAGGGATCGAGCGGGGCCTCAGGCGGGCGAGGCCGACCTCGCGCAGATCCACGCCATCCACCGTCACGGACCCTTCCGAAGCTTCCACCGTGCGCAGCAGGAGCCGCAGCAGCGTCGACTTTCCGCTGCCCGTCCTCCCGACGACCCCGATGCGTTCCCCGGGTACGAGGTCAAGGGAAAGCCCATGCAGCACAAAGGGCAGATGCTCGCGGTATCTAAACGAGACATTGTCAAAGGAGACGCTGCCCTTGACGGGCCAGGCACTCGGGAGCTTGAGGTCAGAGGGAAGCTGGCGGGAGGCTTCAAGGTCTGTCGAGTCCACCGAGTCAGAGATGCGTTGGAAGGACGTGAAACTGGTTTCGGTCTGGGCAATGGTCCGCACCGTCCAGTTCAACAAGCCGCACACGGACAGCGCCTGGGTTACGGCGATGGCTGCCCGAGCCGCCGACCAGGCACCAGCATTGGCACCCGACCAAAGGCTCAACATCGCCGCTGCCAACACGATCAAATTTCCAAGCAGCTCCATTCGAAGGGAGAACCACCGATCGACCGCCTTGGCAGCAAAAGACACGGCTGTGTTCGAGTCGATGGCGCGCAAGGCTCGGGCCTCGGCCACAGCAACAGAACACATCATGGCACGCTCTACGATCTTAGCATGATGGTGGATGGCTCTTAGAGGCTCTTAGATACTACGGCAGATATAACTCGGGAGCCTTTCTTGGGGCAGGGGGCCGCCATGACGTTGCCGAGGCCCAGCTTCCGGATCGTGATCACCCCGGAGGCGGCGGCCGCCTGCTCCGCGTAGACCGGGGACCGCGCCAGCGGCTCCAGGCGCTTCAGCTCCCGGGCCACTGGGCGGTAATACTGCAGGGAACGCATGTAAAGCCACAGCAAGGGCAGCAGGATCACCGTGAAGGTGGGTGTTGCCAAGATGATGGTGAGCGCAGCTCCGGCAAGCGTTGTCGCACTGGAGACTGCAGACCGTAGGCTGTTTGGAAGGCTGGTGTCGATCTGCTCAAGATCCTTGGAAAAGTTTTGCAGCAAGCGGCTGGAAGGGTTCTGGTCGAAATGCGTGGTGGATGCCCTGACTAAGACCTTCTCACAAAGATCGTCATGAACTGCCCGCGAGGCCCGGCGGGAAAAGGCTGCCAATAGAACAGACCGACCAAAGGTCAACCCAGAGGCCAGCAATCCCCAGAAAAGAACACCAGACAAGTAGAAGGATAGGCCTCGCTTCATGGTCGCATCGGCCGTCCACAATCCAATCCACCATTGTTGGGCGGCCGTCGCCGCATAGCTCGCCATCACGGCCGCACCTGCCGCGCACAGAAGCATCGGACTCCGTGCACTTTGAAAATAGCGGGCATAAAGTGACAAAGGCACTGCCCCCGAAGCTCTAGCTTCTTCAGCAGTGATCTGTCTTCTCTTCGACTTCTCCGCCTCAACCGTGCCTGCGGGTTCTATATCAATCGTGATTGGACCCTCGCCTTCCTCCGACTTCGGCTTGACCTCTGTCGTCACCTCCGTGTCTGCAGCATCTGGCTGTCCCGGCAAGCTTGGTTCACTGAGGTCACTCGGGTCACTTGGCACATGCGACAAGTCCAGCCTGCCAGACTCGGCCAGCGCATCGTAGCTGCCGAAAAAATCGACTTGCAGCTCCAACTCCGAGTCGCCCTCCGAGCCCTCCGAGCCCTCCGAGCCCTCTGAGCCCATGGATGACTTCATCACGATGATGCGATCACAGCGTTGGAGCCACGGCCCCGGGTCGCTGGCGACCAACAGCGTTGCCATATCTTGCAAGGGACCATTCAGGCAATTGTTGATCACCTGAAGGGTGACCTGCGGATCCAAGGCCGCCGTCACGTCATCCAGCACGCAGGCGCAGACATTGCCAACCTCTGCTTGGTACATCGCCCTGGCCAGAGCCAAGCGAGCTTGCTGTCCCCCACTCAGGGTCGTTGCGCTGACTTCATCGTCGGCCTCAGCAAAGTCCACCGCAGCTGCGGACAAGGCTCTGGAGAAGGCGTCGTAGTCCACTTTGGCGGAGAACGGCGCCGTCTTGTCCATCCAGACACCGGCCACCACTTCTAGCAGAGTTCGCCCTTCAGGTATCCAGGGCTGTTGAGAGCAAAAGGCCTCAGCTGCCACATGTTCGTCTCGGCCTGCGGCCATGAGGCGTCTGGAACAAGCAGACCAGGATCTGCTCTCCCCCCTTCCCATCTTGGTGTGAGAAGCTCCAATCCGATGCCACGGGGGGGTTCCACTGAGGGTGGCAAAGAAGCGTGGCGCGGGACCCTTTGGGAACCTCCGGAAACCCCACCATCCCCACCTCTTGGAAAGCTGCTACTCCCTGATGCCCACTAACGGGCACCAAGCTGTTTTTTGCCTTCTGGGGCGCGTGCCCAAGCGTTTACATCAGTCACATTTACTACATCCTTGCGATTTCCATACACCCCTGGACAAACATGCAAAGGGCTGATTGAAACACCCAAGCAATGAGCCCCCGGCCACATTTTGCGGTGGGGCAGGCAAGGAGGTGCCGGGAAGCTCGCCGAGGAAGGCGCGCAACTCAGACAGGGACAGTCCAGACAGTCCCAGCACACGAACGTCAGCTTTACAAACGTGCGCTTGAGCATGCTGACGTCATGGTACTTGTCTCTTATCGTGCGCAAAGCTCTGCTCTGAGATCCCGGCGAGGGTGGACTTGCCAGAGCCGACGGGCCCGAGGACGCCCACGAGCTCGCCATGCGCAACGCGGAGGTGCTCCTTGATGACGAGCGTGGGAGCCTCGTGGCCCTCGTGGCCCTCCTTCCGGTCCTTCCCAATGTGGTAGCTGCCTGGGACAAGCAGAAGGGGCAACTGAGCATCTTCCGACATGGGCGGCCGCGGCGCAGCGGCTTCTTCCAGGCAAAGGAAGCCGGCGATGCGCTTCAGGGCGGCCTGGCCCTCTGCTAAAGCATTCAAAGCACTCGGGTAGAACAGTAGGGGAAAGCGGATCTGGTTCAGCAGGGACAGTGCTGTGAAGATCATGGCTGCATTGAAGCTGGCCTTTTGCCCGGCCACATAAGCGAGCAGGACGACGGCAATCATAAAGGGGGGCAGGGCACTGAAGTATGAGAAGAGGTAGGCACCTACGGTGTCCCGCTTTCGTTGTGCCTGCAGCTCTGCATCACGAAGGCCACGGATCAGACGCTCAAAGACATCCTCCCAGCCCATTTGACGCAGGGCCCGGATCCCGTTCAGGATCTCCGATGTTTTCGAGACACGCGCATCAGTGGTTTGAAGGCAAGACTTGTTCAGTCCGCTGAGCTGACGCTGAAGAGATGCATTGAATGGCATGAACACGATGAGAATCACGATTCCAGCAAAGCCAGCTAGACCAAGGTACCACCACAATAGCACTGAGTATCCAACTACCTGAAATATCCCATCCCACAGCGTGTGTAACGAATAGGTCAGCTCCTCTATCTTCCCTGTGTCTACCTGCATGAGTGTGACGGGAGGCACTGCGGCAACAGCCTCATGTAAGCGCAAGCTCTTCTCGTAGATCGAGGCTTGCAACAGGGCCCGGACCCTTGTGGCCATGACGGTCGTCTGGTGGAAGAACTGGTTTTCCACGACGGTCTTCACGCACAAAACAGCGAAAAGCGCCAGAGCATTGTTCCGCCCAGCAGCAACATTCCCCTGCTGCACTGCTGTGAGCAACGGCCCCAAGAACAGCACGGGCAAGAACTGCACTGCGGTGTTTACGAAGCGAAGGGCTCCGGTGGTGAGGATGCGCCTGCGGTGTAAGCGCAGCAGTGCATTGCGCAGCTGGATATCGCTCAGCTCTTGGTGTGCTTCCGCTTGGTTCGCTTTGTCGGCGGTCTTGCGGCTGCCACGGCTGCCACTGTGAGCAGCCCGCCAGGACGTCTCCAGGAGCGCCGAGGACAGCTCTCGTGCCAGGTCAGCCGCTCGCCTCAGAAAACTGAGAACGCACTCAGCAAACTCGCAATGACCTAAAGCAAGATCCTCTTGCACTCCACACCAAACTCAATGGCACCATATGCTTGCAAAGGGGCATGTCAGCAGGAGCAGGGAGAAGGTCGAGCGCTTCGATGGGAGGCGGTCTGTTTCCACGGCGCATCAGCGCACTGACCCACGAAAATATTGCACAAGACCACAGCTTGCGAAGGCCCTTCGACGCCGGAGGGACGGGGGCAATGCTGCTGGATTCACTGGACCGCTGAATTGCCCGACCTCTTTGAAAAGAGACACTTCGCCTGCATCTCCTTGGGCGAACATTCGCCCACCCAGCAGACAGCGCCAGGATGAGAAAAGCGTGTGGCCAGCGGGCATCACGGGCACCTGTTTGACTTTCCCGTCGAACCTGTGCACGCACCCAGCGGCCTGAGAAAAATGGCTCTGGAGCCTGGTAGCTTGCCTGAAGTCCTCTGTGAGGAGCAAGCGAATGCAGGGCCATGAAAGACGGAGCAAACTCCATGGTCTTGTATTTTGCTGTTTTACGAGACATCCTTTACTCTTGTTCGGGCTGAATAGCGGCTACCGTCACTCTGTGGATCTTTCACGCTGTGCCGTGAAACTGTGAAAGGTGCAAGCATCTTGAGACGAGATTTGCCTGCTCTTTCCATGGCACATCATTGCGGTCTTTAAGCCAGTCTGTACCCAGCTGGAGTTTCACACACAAAGGATGCACAAGACACCCAGACACACCCACACACACCTCATGCTTTGCTGCTCATGGGTTCTGCTGCATACTTGATGCAATGCTTAGTAGCAGCGCGCCTGAGGCTCAGGAAGGTCACTGCAGCACAGGCACCAAGGTACCCCCAGTGCTCCGAGGTGAGATCCGTAGCATCATTTCCCCAGACCCTGCGCCAACAAAAGCTTGCGCTTCGGCAACCAAGTGAAGGAACATACAACAAGGGAGGTTGAACACCCACGGAGCACAAGGGGGCACAAGCAGGAGCAGCGTGACCTGTAGAAGTACTCCGGGAATCTATATGAAGCATCTCCAAGGAGCTTCGCCCGACAATATGGCAGATACCTGCAAGGGAAGCCAATGGTGAAAAAGAGGGAGTCACATGGCGAAGCCCCATGAGCCAAGGTGCAAGGCATACAGCTGGTAGCTTATGAAGACGATGCTTAAGACCTTCGAGACTTGATCTGTAGATGTCGGAATGATGGCACATGGGGTCATGCCGAGCAGCGGAAAGCACCAACGTCAACAGCCACGCGATGCAGTGGACTAACCTGCCATGCCACACACGATCACAGCTCCGGCTCGCTGCAGCAGCTTCCCGCAGCTTCCTGCGCATCAGCCAAGTGCCAGGCCTTATGAACCAGTTGTCGGGGACCAAGTCCTGGGACAGAAGCATACAGTATCACTGCAGTATCAACAAGGTGCTCTAAAACACTGGAGATTTGTCTCTTCCAAGCCTCTGCATCAAGATCATCGTTAGCGCTCTCACTCGGCCTGCGCCCATCCGGTCTATTCGCACAGTTGGAAGGGTTTGGAAAGAATACGAAATCCCCCCACCTCATGGCAGCGCACGAAGTCCAAAATTCTGAGCTGGGTTGTCTGTGGATATCCCAAGCAGGTTCATCGCTTCATGTTCATGCGGCTAGGTCAGCTGGTGTGGGATGCTTAGCTTAACCAACTGCTAGAACGATGTTGGGTGAACTTACACTTTGTCCCGAAGATCGTGGCACAAAGCAGCAAAAAGAAGTGCAGCCAACATCAGCCAACAACTTGCACATGAGCGCATGCATGCTTGGCCCACGTCTTTTTGTCTGGCTTTGCGGACACAGTATGTGTACACATTGACATGGTCCTTTAAACACTTCTGACATAAGGTCAGTGAGTTCCAGATACCAAAAACAACAACATGTGCTGCCAGAACCATTGCTCTTCTCAATCCAAAACTTTCTGGGTGAGAATGCAGCTCACGCCCAGTGACAGGCCAGTCTGCGCCACCTGAACCCACGGACTCCATGATTCGATCAGCAACAGAACCTAAGAATCCGAGGGACGGACAGTGGAACTGGCGACCCAAAGGCACCGTGACCTTGACCTTCCACGCCCTGAAGCTTGGCCAAGCTTCGCCACGGCCACCCAAGGGAATTACTGCGACTTCCTACCAAAACGCCTTCCTTTCCAGTGGCTTAGCTTTTTGTCTTCGATACACCATGTGACGGGTGGAAAGCGTTTCGTATGGCACCAAAGGCCAGAGCAACCGCAGTGCCTCAAGATTCACACAGCTTCTGAAACGCTGAAGCACTTGCCTGGGCTGCTTGGAGCCATTTGCTGTTAAAACACAAATGTGCAACCGAAGACGCGCGACTTGCAGGTTCCTCGATGTTCTTCGACAGCAAATGGCTGCACACATCCTACATGCCTACTGCGTGCAATGGCACGGTGGGATTCTGACATCGGGCTCTCAAACCCATCCCTACCATAAATTCCACGAGGACGTGTCCACGCCCGGGCTGCTTGACTTTCGCCGAGCTGTTGCGCGAATGTCTCTGCAGCCTATTCTCACTGAGCACAGCTCAAGACCACACATAACATACATAACGCCAAAGGGAGCTCTTGGGAGCTTGGCAGCTTAACAGTTTGCTTCGCGGAGTATTGGACTTCGAGAAGTTCGGCTTTCGCCGAGCCCAGCTCAGAACGAAGTGTTCTAGGCTTTTTTGAGTTGGAAACTCTGTTACTCTACATGCACGAACATTGGCACGATCTGAAGCTGCTCGTGCATCATACCATTGTATGGGCACAGCAGCGACAGCTGGCTTTCAAGAGCCGAGCGCATCCAATGCAATGTCTGGAGCGGCGAAAGTGATTCTTTCATATCCGTCTCAGCAAGAGAACTGACCGCGAGGGGCAGTGCTGGATTTCGGCATTGTGGCAAGGAGGCGAGTTGGAACAGAAGTTGCGGAAACAGCTAACAAGAAATAGCTAACAAGATATAGCTAACAAGGTATCAGAAAGTGGGTGGGTACTAACATAAACCCGGCATCTTGGCTTGGATCTACCCTACATCAAGCAATGGATGCGCGTGGCTGCCAAGTAAAGGTCTAGTAGCATTTACCTCAGCTAGTCAAAGGAACTGCATGGAGTTTGGTCCATCAACAGCTGTCCAATGGCATCCCCTGGTCCAAACTCCTGCATCTACAGGTATCAGTCGACATTAACTCCGGCTGATGTCAGCTCAAACCTGCCTACACCTACGTCAGATGAATTGGCACATTGCCTGTCAGCTGTGCGGCCAGAGAAAGGGTTCATCTTTGTCTACGATGTCTGCTTTTCGGGGGGCATAAGAGGTCTGAGTACAAGAAGTTTGGTTTCTATGCCAGCTGAGCGGGGAGGCCCTTCAGAGACCTGGTGGCACCTCCATATGGACCTTCAAACTGGGAGACTGTCAGAATGAGGTGCAAGAACTCACGTCACGACACCATTCATCCCTCATGTACCCTAACATCCAAGGCTGGCACTTGGGAGAAGGCTCTACCTGCGCTGGACCCGACTTCGGAACAGTGTACCGTCAAAAGTGCCCTTCAGAGCACGTCAGAATGCACAAAAATCTGTTTTCGGCAACATAAGCTCAGGTTTGAGGAGGGGACCCTCGCTGAAGAGGACTTTTTGAAGAATGAGATCGTCTCCAAATCCATCCTTCTTTTGGTGGCATCACAAAGCAGAGCCTGCAGTAGAAATTACTAAGAGCACAGTCCTCAAAGGAGCTTGCACATGCCGACGACCTGGCACAGAGCTCGGCACAATGTCGCGTGAGCTGTGGACAGGCCAAGACCCAGGTCCAAGTGCGCCAGCGCAGCTTACCAGCTGTTGTCACTGGGGTGTACTCATCCTCAACGGCCTGCTGATTTAGCAAGGCGTGCATGTCTGGTCAGGGGCGAGAGGTTCAAGCAATGCAGCGGCCTTCGCATGTCGCAGCGCTGGAGTTAGAGGGTCATCAAAATCCAGTGACCTAGACTGCTTGCGTATGCTTTTGTGTATGCTTGAAGGAAGCCCGATACAGCGTGACGGATTTCAGGCTTTGCCAGAATGTGGCATCGCTTGCTCGGCTCGGCAGGCTCATGGCTACATGGGCTTGGGGTGGGGCTGAGAAGCTCCGTTTGACACCTGCGCTTCATGGAACATGAGAGAAAATTCAACACGACGCCCCAACATGCGCCCCAAAAAGCAAACGAGCATCGAAGCGCCTCCTTCGAGATGCTCAGAGGACGCGATGCTTCTAGGACACCTCTAAAGACCGTCAACCGTCCGAGCTTGCACGCTTACAGCACTCAAGCTTCTCAAACTTTAAAAGAAAGCACCCCGATCCCACCGCCTCTGCCAGAGCCCCAACCTGCCATTTCGCCACATTTCGCCACTTATGAGCATGTGGCCACTGCTGGGCTTCGCAAGCAACCCTCCACCATCTCCGCCACCTTCGCCGCCTTCAGCCCAGATTGGACCTTGAGACCAGGCGTGGAAGCGCGAGACCTAAGCAAGCAGCAAGTGCGCACTCTGACTACTTTTGGGTGCTCAGCTGGGCTGAGGCGGACACGTCACCAGGCCAAGAGTTGTGGAAGGGGGGCACGATGGAGTACCTTAAGGATGCACATGCATTCACAATCCGCGGACGTCTTCAGATCACTCGCCCCACTTCCCCTTCTCGTCCCCGGCAAGGCAGGGGTGCGTGAGGGTGCGTGATATCCCGTTTTATTGGCCTGCTTCTACTCTTTGGTCCGGACCTGCGACTTTGTCGATTCTCCGTGTTCCCTGCGTCCTCTCTGGCCTCGCGCCTTTCTGGGCCCTCTGGGGAATACCCTCACCCTCCAAATGCCATCTGCGGGGCTTGAGCACGTTGAGCAGGTTGTTTTTTCAGAAAGGCCGAATGTCCGGCAATATTTGCACGATTTTGGAACAGAGAAATGCAGAGAAACTCTCTGAGTCATCGGGCTGCCAAGCATAGGGATCCCAGGCCTCACACCTGGAATGGATTCTTCAGGCGCAAAAACATCTCCCTTCCTTGCACCCCGACCAAACAAACCACGGCCTCGCCATTGAATCCTCAGCTCTTCATGCTCTCCATGCTCTCCATATGCTCTCCGTGCTCTACATTTTCCCCATGCATCCCCCAGCATTCTGCTCCATTGGCTCGCGCCTGCATGTAGGCTGAAGGATATGATGGCTCCCAGTGCCTCAATTTTTGGAACTCCCGTCGCTCCACAGCCCTCCGGCAATCTACACATCTGCAGCTTCGCCGCGACCAGACGTGGCTGTCATCCAGAACCTTGTGCCCGCAGAGCGCAAGACGAGTGAGATACGGAATGATACAGATAGCACAGCCAAAACCACGCATCGAACAAGAAACGGGGCGTGCAGACGACGAACTGAGGGAAGGACAGATCGTGCAAACGTGCCTCACAGCATGGGCGACACAGACTTTCACAAGTGCCAAGCGCACGGGGCTTGGCTACGATAACCAGGCTCATTCTCAACCACACCTGGTTCGTCATCGCCTTGTGGTGGCCTGCGCTTGAAAGATTTAAGGTACGATCCTCTATGATACATTCGCACACTGTATCACCACTTCAGCTGCCCTTGGTCTCACGCCTTTGGCTGGCTGCGACCTCCAAAGCCGCCCTGAGCATGTTTTGAACCTCACCACTCGAGAACGAAAGCAAAGGGATTCTGTTAAAGGAAGCTTTATAGGACAAGCAAGGCACATTCAAACATATTGCAGTTTCCAAATTCACGGCACCCTGCTCTGCTCTCAACTGCAACGTAAACAGCTCCTTGCATGCAGGTTACATTGCTGTCCAGGTGATGCCCAATGGAATTGAGGATCTGCTGGGCATCGGCCTGCATCACGAACAATCTCCCCATTGTGAAGGGAAACAGAACTGGCGCGGGCTCCAAATGTAAGGAGTCAATCGACTACAAGACAACCAGAGCAACCAGAGCAACCTACAGTGTCGTGACATCGTACAACACGACAAACGCTTCGCCGGCGAGGCGGGCTCCGAGCATCAAGCATGACAACAGCATCACTTTCATCCAGAGAAAGGAGAGTTTGGTTCGATGAACATGCAGAGACTAAAGCCACGCTACGAGAGATTTCGTGACTTCAGGGGAGCTTGCTGCAAACCTCTCAACATGTTCGGCCTCATTCCTCTTTGGCGTGGTTTGCAGAAGGATCGTTCAGATGCGCATGTCTTCCGCTGCAGGCCCCTGAACGATAAGTGCACAATCCCTGAGCCCTATAATCAGCCCTAATCAGCTTTGGCCCGAATCCCTCGCGAATCCCTCCACAAACACTCTGCGTCGTCCCAACTTCCCAACAGAGGCTGCCACCTCCAAACCCCGCATGCCGGCTGTCTCGAAGACTCGTCTCAGAAGATCCACAGACAGTGCCGGCCCCTCAGGAGAGGCACTCGTGAAAGATTCTGGAGGCCATGGGGCGTAGGCTACGGCAGCTACGGCAAACATGCACTCCGACAAGACCTCTGCTCTGGGGTCCTGCTCTGGTTCCGCACGATTCACACGATTGAAGGCGCAGTCAGTCAATTGCAGGGCCGTGCCCACCTAAAGCCGGAGTTGTCCGGACAAGGTCTCACGGTCTCACCGCCAATCAGAAATCAAACCTGGTGCCGGCATCGGCCTCGCCGCGTGCAATGCTCGCCTCGATGACGGCACCATACATTGACACCCGCCCTGTCCTGCAAAAAGTGCAAGAGAAAGAAGAAGCTTGCCAAGATTTGCAAGCCTTTGTGTCAGAAGGAAGATGGATGGAGCAAGGCAAGGCAGTCCCCAGCGACACTGCATCATTGTCCAAAAGGTCCAAGGCCATGACCTCAAGGTCTTAGTAGCGAGTAGTAGCGAAGCCAGACATTTGGCGTGGACGTGCAGCATGACACCGACAGGCTCAAGTGCCTCAAGTGCCTCACGTGCCTCAAGTACCCCCCCATGCCTCTGAACCCACCTTCACGGCTTGATTCGACTCAAAGGCCTTCGGCTACGACTGAGGGACGGTCTGCTCTGCTGAGGTCGCGCGATTTCAAGCAGGAAGTGATGAGGCATGACCAAACCTTGCTGGCCGTGTTCGTGAAGGCAAATCCAGACAGGCTCTGACGTTGCATTTGAAAGGCCACACACATGACGCGGATTCCTTCTTCGCTTGTGACCATGAACAGAGCTTGTGTGTTGGTTGGGATGCGGCAGGCACACCAAGACACGACTCTCTTTCTTCTTCTGTCTCTCGTGATGAGCGAACAAGAATGCAAGAATGCTCTGCTTTAAGTCTAGGGCCATCCGTGTTGGTTGCACGCCGTGTATCTGTCGCATTTCCTCATGTTGCACACGGAGCATAATTCACAGGCCTGACCGCTAGAAACTGGAAAGTTACGACGAATCCTGAGCGGGTTGTGAATGCCACGCTCTTAACTGTGACAACATGAGAAGCCCGTCACGTCTTGCAAGCTAACACTGACATCCGGCAGTCCTTCGCAACCAAGTGCACAGCCAAATCCAGACGTCCAGCATGCGCTAGAAGCTGCACCGAAAGACCCAGCATCAAACACAACACAACAACATATACAACATACACAGCATGAATTTGCAGCACTGGTTGTCCACTGGTTGCCCTCCCTTGCCTTGACCAGAATGGAAAACGTCACCGCGCTTGGCCGGACGTGCTTGTGCCGCATCTCCGAGAACATGCGCAGGCCTTTGCAACCCTCCCTTTGAAACTTTGAAACCCTATCCCTCTGTGCACAAAGGGTAACGGTATGCCCATCAACATGCCCTTGACTCACTTGACATATCCAGGGCAGGCCCGCCCAAAAAGACCCAATGTGAAAACCGATGCCTACGTTTGACTTTGAGCACGTTGCTTATGTCGGAAAAGGCTTGTCCAACAAAGGGTGACAGAGGCGCAGTGACATCGGGACATCAGCCTCGGGGTGGTCTGGAAGCGGCCAGCAATGAACGAGTACGGGAGCGCACCACAGAGCCGAAGCTGCTTAAGATCTTGAGGGTCACCAAATGTCACCAACTACTCAGGGCACTGTCGCCCTGGCGGCTCTTACCCCGATTTCTTACGCCAACACCGCAAGTGTCCTCCCACAAACGCCAGAAACCATTCACCATGAATGCATGAACTCGAATGACCCAGCCAAACTGCGCCGGCAGAATCCGCTATGAGGAGGGCAGCTGACTCTGAACAGCCCAACAAAGGGTGGAACAAGAGATTTACCGGCTCCGTGCTCAGGCCCAGGCCGAGCTGAAGGTCACCGGCCTATGCGGAAAAAAAAACGTCTATGGAAGGTGGAAATCCAGACATGTCAACACAGCACATCAGACGTGCCTTCACGCAGCCTTCCAAGAGCGAGTTATACACAATCTCCTGTCAGATGATTGCAGCGCGGGGGGCATAACGGCAACGGTGCACATCAAGTTCGGGATGGCGACTTGTCAAAAAGATGGAGTCTGAACAAAAGACGGGCGCACGTCGCATTCGAGATGACGAGCTTGCAACCTGAAGTTCCGCCAAGCTGGATCAGAGAAGCGTGCGGAGTGTACGGAATTTGCATGAAAGGTGTCAAGGAGAACGATGTCAATTCTCAGCAGATTGCTCTCAAGTACGTGGAAAAACCTTTCAAGCCGGCAGTGTGGCTGCACACGTCGGCAAATCCGATGCCACAATAAGGACAAAAAACGGAAGGGGACACCAGATTGCCAAGGTTTGGTGGGAGTTGTTCCACAGAGCCCCGTGAACCGTGAACCTCAAACAGCCGTCCGGGCATGATCCCTTGCTCTTGCAAAGGGTTGCGCAAAGGCTCAGAGGAGGCACAGCGAGCAAAAGCGAACCGCTCGCGAGGTCTCGAAGCCTCTCACCTGCTCGCTTGGCCCAATCTGCAGTGGGTATGCAAAGGTGACGGTGAAAAGCAAACGGTCCATCGATGTCGATCGACGTCCATCGTAAAGCTCCATCCATCACGGTCAAGGGCATCGGGCAATATCGTGTAGGAGTCAGCAAGTCTTGAGCACACATGAACACAAGACCATTCTGAGTTTGCGGCTCTTCTTGAAGTCGCATCGCCTCTCACAGCGGGGTGCAACTATACATTGGTGATGGGGCACCTGTAGAGATAGCCGATGATAACAACAACCGGGGTTCCGGGGGGCTGCAAAAACTCGTGGTGACAAGTGGCCCGATACTCTTCCCAAGAAAATCGGCGCAAAATCTGTCAGACGACCTTCATGCAACCACCACCGTGTACGTAAAACCTGAAGTTGAGGCCAGTCGTGAACTACAAGTTCTAATTTCATGGAGATGGACGAGTGTCTCAAAAAAAACTCGGAGGGACTTAGCTGCCTTGGCAGCAGTATCTGCTGTTTAGTGTTGGGTGTGGACGAAGCATCGGTGGCGAGATCGCTACAAAAACAGCATATGAGAGGTGTTTTCTAATAAGGTGGTTTTTGTCCGGCTTAGGATATTTGGGCTATGCAAGGGGTCCGCTTCTGATCAACTAGACAGATGGGCAAGGAGGCAACACTTGTCAGCAGGAGGGTCTTGCCTCGTCGGAAAGCTGGAGGGTTGAAGGTTCCCCTTTGAATATAATTTTTTATGTCTGCGATTTTCCAGGTGGCTTCTTCGAAGCCTTTATGAAATGTGTAGCTCTGCAAATTTCCACATTGCTGGTATACCATCCGGGCGTGCGGGGCCTTGCCCTCAGGCCGAGACAGGGTTCAAGTTGAAAATCTTGATCACCAAACGGAAATACCGGCGCAGTGCACAACAGCGCACTCGGAAGGAAAGGGGCCTAGAGCATTGAAAAACACGTCGGGCATCCAGAGTCCTGGGGAAGATCGTCACACAGACGTTGTCGCCTTTATCCTTTGTTTGCACAGCGTCGGATACCTTGCGTAAGAGCTTCGGCGTGTCTCGTGTTCGGTGCGTGGAAAAACAGGTGAACAACTCGCGGATAGGGAGATGAGTGACTAACTAGCTAGGCATGGCGGGCTTCACGTGCCGTATTCGCAACACCTTGTTCCGCCCATTTATCTGTGTGGCCAGAAAGGATAGCTATCGGCGTGGTGTGTAGTGGAGGTTTACATGTGTAAACGTACGGTGCCACTTATATTTGCCTACATAAGGTGCGATGGATGTTATGCTGCTTGTTCTTGCCCTTTTGAGTGGCTTAGCTGCCCTTGTTTGGGGTTACCTCGGTGACATACCTGTCAGCTTCTGAGCCTTTACCTGCTCCTTCCACCAAGGACTCCCCAGAGTCGATTGTCATGTCCTTCCTGCTCTGCTAATTTGAGTTTGCTTTTGTTGTCTTCTTGGCTGGAGGGTTTTGAGGTTTGGGGGTTGCCGGGGTCCGGGCTCTGCAAGGGGCTTCGGCGTTTCATGGTTTGAGGGCTTAGGCTTTTCGGGCCTTTGGGGTTCAGGGTCCTTGGGGCCTCATGTTTTAGAAGCCTTACGTTTTCGGGTTTAGGGTTTAGGGTTTGGAGATTCGAGCTTAGGGTCCAGGATTTCTTTTAGGGCCTCAGGGTTCAGGCCACTTTCAGGTTTTGGCAGGGGTTGGGTTCTTGGGTGTCAGGTGCTTGTTCTGAGGGCTCAGGGTCAAAGCTTTTTTGGCTTGTGCCGCTATGCCTGTCAGGTTCGGGTTTGGTCTTTGGGGCTTCATGCTTTCAGGTATTGGGCTTCTCGGCTTCAGGGTTTAGAGTCTAGGGTTCTTCTGGGGCCTCATCAGGCATTAACAGCCACAGACAACCAAAACAACCGAGAAAAGAGGCTGGGCAAAGAATGCCTTACAAGAAACCAGGTAGTATCAAAAGGTAGTATCAAAAAAGAACAAAATAACCTCAAAAAATGTCACAGGTCACGGAGAAAGAGGCCGAATTCACATACTTTCCACTACATAGTCCAGGGCTTCAAGAAATGCGAGAATTGTTGGAGCCGATGAGGCGATGGGGACCGTTTTGGCCTGCGGGAGGCTAAGCTGCTGTCGTTCGTCAAAAGCCATCGTCAGGGAGGAGGTAGAAGGAAAATGCTTTCTTTGTCATGCTTTGCCCATTGCTTGGTGCGGCTTGGTGTTCGAGGTGAAGGGTGTGAGCAGACCCACCTTCTTTCTCTATTGCTTCTGGGCGTGATCCGGTGGGGGCCTTGTGCACGTGGCGCTTGGGGTGGTCGGCTCTGGGGTCTGTTGTTTGGTGTAAGCTGGGCACGTCGGAACGCGGCAGCTATGGTGGAAAGAAGGATACAGAATGCGCCAACAGCCCTCTTTGGCAAGAATCGCAAGAGGCCAAGGGTGACAAAACCTTGCCAAGGCAACTGCGATCAGATCTGATCGGCTTCCCTGGCCTTCGGCAAGTCCCCGCTGCTGCAGTATCCTTTGATCAAGGTGCTGAACCTAGGAACGCTGTGCACTGGAGTGCGCTGGAGTGCGCTGGAGACGTCGGAGAACTGCATCTTCGGACTAGAATTTGGCGCAGCTGGGAATAGCACGTGATCAGGTCCGGTTTCACGTTCGTAGCCGTCATCTCCTGTAGAACCTCCGGCACAGTGACAGAGGCAAAGTCCAACAACACGGTCGACATGGTCAACATTCGGCGAAAGCATGCGTCCGAACCTCAGCAGCACCCTGCAAATCACATGCGCGGACGCAGGCATCGATCAGGCTGTTGAAGACGACCACATTGCACCTAAGTTCTCAGGTATATGTAATCCAGAACGTGCAACTACGACGTTCTGCACTAGAACGTCAGAATAGAACACTCCTGCATGCGCAAAATTCACTACAATAAAGTTGAATTAATACTAGAAGCAAGTACCGACGGGCGTATGCTGAGTCCAGAACGGAACCTGCTCAGAGCGCATCTCCCGGTACAGATTCATTGCTGCAGACGGGTCTTTTGACTTCGCGAAGCCCTGCAGAGAATGGAATCAGATCCATGACGCTTCCAAGCAATTCCCACATGCCTTGATAAGCGTGGCGTACAAAATCGTGTTCCGATGGAGGCCACGCTGCTTCATGATCTCAAAGGTCTGCAGTGCCTGGCACAGTTATAAAGGGAATCAAGGTACGTGCTCAGCTATACTCACTCTGCCCTGAGCTGTACATGCAGGCCACCGCTGTCACGTCAGTGAATTTAGGACATTTTATGTCATTTTGTGCGCTAGTGAACGTGGCCAGGACTTTCTGTCTGCAAACATGCGAGCTTCAGGCTGCATGCTAGTCATTGCTTGTCCCTTGAGGCCCTAATGGCCTGATCAGGACTGCACAATGCCTGTATTAAAGTATGCCGACTTATCCCCAAACACACGACAAACCTTGCAGCACAGCCTTGTCGAGGTGACCACATTTGACACAAGCGTCGAGCATGCATCCATACGTCACCTGGAGCCAAGCCGTCTAGCGAACGCTGATGTGGATGTGCCAACCAGAAGAGAAGCCAAGACATGCCAAGACATTCGTTCTGAGTCCGAGGTGCCGCGTTGGCCTCCAGACCCTCTCGGTGCATCTCTGCCCAGGCCTGCTGCACAGTGGCGTGATGGGACAAGAGTTCCAAGTTTTGCGAGAAGGCACTAAAACGGCGCGACCTCCACTACTCTATCGATGTTGCCTGCATGTCCATATGCCTGTCACCGGCATCGCACAACATCGCACAACGACATCCTTTGTAAGAAAGCGATGGCCTTCACAATGGTTCCGTATGTGACAGCTGAGCCCTTGATTCCATACTCCTTCATCTTGCCCAGCGTCGCCTCTGCAATGAAGAGATTGTGGTTTTTGTTTTTGTCCCTGTCGCTCGTCTTTCGTTTCTTTCGCTTCTTGTTTGCAAAATAACAAGACACCTCGAGCCGAGGCATGTCGCCAAGCTTGCAGAAGACGTCCAGCAAGGAGTTGACAAGAACCTCTCTGAGCACAGCATAGCTCAGCATTCGGCGCAGTTCTGACGGGCAATCTGTGCACCATTGATTTTCTGGTAGTACGGCGGGACAACATTGGGGCTCATTGAGACATGGCCTCATCTACATCTTCTGGCTGAGTCTGCAGGAAGCGCTCCACCATGGCTACTCCTCGGGGAACGCGCCTCACGGAACAAACGTGCAACACAAGTCAAGTGCGGGAATTGTGGACGCTACCTCTTGTCAGAGATTCTGTCAGATAGGTGCTTGGTAAGGATGGAGACAGTGTACCTGGCGTCCAGAACAGCACTGCCGATCCATGCTGGCGCAGGCAACCCCACTGTCGGGATCTGCCGCGCACTTGTCGGCACTCAGATGTTGAGTCTGCATTTCCTGGCTGGCATGATCCATCAACACAGCACGAACTGCTTGCAATACTCTCCTAGCTGTCGGATCGGCCTCTAGAATATCAAACGCTTCATCGAGGTAACGAGGTCCAGATCGAGCTGCTGAATCCATGAGCAGATTCAAGGAGCCCTGCCAAAGACAGTCTCAAAATGTCTCGAAGACATGGAACATCATCAGAGCAGAGCAGATGGCTCCCAAAGGGTGTCCATCGGCGCGGCCTCGTTTGGTAAAAGGCCAAAACGAGGCATCTCGTGGCGGACGAGCCATCGAGCCTGTAACTCAATTCTTTGACACTTCCTTTGAGCTGCTTTGGAACTGAGCTGCCTTCTCAAAGGAACTGCGGGAGACAAGCCCACGCAGCATGGCCTCATGCTTTGTGTATATTTTGTATGCATTGTGTTACTGCAGTCACACACACTTCCAACACATCATGCAAAAAGTGTGCTAGACTGTGCCCACCACGTTGAAAGCAGCAGGACTGACCAGCCTGACCTCAGGAACACAATGCATTGAAGCACCGGTTGACACGAATTGAGGCCTCCCAGACCCGGCCCTAAGCTGGCCTCAGTGTTTTGCAACTCTTCGAGGAAGGCCATAGCCTGTCACACATGAGTTGCGATATGACATGCTATGAACATCCGGTGAAGACGGGGAGCCTGATCCAACTTGTCAAGGTTTGCGTAAGTCTCCAGTAAGTAATGCCTGCAAGGATGGGAAGCAATACCAAGCTGCACGGCACATAGATGGGCCCCATCTTCATTGAAGTGCTTGGTCATGACATGTCTCTTGCTGCCAGCCAGCTGAAGGGCACGCAAGCCGCCGAAAACCTTCAAACTTCTCAGCCATTTGAAGTTCTGGGCTGATCACATGAAAACACCTCCCAAGCCTTAGCTTGGGTTTCTTCTGGGAGCGGGGCATCCTTGGACTTGGTCTTGGCCCCGACAGCTACACGAACCTGCACAGGCAACAAACTCCAACCCCTGCCTTCACAACTTCTCCAGAGCCTGATGAAACAGTTCTTGAGCTTGTTGGACTCTGCATTCCTGCGATGCTTCTCCAAGGTGTCACGTTGGTTCTGGGTCTGCTGCAGCATGCTAGCCCAAGAGCACAAAAACTTTGGCAATTTCTGTCATGTCCTGCACTGCAATGAGGAAATCTTGGACACTTCTCGTGGGCAGGGCCTGAAGCATGCAAATTGCAACAGCATTTTGTGATCACCTGATCGGACACGCAAACATACGTAAACTCTGCTAAAAGCGAGTTGTCAGCCTTCAAGCTACTGGCCGCAGGAGCTGCTGGAGGTCGAAACGTCATGCCCCCACAATTCCTGGAAAAATCCCGGAATAATCCCGGAATTTGCCAAAAAAACTTGTGTTGCTAAATGTGCGATTGCGCAGTCGAGCCTGGCAGGCCGGCCACCTGGTCATGCAACCAAAGGGAAAAGTCCACGGAAACCACGGAAAGACTTGTTTGAAAGCCTGTCGGAATGCCAGCACGCCCCTGCAAGCACGTGCAGTCAATAGCTCGACGGTGCTCGTTTGTGTGGGTACTCAGGCGCAAACCTTGCGTCCTGCAACTGGGCCTCAATGATGTGACAAGATGAGGCTTTTCAGAGTTGTTTTTGCAAATGCATTGCACTGACGAATACAGCGAACAACCGGAGTCGCAAGCATTTTGGCTGCATCCTGAGTAGGACCCGCATCCTATGCTGATGCTGATGTATCTTGGAGCAGTTTTTTCTGTACCTGTTGAGTTAACGCTAACTTTGTTGGGCCGCACGTGCACACAGCTGGATCCTTGTGCCGAACCATCCATGAAAACCTTTGATCCAACCACACGATGCCCAGTACATGCTCCAGATGCCAACCGATGCACAAAACAATCCAACAACTTTTTGTAACGAAATCGGAGATTTGGGGGCTTCTTGGCGTTGCATGGACATACGGGTTTCCATTCCATGGTCGTATCGAGCCAAAAGCTGCGCAACACGGCAAAGGCTTGAACATCGGTTTCGCTGAAAAAATCATCCTGGAACTTGGGCTCCACTAAGACAAGCAACTTGTCAAAAAGTGTTCAGCATCCGCAACATGTAGCGACCGGGGATCAGCAGAATCGTGGACTGCAGAACTTGTTGGGACATGAGCGTTTCAAGGAAACTTCACATCTGTACGACTGAACCAGTGGCGGGGTCATCAAACATGGTGGTCACTGCAAGCCCCTAGATTGAGCTAAATGCGTGTTGTTTTTCGTGTCCACAGTTGCACACCAAACTGGTATTGAAGTCTACCAGATGTTCTCAAAAAATTCTGGCTTGAAAGAAACAACCCGCAGAAGAATGCATCAAGTAGATTGGCGGGTCACTTGTGACTTTTGTCTGGTGTCACTTGTGACTTCTCGAGAGGCGACTTGCTTGTGACTTCTTTCGGGTGTCACCTGTGACTTCTTTAGCCAGCGAATTTGCAACACCTCTCAGCAAAACTGCATGAAATCACTTGTGACTTCTCCGCCTTGGGATCGGGTTTCAACCTTGCATCCTCAAGGTTCAGACAGTCATGGGATTGGGGTCTAGCCTGAGGCTTCAAGGCTTCAAGGGTTTGGGGTGTAGGGTTTAGGGTTTAGGTTTGAGGGTTTAGGGTGACCTTTAGGGTTGAGGGTTTAGGGTTTAGGGTTTCGGGTTTAAGGTTTTAGGGTTTAGGGTTTAGGGTTTAGGGTTTAGGGTTTAGGGTTTGCGATTTAGGGTTTAGCGTTTAGGGGTTAAGCTTTTGCGGTCATGGGGTTGGGGTCTTGCCGTCTTGCCTCAGGGTTGAAGGTTTAATTACGGTTTAGGGTTTAGGGTTTAGGGCTTGGGGTTTAGGGTTTGGGGTTCAGGGTTTGGGGTTTTGGGTTTTGGGTTTGGGGTTTAAAGTTTAGGGTTTAGGGGTTAAGCTTCTGCGGTCATGGGATTGGGGTCTTGCCTCAAGGTTGAGGGTTTCGGGTGCACGGTTTATGGTTTGCAGTTTTTGGGTTAGGGTTAAGGGTCTAGGGCTGAGGGTTTAGGGTTTACGGTTTTAGGGTTTGGGGTTTAGGGTTGTGGTAATTTTGATGGACTATTTGTGTGAGGGTTGTCCCTCTGCTTTGGAGGGGAGGAGGTGGAAGAGGGAGGAGAAGGGAGAGGAGAGCGAGGGAGGGTCGCCAAGGTAACCAAAGATCCAAAAGTGACGACACTGCCATTTTGTAAGGGCAGAGACGGAGAAGTCACAAGGACACCGGCACAGAAGTCACAGGTGATACCCGATAGACGTCACAGGCGACCCCTCTACCCATCAAGTACACAGCCCTGGGAGAACGGGCGATTCGAGGGTTGGAAGAAGTGAGGAACCCAAAACAATGAAGCCAAACACGAGGATTTGGAAGTTTTAAGCGAACGGGCGTACGACTGCGGGAAACAGCACCGCTGGGAAACGTCTCTCTACATCGATTGCTGATAGCAGCTATAAACGGGCACAAAGAAGCTATAACAGTTATAGTTATTGATTGTTGAAAATGCGCAACAGGCCGAAAGGAATGTGGAAATGCAGGAAGATCCCAAGTATCGTTTACAACGTGAAACGGGGGGGTGTCACGTGTCCACCCCGAACTGGGCAGGAATCACGCGAAGTTTCAACGGTCGGACGTGCTTAATATGAGAACTGGATATGTATGCTTGTACCCGACCGTCCCTCACCTCAACCAACTAATAGAAGAAAGGGGGCAAAACTCAAACCCGAAAGGGAGGCAAACGAAGTGACCTTGTACAGCGAACGATGCTTGTTTTGGAAAAAACAGTGACGATCGTTGAAACAGGAAGTAAGAGACTGCACGCGCGGCAATCATTTGGGAATGTCTGTGTTCCCTCTCAAAGATGGAGCTCATCATCCCGAATGGGATTTCTCAAACAAACCGCGTCGTCACTTTATTGCCTGCTTCTTCACAAACATTTTATTGCACAAGCGCATGACTGCAAATCCCTCGCATTGCAGCACGCTCTCTTCTTTTTTTAACAATGGCTCGATCTCGTTACTTCGTCCTCATCTCTTTCCACAGAACACACTCGTTTGAAAGGTAATGCTGCTTCGACACTTGTGCTCTGAAGCAAGGGGATGGACAAAGGAACACGCCGCAACCGACGCAGGTGCACTCGGACCGAGCACCACAGTAGAGGTTGCAATCTTCACATAAAGCAGCATGGAACACTGAAAGCCGTTTTGCCACTGCTTGCATCACAGACATACTTGCGGAAGGCGAGGCGACCTCCAGTCCCTTCCGTTCGCAGCTCAGTAGAGAAACTCCACGCAACGACAGCAACCTACCCTACCCTAGGCTTGAGGCGCTCGTGGCGCTTGGACGCGTCATCATTTTTCTTCATTCCAACGCTTCAGCGGTGTCGCTGTAGCGGGCGAACGGACTTGTGTCCCCTCATGGTGAGTCGCCAGGAAAGCTAGCGGCAAAATGGGGGTGCGAAGCTGCACAGAAGCACTCTTCTGCTATGTCTGTAGCCTCCGAGAAAAAATTGCGCAAGAAGCAGAACAGAGACCTTACAGTTGTAGAATCCATCAGTTGCACTCGACGTCTCAGCTGCAGTATAACAAAGTAAACCAAAACCTCTGGTCTCTAGAAGCCGCCAGCGTCAAGAGTCAAACGATTCACAAATATATAGAAGCCGCAAGGGTCGATTCACAACACTTTTGAACAACAAGTATTCAGAAAATACACAAAAGCAAAATCAGAGACAAACAAAGAGCCAGAAAAGAGGTCAGGAAAAATACAAAAACAACGCAAACCAAATAAAAAATTTTTCTTCATTCCAACGCTTCAGCGGTGTCGCTGTAGCGGGCGAACGGACTTGTGTCCCCTCATGGTGAGTCGCCAGGAAAGCTAGCGGCAAAATGGGGGTGCGAAGCTGCACAGAAGCACTCTTCTGCTATGTCTGTAGCCTCCGAGAAAAAATTGCGCAAGAAGCAGAACAGAGACCTTACAGTTGTAGAATCCATCAGTTGCACTCGACGTCTCAGCTGCAGTATAACAAAGTAAACCAAAACCTCTGGTCTCTAGAAGCCGCCAGCGTCAAGAGTCAAACGATTCACAAATATATAGAAGCCGCAAGGGTCGATTCACAACACTTTTGAACAACAAGTATTCAGAAAATACACAAAAGCAAAATCAGAGACAAACAAAGAGCCAGAAAAGAGGTCAGGAAAAATACAAAAACAACGCAAACCAAATAAAAAATTTTTCTTCATTCCAACGCTTCAGCGGTGTCGCTGTAGCGGGCGAACGGACTTGTGTCCCCTCATGGTGAGTCGCCAGGAAAGCTAGCGGCAAAATGGGGGTGCGAAGCTGCACAGAAGCACTCTACTGCTATGTCTGTAGTAGCCTCCGAGAAAAATTGCGCAAGAAGCAGAACAGAGACCTTACTGTTGTAGAATCCATCAGTTGCAAAATCCATGAAACTCGACGTCTCAGCTGCAGTATAACAAAGTAAACCAAAACCTCTGGTCTCTAGAAGCCGCCAGCGTCAAGAGTCAAACGATTGACAAATATATAGAAGCCACAAGGGTCGATTCACAACACTATAGAACAACAAGTAATCCACACATCCAACATTTCTACCCAAAAATCCAAGAATTCCGAAAAGACAAGTTAAAACCTTGACAAACCCCAGAGTCCCAAGATCCAATTGATTGAGTGGACCACAGAGAAGATTACATCCTCTTCTGTCATTCCTCCAAAGACAAAAACATTCCTGGGAATTTCAATTCGTTGCGATCGTCGGCGCAAACGATGTGTTTGAATTTTCACACAGACACCAAGCGAAAGAGACACTTCAGAAAACGCCTTAAGACAACAGCTAAAAGCCAAAAGCCCCCTTTAAGCTTGTTTCTCAAGCCCTTCAAAGGATTGGCTTGAATTGTGAAGGTCTGCAGGTGGTGCACAGTCTATCTTCTAAGGGAAATTTCCTTGCCTTTTCCATGGTCCTAGAACCATTCTGCCTCTGGCAACGTTCTGGGCGTGTCAACCTTAAGAATGTCCCATTTAATGCATCTACCGCAGCCTGGAATTCACACTTTGTGGTGTTTACCGCAAACATCATGCAAGCCAGCTGATTTGGGGCAACCTAAGAAGTGTTGTTCCACCTGAATGAATTGAACCAACGCCTTGTAGCAAGGCGCAGAAGCGAACAATGCGCACCTTCATGTTAATTTCAACAGCGTTCGGTCCAATGGCCAAAAAACGTGTTAGCCTCTTACTCTTTTGCCAGTGCCGGAGGATGCAAGGATGGCCTTGGACGGAGCCCTGGCCACGACGTGTCAAGTTCCGCGGGTGGTTTAATGCGATTGTGTAGCGTTTGCAGCCCACTTTGGTCCTGGCCAAAGCCCTGACTTCTCTTGCCAGGTCACACAAGGACGAGCAGTGGTGGTTCCCTTTCTAATGGCTTTAAATAAGCCATACCCTTTTTCTGTGTTTGCCCGAATTAAAACCGATGCCAGAAGGCCAGGGAGGAACCCTTCCAGCTGATCAGGAACGCGAGGAGCAGCTGGAGCAAAGATCACTTGAAGGCGTCGACCATGCCTTGGAGCTTTTCCAAAAGACCAAGCTTAACTGCACAGAAGATGAAGGCAAGACGGTCGCTTATGGAATTGGTTTGAAATTTAAAGTCCGGTAAACTGGCAAGGAATTCTTCAATCTGCTGGTACTCCGCGGGCGTTTCACGGAAACTTGGAGAGAAAGCAGGAAGTTGCGGGGTTGTACTTTGGAAAGCACCAACGTGAAGCTTGATCTGAAGCGCCGCGTGGGGCCTAAACGGGACATTCCAAGCTGGCTTCCAGCAATGCAAGTTGCTTGTTGCGGACACACAAGCATTTTTTTCAAGTTTCAACATTCGTGGAGTTTGTCCAGGTGCAACCTCTTGGAAAAACGTCTTGCACCGGAAGTCCCTTCCGAGAATATGGCCGAAGCTACATTTGGCCATTTACACATGCGAACAACTTCTACAGTTCAACAGTGACTAATAACCCAGTATGCAGAGTATCACCTCACTAAGAACAAACCAAAATCAAGATTCCAAATGCACAATTGAGAAACGCCAAAGTGATTTTTTGCATTTGCAAACGCAAAGCTAGAATTTATTGCTTGGCCTGAAAATCTGTTGAAACTTTGTTCGAGCAGTCAACCTCTGGGCTTGAGATCTTGCAAGTTAAAGGGTTTTGGGGTTTTGTCAAGGCCTTGGAAGCCTCCAAAGGCCTCGAAACCCATAATTGAGGCCTCCAAAGGCCTCGAAACGTTGAAACTCGTGGCACAGCTACGGGGCCTAAGGGACCTCAGGTCAAGACTACACTCAACCCTCACAGCACGAAGTGCGGACTCTTTTCACTGCGCTGTTCACAGCTTCTCGAGCTCCACTCGTCTTGAGCCAATGCGAGCACGGCTCTCCAGCTTCAAACACTGTCTGCCAGACATGGGAAAACAAAGGTACTTCAGGTAAAAACACTCAGCCATGGAACTTCTACTCCTAAACACTGTGGGTAGGTTCCTAGCACCTCTTAGGTGCTCTGCTGAGCTCTGTGCAGACCTGAGTCACTTCTGGTCACCAAATACCAGGTCACAAACAGGAAACGAGTTCCGACAAACGAGTTTCGAGAAAATGAACAGAAAACGGTTCTTCCCACTCAAAACAAGGTCTCACCAAGCCAAGAGAAATCTGCACTGCCTGACATGTCCTCGTGCCTATGCTTCACACTCATAGCAGACAACTCAAGTGCACATCACGTGTCAACTGGGAAACTAGGAGGGTCACATATATCACTCGAAAGCGGACTGCGTCGCTAGCCAGGTTAGGCTCTTCGGAACCGAAGTTCCGGGAAGTATTAACAAAGCACTAAAGAAACTCTCGAGGTGACCTTGGCCTGCTTAACACGGCCGAACTATGTGCAGGATCACCGAGAGAAAGCATTGAGGGCTTAACCAGTTCCGCGAGAAGCTCGGCGGCCAACGGCTACTCACTGGTTTGGCACTGTACAAAGCCCTAGGCAATTGTTCTGCAGGTTGAACTGCCTGGTCTGTACTGCCTACCCTATAAGCCCTGCCTGTACAGGGGAGAAACTCACCCATTCGGCTCTCTCAGAAAAGGCAGAAGGTCTGGAACCGACACACGGGCTATGCCTGTACGAACTGCAGACAAGTGGATTGGCAAAGTCGCCAACCTCCGGGGCAGGCCTAAGCTTTCTCGCTCTTACTCACTTAGGCCCCAGAAACCCATGCCGCAGCAGCTCTGAGCTCCTGTTTGC